GCGGACAAATTGTCCTTTATTGTATTCTTAAAGATCAAACTGAGTACACTTTTTCACTGCGGGTAATATCCATACCTTACCTCATACCATAAGTTTTACACAAAAACAAAATGGCAGACAAAGGATTTATTGCTCAAGATCGAGAATCTGCTGAAAGGTCTGACATGGAAAAATGTCTACAAATAGGAAAAGACCTAGGATATACCGAAGAAAAGCTAGAAAAATTTGTGTTTAAAGAATTAGAAAGACTCACCAAAGAACAAGACAGGAAAGAGAGAATAAGCGAAAGAGAACACATAAAGACCATAGAAATAGGTGAACAAAGGCAAAGAGAATTGCAGTTACAGATTAATCTAGAACAGATAAAACATGACAATGCAGAAGAAGGCAGAACAGCTGAAAATACAGAACCGCAGGAATCCTTCCAAGGTCATACACCTAAAATTCCTAAATTGCCTTTCTTTGATGAACAAACAGATAACATAGATTCATATCTACTACGATTTGAACGTTATGCCTCTACTCAAAGATGGAGACAAGAAAACTATGCAATGTACTTAAGCGCACTCCTAAAAGGTAAAGCCCTTGAAGTATACACTCGACTGCCTGATACAGAATGCAATTCATATGAAGCACTGAAGTTGGGACTCTTAAAAAAATACAAAATGACAGAATATGGCTACAAAAAGAAATTCTACTCATCAAGTCCTGAAGGTGGAGAAAGCCCTACTGAATACATGTCCAGAATTGAGAATTACTTCATGAGGTGGATAGAATTAGCTGAAGTAAATAAAGAATTTGATGATATTCTTGACTTAATAGTCAGAGAACAATTCTTAAATTCCTGTGGAAAAGCCACCGCCACATTCATACGAGAACACAAAATAAAATCAAGAAAAGATGTAATCGAAGAAGCAGATAGGTTTTGTAAAGCTCGTGGAATGAACACGTTGACAGAAGATAACAGTGAATACAAGAAAATATTTGACAAGTCCAAGACATATAAAAAAGACCAACCAGAAGAAAATAAAGGCAACAACAACAATGAAAAAAGAGACGAAGGCACAAACAAAAGAACAGAAACCAACAGTAGAACCTGTTACCTATGTTTTAAAGAAGGTCATATCGCAAGAGATTGCCCTAAGTCTATAGCCAACAAAACAATAGCTAAGCTTGCAGCACTTCTAGTACAATCAGATACAGACAGCAACGAAGACTTGGAAACAAATAGTGAAGATATATCGACAGCATCTTGTCAAATCCTTGATGAAAGTCACAAGTGCGATCTTCAGCCAGGAAGTACCCTTACATTATCTTGTGGGTGCAACATTGAAGTTGCAGGATCTTTATGCAACTGTGATAACAATGCTGAAAACTTTTCAAATTTACCTGTTGAAATTGGATTCATAGGGAATAAAAGAGCCAAGGTGTTAAGAGACACTGGATGTAGTGGTGTGATTGTGAAATCAAGCTTTGTAACAAAAAAACAACTGACAGGAAAACAAAGGAAATATATAATGATTGATCGTACAATAAAGACAGCTGAAATTGCAGAAATCTATATAGACACACCATTTTTTACGGGTCGCACAGAAGCAATCTGTATAGACAATCCTATATGTGAACTGATCATTGGAGAAATACCAGGCGCGACGATGAGAAGCAACCTAAAATCAAACAATAAAGCACTTGAGTAGAAATGTGTGAATTTCTTAGCGTTTCTACCATTTAAAAGTATTGTATTTTTACACATTATTACCCTAAGAAATTAAAACATTTCTCAATTTGGGGGGTAATGTCACAATATTACACAAGTCCTTTAAGTCAATGTAATATAATGCACATATGTCCTTTAAATCTTTTTAATTGTTAGTTAATTGCTTGTGTACTCGGTATTGACCTTGGCCAATTATAGGTCAGTTTATTTCCTCATGCACACTTAGTTATATTACAGACATGTGCTGGTGTAGATGTGGTTACAGGTGAATTTATGTCTAAGGTAAACATTCATTTAGATTTTATAAATTCTCACCTTTTAACTTTTCATATTAATTAGTGTTTAGTTCACCTGGTTTATTATTATCAAATCTTCTAAACCTGTGTCTTAACTTTCTGGTCAGTTTTGTGATTTCTTTATTTCAATTGTTCTAAAGTTAGTTTTCTTTCAAATCCAGCGTTCTTGTGTAGTGATGATGTGAAGCTTTAAACATCGAGAAGTGAATTGACTGTGTTTGTGAAGTGTGACTTTGAGAAATTGATGAACATCTTTATGGTGCTAAGAACATTAATAGTAAGCTGCACAGCATTCGTGGTGCATGAAGCGATTGTAAATAGGAGACTTCAACTCGTGATACGTTCAATTATCATAATACCATTTTGAGAGACCTACGCATTATCGAAACGGATATCGTTAATTCTACATTCTACATACTGCAGAAGACTACACGATTTCTAGTGATCTATTACACATGCTGCGGGTGATCATTCCGTACAAATAAGACATACTGCTATACATACAATAGAGTAGTGTTAATAGAAGACAATCTATGGTCTCATGTATACATTGTAAAAATTGTATACATATATACTTTGTGAAGGTTGATTGTATCTATTTTGAGTAAAACATTATATTGATATGTAAAGATAAAGGTATAATAGTTCAAAGGAACTTGGTTAGAAGCTAGCATTTATTTATAATTAATTAGTAAATTTCCTTTGTAAATATATTTCAGTGAAACTATATATATCAGTTTGTTGTGTGTGGTAAGGTTATAAAAATAAGAACCCGACCCTGTGACAGGTGGCACTTATGTCTACCTTATGTTCTTGAACAATCTCGTCAAAGAATACAGACCCGTATTCTGGATTAACCTGGGGGAGTGGTTTTACCAAGGGGGAGATTTTGCCAAGAGGGGGGAGCTTTTTGACAGTTATGGCAAAAAATCATGCGAAAAGTGCTAAGAATGGTGAAAAACTGCATGATATTGAACGAATATTTGGCAAGGGGGAGGGGGGTGAGGCCCCCTGGCTACGGCCATGGAATACATATAGGAACTTTCCTTCATATCTCCCGTCATATCTCCCGCTTCGGTGCAGGCGTCCGTTACCCTTAGGGCCCGAGATTCCCGAAATATGTACACGCCACCACGCCGAGGGGGGAGGGGTGGGGTCCCCGTATGTGCCTCCCGAGCTCAGGGAGGCTCACAGATGTCCCTCCCCATTGGAGCCCATGTTAGGGAGGGTACTATGAAAAATCGTGTCCCTCCCCATAGGACTCAATGTTAAAGGTGCGTCAGAACTCTTGTTTCTACAACTACTTTCAATACGTCCATCTCATTCGCAGTTCGTTCAGGTCGCACCACGTCGGTGTGCAACGTAGTATAAACTAGGGATCCCACGATACATTTTGTTTCGATTCGATACGTATCTTGATATTATGAAAACGATTCGATACAAACGATTCGATACACATTCATGTAAATGTCTGTGTTTACATGTGGGGGGGGGTCGAGATTTACATTCTTTCATATGGCAGTGGAAAGACAAATTTTGATGAAAACCTGCAAACGAACAAACGAACGAGGAAAGAACGCACGGATGGACAGAAGAACAGCCGAATAAACAATGAATGAACAAACGGACGGATAGGCGGCCAAAAGAACGCATGAAGGAAAGATAGAAGAAAACAATTTACAAAAGATCGAACCCACGCACGCAAGAACGTAGTTACAAACGAACGCACGAATGAACGCACGCACGAACGAACACACAAACGAACGCAAAAAGAACGAAAAGACGAACGCACGCACGGACGAACGGACGGCTAGACGGAGGAACCCATGAACGAAAGGGCAGTCAGACGAAAGCAAGCACAAACGGACGGTCAGACGAACGCATGCGCACACAAACGGACGGACAATCGCACGAACGGATGCACGCACGAACGAACGAATGGACGGTCGGACGGACGCTGCCACGAACGCATGATTGGGCGATGCACGCACGAACAATCAATCGGTCGGATGAACGCACGCATGAACGAACGGACCGTCGGACGAACGCACCCACGAACGAACAGTCGGTCGAATGCACGCACGAATGGACAGTCGGACAAAGAAACCAATGAAATATATGTGTCCTCAGAAGTATAATCCTTGGAATAGTTAATTATGTAGAATGTACATTTAACTCCGAAATGTACAAAGTCTGTTTACATATAAAAATTTGATCATGCCGCTGACAGATGAATTAGACTGCCTGAAGTTGAAGAAGAAATATTTGTGATGTTGCCATAGAATGATATGTTATGTGATTGTCATTAATACGTTACTTGTAGATTCGTGTACGTTCATATAAGAAGAAGCTCACTATATTCATGGAATAATGATGAAGCTTTCCTCGTGATCGAAGCGGGTAGTCGTGAAATTTGCTCGTGTTTTCAGCGGGGTCTCCTCATGTTTTCAGCGGGGACTCCTCATTTTTTCAGCGGGGCCACTGGAACACCTTTAATAATGTATTTCGACCCCCATGACAGGTGTCATTGTCCAGTAACTTACATATATATCAATACAGACCATCTTGATCCGATATTTGTTATGGAGTTTGTAAATCGTATTTATTGCCTTTATTTTAACGATAAAGGTAATATATGAGCAGTAAATTATGCAAACGTGCATGCTGACGCCCCTTTCCTTCATGCAAGTAAAAAATAATCATTTTTCATGTCATTTTAATTTTTTGTCAAATATATCTGTTTTCAAAGTTTTGCTGGAGTAGTCAAAGAACGGTAATAAGTATTTACATCCTTTTGGTTCATTTTCCAAAGTGATACAAATAAACAGGACTATGCTCGCGATTTCAGCGGGAACTTGCTCGCGACTTTTCAATCATAGCGGGGCTTTAGATACTACCCGTGATCATTGATGATGTTTGACTTTTTACGTGCAATCACCGATAAAGTGATCGTTCGTAAATCTACTGAAGCAAAATCACAGTCCAAAGATATGATCACAATATTTACACATATTCATGGTACTTTCATTGAAATTGAAGTGTTCTTATGAGGCTAAATGAGACCAGATAAATTTATTTATCAATGATGAAATATGTTTTGCTTCAATCATGATTAATAGTTTGTAAGTGAAAGTAACAAATAAGACTGTGTTCAATATGGAGGACGTAAACTTTGAAATATCAAAATTTGCATCTATTTCTGGTTGTTTTGTCCTTGCAATAGCCTATGTGGGTAGTCTATACATATGGAAAGATACTCTAGGAAGGTAAGAACTTTTTTCTTTGAGATAGTGTCATGGAATTATGAAGAACGATTTAAAAAGCCTTTTACAGTTTTTTATTTGCAATGAAATTGTTATACAAAATGAAAACAAAAGTAATCTAGTCTTTCTCGGTCTTCTCTAGTCTTCTAGTCTACTATCTAGATCTACTTTGAAATGTCAAAATAAGGAAATGGTATGATGTTCACCATGTATTTACTTACCAGTATGTTCTTTGTCCTCCTGCGCCCTATGTTACATTGTGAAACTTAGCCAAACATGACAGTGAAGGTTATTGCAAGTTATCCCGTTCCAGGACTTATGGTCCTGTACTGAGCGCATACATTTGCCTGTACGATTACAACTTGGGAGAATTATCTACGCCCCTTCCACTTAAGAAACCTACCTCAATGCATTCTAGGACTCAAAATGTAACTTCTAATATATTGGAACCGCCGATTGTCTAGGTTAGTTGGCAGAACGAGGTCTTTTTGTTTCTTATGGCTCTTTTGGTCGAAGTTCGATTAAGATGGCGGTTATAACGGAATTTCCCGAAGTTTTCCGTAATAGCACGGACTTGGTATTTCGTTACGTCACTTCCGTGTTTAAATGGATTTGTTTCCGGTAAGAAACATTGTTAACCATTCGGTATACAGTTAAGAGCATAGGATGTCGACATGGCAGTAAATATTTCCGAAATTTTCGAAATTCCCTCTTACCGGAAACAAATCCATTTTACACGGGAGTGACGTAACGAAATACCAAGTTCGTGCTATTACGGAAAACTTCGGGAAATTCCGTTATAACCGCCATCTTAATCCAACTTCGACCAAAAGAGCCATAAGAAACAAAAAGACCTCGTTCTGCCAACTAACCCAGACAATCGGCGGTTCCAATATATTAGAAGTTACATTTTGAGTCTTAGAATGCATTGAGGTAGGTTTCTTAAGTGGAAGGGGCGTAGATAATTCTCCCAAGTTGTAATCGTACAGGCAAATGTATGTGCTCAGTACAGGACCATAAGTCTTGGAACGGGATAAATTGCAAGGACTATTGTCCTGAGAATGTCTCAATCTCTTGCCTGTACAATTACAGCATGTGAGAATTTTCTACGCCTCTTACATTTAAGGCGAAGCTAAATTAAATCAAAAGTACAAAAAATGACTGCCATTTTTTTGATAAAGACACATGTTTTTAAAATCTGTTTACCTTGTATATGAATTGTATATATTGACTAAAGAAACATGTCAAAGTTAACATCACACATAAACGCATTTTTCATAACTATGTATTGGAAGTGCATAGATCCCCAAAGCTAGCATGAAGAGTGTGAAGTGAGGCTAATTTAATGAACGTTATAAGGAGTAGTCTTGCAACAGTCACACATTTGCAAGAATCCAAAATTCCACAAATCATCTTACCTTTCCCAGGAACAACAAAATTAGAAAGCATGAAATATCAGCATTTCCTGGAGTTACCATAATGAAGGCTAGGTGATTGCATTGACCTCTTACCTAAGACAATATAATGATGCTTTTCTGAAAAAGCAAGAAAATACACAAATGCCTTCATACTTAATTTTGCACCAGAAAATAACATGTGCAGGTATAGGAATTTTTTCAAAGATATTTCGTTCCACCAGTTCCTTAACCTAATGCAACTTGTAGGGGTAAGCATGGAATCATTGATCTTGTATTTTTTCAGGGATCACTCAACTACAATCAAGCACAGATTCATCAGTGTTGGCATTGTATGCTCAATTGCTCCAATATTTCTGTGGTTGTGTTCTAGCCCTGCACACAGTGACACTGATAAGGTATAGTCACACTTTTGTATAAAACTAGCATTTACTACTCAGACTACTCAATTCCATCAACTTGAGGTAATATACTGCAAGTCAATATTTATCCCCACTCCCCAGCCAAATGTCCTCAAAAGATCAAGGGACAGGCTTATTCCACCCTTGTCAGGCACTGCCTTCAGTTTGGGGCCCATATATGAACAAGTACATCACAAATAAAAGCTGGAAATAGTTTTGAGACAAAAGTAAGGTTTTTGTGTCATGACTACAGAATGGAGTCTGGTGTTTGAACTAACCAGTGTACCAGAAATGTACCAATGACAGTCACTTTACCACTGGAGAGAGGTACAGGGACTCATTACCATGTACAGGACCATAATCACCCAATAGCCAGCCCAATACCAAGCTAAATAGAAATAAATGTACTTGGAGAAACTTAACCTCCAATCTTAGTGTGATGTCCATGCAAGGAGGAGCTTACTAATGATCATGATAGATGTAGATGCATTATTGGAGGACTCTTGATTTGACACTCAACCTTTTTGCTGATTTAGATGCCAGCAATCACCATCATTTCTTTTTATTTGAAGCCACAATCGCTTTCATAATTTTTGCAATAACTTAAAATGTGGTATCATTTTGCCATATATCTAATGACTTGTTATAAGTCAAAACATTGTAAATGTAAAAACAAGTAGGTTACATTGTACGTTGAGAGAAATATTCTTAGCTTACTAATTACTTAACTTAGTAATCTGGCACAGTGGAAAAAGTCACTTCCCCAAGATCTTTTTTATTTGTCATAATCATTCTTTCAGGGTACATCATTGCCACAATGGTTAGGGTTAAAGATGGAAGGACTCATACCTGCAAGCATAATTCCTCTATTTTTGACAATAGTAAGTGACTGTTGTTTGTCAGTGTAGTTGTTTACAAAATACTCTGAACTTCAACTTTTATTATAATCGTACATGAATTTTTACGAATGATTTATTATTAATTAATTATTCACATTTTTTTCAATAGCAGCAAACTACATTTATTTGCACAACTTTCCTTGTTCAAATAATAATTTTCAATAAATTCATCTATAGACACAATGCTTTCTTTTATTTTTAAAATTAGTTTTACTTGTTCACTTCATATTAATAATATACATACAGTACATGTATTAATAGTATTTTAAAAGGCTTAAATTCACTGTTTTTTATCTCTTCAGATACTCTTTCTTGGACCACTAGGCCTGCATTACATGGATGGAATGTTCCATGTTTATAAAGGTATCATTTAATAAGCATTTTAGCATACAATTAATGAGTATTCTTTTGAAAGTCCATATGAATCAGGCGAATTGAAAAATGAACAACGACCAACAAAAATGGCTATCACCTTTTCAATTTTGAACAAATTTTCCAGTTGCAACTTTTTGTGGCAACATTTTGTAGTTCACTTTGGAAAAAATTAAGCTACAACTTATTATGCAACTTTTCACATTTTAGAATTTTGAAATGCTTAGTTTGAAAATTTTAAACTCTGAAATCGAAATCCCAGATTTGTAACTTTAACTTCTTTGAGAAATCTGAAATATCTTGAAACTTTATTTGTTGTACTTTTAGAATGCTAAATGTCAAGAGGAAAATGTCAATAATGAAAATAAATTTTGTAAGAATTCACAAAATGGTGTTCTATTCTAACTCACACTTAAGAAACATAACATTTACTAGCATGTGGCTCTGCGGCTGTGTACTGCAGAAAAACCGAGTGTATTATTTGTACAATAATGTTATCGTATGTACATGCTGGTTGCCAAAATGTGGCTCTGCGGCTGCGTCGCCGCTGGAAAATATACAAAAATGTTAATAATGGACAATTGATTAGCTTACTCGATAATGTAGTAATAACAAATCTCATTTTCAAAATTAAAAAATTTCCGACCACCTGTAAAACCTTTTCTATCTTTAGCATCACACACTCATTAATGCCCATTATTATTCTGTTGAGAACATGATGCTAATAATCTTTGAAATCCTCAACAATTGAGGTTATAAGGAAAAAGGTTTGTCCGAAAAATTTTCATTACATTTTAAAGACATTTACTTAGTTTATCTCGCCGCTTAGAGCCGAAGTGATCTTATTCACGAATACATACACCGTTCACTCAGTAATACTGCATTCACAATTACCGTTCTATTTTCATAACGTTAAACAACCAAATAGAAATCATTTTCTTGCTAATTCGTACTACGTGACTCAAACGCAATAAAATACATTTCTATTGAACATTTCTTGAAAGGTCTCAATATGGCAACCTACACAAAATATTATGTATATAATATATCATTTCTTAAATATCTTTCCAGATCTAGAATACTGGAAACACAACTGGACAAGTTTGATATGGTTGCGGAACCATGTCGTCGTAAGTATATTAGATATTAGTTGTCGTAAGTATACAAGATTAAACCTAATACTTACTCCTTATTATATAATACTAATAGCCTTAATTTTATGACTTAATTTAAGTTTAACGAGACATTAAAGTTCAAAGCAATCTTTCCTAGGCCCCAAAAACCTTAGTAAAAGGTCAGCTGTAAAATCAAAGGTTTGATATGATATCCTGGTAACTTGTCGATCATTTAAAAAAGGTTGACTCTGTTTAATGGAAGTTAAAATTTGGCTTGTTGAAATTTCTTTTTCAGTTTTTGAACTTTAATATCTGTAAATCAGTTCAAATATTTGATGATGAATGTTTTTCAGGATGAATTCAGGATTTTTCAGAATGAATTTCAGGCAAAACTATTTATTTGTAGTCTCCAAGTTTATGAAACTTTGATGATTCTGACCTAGTTTGATGACCCTGACCTTTGACCTTCAAAATTAAAAGATTTCTGACCCTTTTCTCAAGAGCTTTGTGACCTGATTGACATTTAGAATAAACTATTTTCTTAACAATTTAAAGCAATTTGAAAACTATGTGTTTATTTCATGTAAAATCATATTGAATGTGACATATTTCAGGCTCCTCTGAGCGAAGAATTTATATTCAGAGGCTGTATGCTTCCATTGCTGGTTCCTCACCTAGGTACAGGAAAGGCAGTCTTTGTTACTCCTCTTTTCTTTGGAGTTGGTGAGCACACTTTTGTCACAATAAAAAATCTCATCTCAGATGTGAATTGGTCAATAATTTTGAGTTAAACATGCATTTAAAGCCAATTATGATACAAGTATAATTTAAAATAGAAACACTCTCATTCATGTCCCCTTAGGTTTTAGTTGATACTCTAATGAATATGAATGATCTGTATTCTTTAACATGTATTTGCTCATTAATTTGCAGCTCATTTCCATCACATGATGGGAAGTATACAAGCAGGGGAATCAGTCCAGAGAGCACTGCTCAAGTCAGGTGAACAATTCAACATAGATTAGAACAGTGTTCAGTATATTTATGTCAGAATGTGGAAAAAATAACTAAATATACATTATAAAATACATGTATATCACAACAGTGAATTTGTGTGAGAAGCAGAAAAACTGACCACTTATGAGAAATACATACATACATACATACATATTTTTAAGATAAGGTAGTTTCTATAGTTGTCACTACTGGTATTATTTGTTTTGTTTGGGCCAGACTCCCAATCACTTCGATGTTAAAAGCTTGCAATAGTCACTTAATTTCTTGATTTATTAAAAAGTGTTGATTTTAAATCTGTCTTAACCTCGACTGGCATACTACAGGATGACCATGTTAATGCACATATTGTGATGAACATTGTAGTTGTTAAGCAAATAAACCAAGGTTTTAAAAAATTTCAGCATTGCATCAATGGAGATTTGGCTCAAGCGCACTTTGGTGCAGGAGCATTCATTTGCTCTAATGGTGGGGATATCATTGGCACTGCAGTTTTTTACATGAGTACATATTATTTATATTTAATTTTATTCCAGCTTTCCAGTTCACCTATACAACAATATTTGGAGCATACTCCTGTTTTCTTTTCCTCAGGACAGGTATGTTATAGTTATGTACATAGAGGTTATTTAATGGGAGGTCTTTGATACAGGGTATATCTGAGGAAATACAATATATCTACCTGAGGGACCGAGGGTTGATATATTGTATTTCCCTCAGATATACCCTTGTATAATGATAACTACAATCAAAACATGAATATCTTATCTAAATGTAAAGGTTTTAACATTTATTGTTTTTTAAAACTCCACAGCTTTTAACATAAAACGAAATTCCCAGGAATTGTTGAGCGGGTGATACATATATCTCCCGCTCACCTCAGCGAGAGATATATCACCCGCTCACCTAAGATATCAATTATATTCCCGCATGTTATTTACCTATAACACTACTAAGTATGGAATAAACTGATATACATAGTTAAAGTTCATTTCAGAATATGACATATTGAAGAAGACTTATGACAGATTGATAAAATGTTGCGCCAGTAAGGTTTTAAATGTGAAATTAATTAAGTTCAGAACTTCATTTGAAGTTATTCAGAACCAAAAGTGTATTTGCCTTTTGTAGATATCAATAGGTGGTTTGCTTCTCTCACATTTGCACATATATTAAACAGTGTTTAACTATGTTGTTTAATATTGTACTTGCAGGTCATCTTGTAGCACCTACTATAGCCCACTCATTTTGTAACTACATGGGATTCCCTGCCTTTGATGAAGTATTACACAAAAGAAATCCTGCCAAGCTCATCCTTATAGGACTTTTCATCCTTGGACTAGGATCATGGACTTATTGGTTATATCCTTTAACAGATCCAAATATTTATTCAAATAGTTTATATGACCTTTGATGAAAAGGATATTTTAGACATGTTGATTGTATTGATTATTTAATACATGTGTGGCAAGGGCAAACAGTTGAACATCAACCAGTTTGGTAACATCTACCACTTTTGATCATTTCTGGTCGGTATTTGATACACTCTCAGAGTCATCCATCAGATATTAATCACCGAAAGTGAAAGCCTGAAATAAACAAAGAAAACTGAAATAGAAAATTGAAGGTTGGTTGATATTCCACTGACTCTTGGGGCCTTTGTGGCAGTTTTAATTGTAATTGAATGGGGAATCTCAAATAGTCACTTGCCTTTAATAATGATAACTCAGGTAAGGAATAGCATAAAAATGCTGATCTCCAAGTGCCTACCCTGAACCCCATCAGCTAGTCACATACCCTACTCTGATGATGATAAAATATTAATGATCTCAGATTTGGAATTTGATCGAGAAATAAATGTCAGGTACAGCTACTGAAAATGGAGCAATTTTCTGACTACATTGGAATACTTGGGTTGAATACTTGTGTTGAAATTAAATAGTGAAGCCAAAGTCGAGGTCTTTTGAAGGGTAAGGACATGGGCTTTCAACAGAGCCCATGGGAAGGAGTACTAGGTATAAATCCAGGGTACATAAATGTGTATTTTAGCTGGTTCAGATACAGTAATTTGAAAAGAAAACAATATTTTTAATGTATTTCTTGAGTTTGACTTTTCCATGGGAAGTCATATCAGAATATAATTGACAATCCTGTGTCAGATATATTCCTGAATTGGATTCTGTATTGAATCCCAGCTATCAAATGCATGGGGACTATCCAGGCCCTGCTGACATTGCGAGCAATGAGCTCATGTTAGAAGCAAGGCCTAGAGAGAAATGGTAAAATTGAAATATAAAATTTTCTATATACCCATGGATATTACTACCTAAGATAATATCAAATTAGCACCTCTGCCTTGCACCTTCCAACCCTTCATTTAGGTAAAGTTTATATTATATCGATTTCCTTGATCTCCTCATACAAGCTTATAGCTAGGACATAACTGGATATCAGATTAATACAAACGTTTATATGTTATGATTAATAAGTGTGAGGTCAAGATTCAAATGTCTCAAATACTAAATGCAGTCCCAATATTTCGGACTTGTCTAGTGTGATCTCATATTATCAGATTATAGAGATATTATACTCTGTATTTCGTATTGTTATTTTGTATACAGTAAAAAGGCTAGGGTATGATAATTACTATTATCCTACACTTAGTGTACTAAATGTATAATAACATTAAAAAATAAATTTGATATTTCTTGGCAAAATGAATATCCGGAGGATATCGTGATGATATACTCCGGGCGGAGGATATCGTGACGATATACTCCGGAAAACCCAATATGCGGAGGATATTGTGACGATATACTCCGCTTGTTGATTTCCCACCAAATTGACTCTATTTGGCATGAAATTCATTTTGCAATGATATTATACATTTAGTACACTCCTTGTAAGTGTAGGATAATAAGAACATCCTATGATTTTTTTCAGAATATCATTTTAATCTACTCTGTGATATTGATATATGCACTCGTTTGCTTCGCTCTCTCGTGCAGATATCAATATCACCTCGTAGATAAAAATGATATGCCTCAAAATCATAGGATATCCTATAAGTATCTGATTCTATGTAATCATCCTCCATCCTTTCCCAAAAGACAACCCTGCATTGATAAAATATAAGTGAATTAAGAAACCCTAGCCTAAAACAAAAAGTAGAATATGTGCATGTGAAGTCCTGTCTGAAGTAAACACAGTGAATTAAATGCATTTGTGGGAGGCTACAGGTACTTAGTACCTTTCTCCAGTTGTTTTTACCAAAATCCTCTGTTTTGAGAACTGTTTTCATTTTAAAATTTTGCTTTTGCCTGTTTTTTTCATACACTTTGCATGTCAGATATGAAATCTGATTTGTCCCATTGACTTCCATGGTATATTATTAGACTCTTATTCAATCCGTGGTGTCCATTACAGCTAGCTTTGTAATTTAATGGCATTGTAATCAGATGATATTCTGTAATAAAAGAGGGTGTGAAATCTTTCATTTTGAACAATTTTAGCACTGTTTACTCTAGACAAGAGTCATACTAGTTGTTTTGGATTTGGGATTCTATAGATTATATATTCAAAATCTGTTATTGTTCATGTATTTTCTAACAAAGTTTACTAATTTATTTACACAATAGAAAGTTTATGAAGAATGCAGATGTTTGTTTTGTTTGATTAATGGTACATTTAAAAGCTTTGGGTTGTATTTGACATGTGACTTTGGCCACAGAAAAGAATGCATTTATATGACAGTATGTCATCACCTACAAATGTACACTTCGTACATATAATATATCAACAAAATCATTTTATTACTTTTAAGTTATAACAAAGAAATGTAAAATTAATCATATAAAATGGCTGACTTATTGAGCAAACTGAGACTATGTCTTGTGTTTCCAAATTCTTGCAAATAAATATCAACAAAGTCATTTATTATCCCATCGAACGAAGTTCGGAGGGATATAGGGAATGCCTCCGTCCGTCCGTCCGTCCGTCCGTCCAGGCAATAACTCAAATACCGTTGGCCCGATTTTATTCATATTTTGTACACATATACCCTATGGGGGTAGAAGTTCTGCTCGAAAGCCGATTTTTAAAATGGCCGCTCATTTAAAAATGGCGGCCATTTTAGTGCCGATTTTACAGTAATTTAGGTGCAATATGTAAAACTGTAATAGCAATATGTTTTAAATGTAAAAAAAATTATATAGGACATTAATAAAGCTAGAAATGTAGATATTAAAAAAGCACATGGCAGCCATCTTGAAAAATGGCGGCCTTTACTCGTTATTTTACGATTTTTGCTGTAACTCGAAAAGTAGTGGAGCATTTTGTTCATATTTGGTATGTGAATACTATAAGCATGGCACACTGTCTAATGAAACTTTTGGTAGAAGGCGGCCATTTTGAAAAATGGCGGACATTTTAAAAAATGGCCGTCATTTTAACTTATTTTACTAAAACTCGAAAAGTAGCGGAGCGATTTTGTTCATATTTGGTATGTGAATACGTATAAGCATGGACACTGTCTAATGACACTTTTGGTAGAGGGCTTTCATTTTTCAAAATGGCCGCCATTTTAACGTATTTTACTATAACTCAAAAAGTAGTGGAGCGATTTTGTTCATATTCGGTATGTGAATACTGTAAGCATTGCACACTGTCTAATGACACTTTTGGTAGAAGGCAGCCATTTTGAAAAATGGTGGACATTTTGAAAAATGGCTGCCATTTTAACTTATTTTACTATAACTCGAAAAGTAGTGGAGCAATTTTGTTCATATATGGTACGTGAATACGTATAAGCATGGCACACTGTCTTTTGACACTTTTGGTAGAAGGCGGCCATTTTTCAAAATGTTCGCCATTTTAACGTATTTTACTATAACTCGAAAAGTAGTGGAGCGATTTTGTTCATATTTGGTATATGAATACTATAAGCATGGCACACTGTCTAATGAGACTTTTGGTAGAAGCCGGCCATTTTTCAAAATGGCCACCATTTTAACGTATTTTACTATAACTCGAAAAGTAGTAGAGCGATTTTGTTCATATTTGGTATGTGAATATTATAAGCATGGCAAACTGTCTAATGACACTTTTGGTAGAAGGTGCCCCTTTTGAAAAATGTTCGATGGGATTCGCTACGCTTTGGCGTTGCCGTTGTTCTGGTTTACTTTGTCTATAGGATACTTCCCTCTTATACCCCATTTAAAGACAGAATCAGATCTATAGGGGGTGACAAAATTCCAACCAACATGTACAATTAACCTCTCAATATATTCCTTACAATCGCAAATACAATATCTCCCAAAAGATTATATATACCAGTATATAATGTAATAAATAGGTTATCAAGGATTCAAAGTACAAAAATGGGGAGAATATTAAAATTCTCTCGAATGGTAAAAATGGTAACATGATTATTGAATAAAAACAATACATTATTGTAACAATCTTAAGTTTTCCTGAAATAAAGTATGCACTTTGGGGAGATTTACAAAAAATACATGACAAGAAATGACATGAGCCAAAATATGCTAAAATAGAAACAATTTTTCAGCTTGCTCACTTGATCTGATTCTCCCTTTAACTAATATTTTGCAATGTTCTTGTCCATTTGAAACAAAACTACATGTATATTAATAATATAACTTTATTGATAAATCCATCATAACTTATGGCACATTCATAACAAAGTTGATTAAACATAAAGTATAAAAAATGATCAATTACACAATTAGATGGTAAGATAATATTCCATAACACAATGCTTCTTAAAATTAAAATAAATATCATGATCATGTTTTAAAAAGAAGTCTTTCATCCAATAAATAGTAAAACTGCTTTTCCACAAATGTTTAATAATTATGATATCACAGATTAATAAATAATTCAAAATTCAACAAAATTGACTAACAAATTATCTAACAATGTATGGAATAATAATAAAATGATATAATTTCAACAATAAGTATTTGAGACTTAATTGTAAGCAATGTAACAATTTTGTATACATGTAATACAGAAAGTATCATTTCAATGATGAAATATTACATGTAGCGCTAATGCTTACATAACAATTTCTTATACTACAAACAGCATTAACATTTTTGATTTTAATGAAATTATGCTACATGAAAGTTTGATAATGTTTTGTTATTTAACATGTATGAAAATATTCATATTTTCCATGGCACAACATTTGGGTCATAGCCAGGCAAACTATATGTTGATGTGATAAGATTAGGTAGTACACAAGGTTGAGTTGAACCAGAAAATATGGCTTCCTGTACCCCTAAAGTCCCTAAAGAACTCTCTAGATTAGTTTGCTTCTCATTGGCATAGGTCTCCATGTTTGTGATGATGGTATCAGCAGCAGCTTGGGTTTCATTGGGGTGTATAACATCAGTCCCATTTTGTACATGCATAAGTTTCAATGTTTTAGCTTCGTACAAACATTCTGGTTTTTTCTTTTTAACCAAAGGCATCGTGCGATGAATCTTGTACTTTGGCATGCCTTCTTTGAGAGCTTTGTTGCAAGCTGGATGGCTCTTTCTGTGTGATTTTAACCCTGCACGTTGGGTAAAGCGGTCTCCACAACCGACACATTCATATGGTTTTTCACCAGTGTGAATCCTCATGTGCTGATCTAGATAAACTTTCCTACTGAAGTGATTGCCACATTCTGGGCACAGATGTACGCTGGTGTGGCTCTCTCTAAAGTGCCGCTTAAGCAGAAATTCAGTTTTAAATCTCCGGTGGCATTGTTCACATGGAATATTCAAGTCTTGGTCTACATGGAGGGCTTTACAATGTCCAACTAGACCTTGCAAACTCCGAAATTTATGCCCGCACGTTTCACATATATGAACATTCGTTCCATGAACTTCCTTCTTATGAACTTTCACACCATAATTCGACACGAATCTTTTATCACAAACATCACATGGCCACATTTTTGATTCTGTATGTGAAAAAACGTGGCACACATAGTCAGCCATTTGAGACCATCTTGAACCACAAGTTTTACAAATGATAGGTTTCTCACCATGATGAATCTTTAAATGTTTCACATAGGCATGGCTTGATATAGATGCTGCTGCCACATATGATTTCTCAACAGGAATAAGGACATCACACGAATCACATTGAAAGACTAAGTCACCTTTTTTGTCCAAGATTATAATTGGCCGTTCCCCTGCAAAATTAAATATAAGTACATGTATGGCACAAAACTACTTTTGATGTGTACAATTTTATCTAGAAGCAATTACATTATTGTTTGAACCTTGTGTAAAATTTCATATTTTAGTGTGCAAAGATGGAGGAAAAAGTAGTGAACCATTTGTAAAACTGTGATCAAAAATATTGCACGTAATACTTTAAATTACCATGGACATTGCATCTTTACTTTACATTACCATGGACATAGTCATTGCACCTATACTTAACATTACTTTGGACATTGCATCTATACTTTAAATTACCCTGGGGTTACCTGTATGTAGGATTTGATGCCTAGCCAGGTAAGGTTCATTAGAAAAGCTTTTAGAGCAGATATCACATGTCAGAAGTCCATGGGCCAATCGCTTATGTTCAGCTACAAGCTTGTAGGTGTCAAATGTTTCACCACACTTGGTACACTGTTTACCTGGAGATAAAATACAAGTACAAGTCTTATAGTGCTGTAGTGTAAATAGTTCTACACAGTTTGCTTAAATGGACTTTTTATATTCATTCTATCAAGGGTTAGCATAATACCTCTTATTTATCTACCTTTGTGGCTAATTTTTCTTTCTAATTTCAAGGTTACTTAATGATTTTGGTAACCATAGCAACAATGCAGAGTTTTTGTAGTTCACATTTTTAATCTTACAAACCTGATGCATATGAATGGACCATCCTCTTGTGTTCATCAACCTTAGCATATGTGGGAAATCTTTTTGAACACTCTGTACATGGTCTGCCTGCAATATAAATAATATTTCATTCTTTAAAGGGAGATATTCATTTAGATTTATAATTTAGATTCAGAACATGACTACATACTTCAAAAACATATCAATTTAGAGGAAAAAAATTAGTACCATGGGTACTGGGCTCACATGGTGACAGAAAAAAACTGATATAATTTTTTGCTGATTTTTTGTTACAAAATTATCTCAAGCCATCTGTCTCTCAGTCAATTAAAATGGCTGAAAAAAATAATGGATATAATTTTTTGCCAATAATTTGTAACAAAATTACTTCATACAACTACTCTTTACAGTGACATGGCTTTTTGCAATGCAAGACACCTGAAATTATTTGTAAAGCTAGGAAATGGGCCAAAATTGAATTTCGCGAGACAAAAATGGCGAAAAATAACTTGAAACTGGAATCCTATCGACAGAGGTTTTGAGCAAATGGTCCAAAAGAGGATTTCGCGAGACAGATGGACAAATCAATGTTAACTAAAATGGCTGAAAATAAAAAAAACGGATATAATATTTTGCTGATTTTTTGTAACAAAATTATTTCATACAACTACCTTTAACAGTGACATGGCTTTTTACAATGCAGGACAGCTGAAATTAAAGCTAAAATGTAAAGCTAGGAAATGGGCAAAAAGTGAATTTCGCGAAACAAGAATGGCAACCATTTTGAAAATAGGTGAACTTTTGAACCAAGAGTCATAGGAGAGTTTTTTGTATTGATGTTGAACAAAATTAACTTAAAATGGGAATCCTATCGACAGAGGGTTTAAGGTAAATGGTCCAAAAGTGGATTTTGCGAGACAGATGGACAAATCAATGTTAACTAAAATAGCTGAAAATAAATAAATGGATATAAATTTTCGCTGATTTTTCATAACAAAATTATTTCATACATCTACTCTTTACATTGACATGGATTTTTACAATGTAGGACACTTGAAATTATTTGTAAAGCTAGGAAATGGGTCAAAAGTGAATTTCGCGAGACAAAAGTGACGGCCATTTTGAAAATAGGCGAGCTTTTGAACCAGGAGTCATACGGAGGTTTTCTGTATTGATGTTGAACAGAAATAACTTAAAACAGGAATCCTATCGACAGAGGTTAGCTAGGAAATGGGCTAAAAGTGAATTTCGCAAGACAAAAGTGACGGCCATTTTGAAAATAGCCGAGCTTTTGAACCAAGAGTAATAGGAGAGTTTTTTGTATTGATGTTGAACAAAAATAACTTAAAATGGGAATCCTATCGACAGAGGGTTTAAGGTAAATGGTCCAAAAGTGAATTTTGCGAGACAGATGGACAAATCAATGTTAACTAAAATGGCTGAAAATAAATAAATGGATATAATTTTTCGCTGATTTTTCGTAACAAAATTATTTCATACATCTACTCTTTACTTTGCAATGGATTTCTACAATGTAGGACACTTGAAATTATTTGTAAAGCTAGGAAATGGGTCAAAAGTGAATTTCGCGAGACAAAAATGGCGGCCATTTTGAAAATAGGCGAGCTTTTGAACCAGGAGTCATAGGGGAGTTTTCTGAATTCATGTTGAACAGAAACAACTTAAAACAGGAATCCTATCGACAGAGGTTTTAAAACGTGCCACTGTTATTGACAGAAAGTGGATCTCGCGAGTCAGAAAGACAAATCAATGTTAACTAAAATGGCTGAAAATAAAAAAATGGATACAATTTTTCGCTGATTTTTTGTAACAAAATTATTTCATATATCTAATCTTTACATTGACATGGATTTTTACAATGTAGGACACCTGAAATTATTTGTAAAGCTAGGAAATGGGCCAAAAGTGAATTTCGCGAGACAAAAGTGACGGCCATTTTGAAAATAGGCGAGCTTTTGAACCAGGAGTCATACGGAGGTTTTCTGTATTGATGTTGAACAGAAATAACTTAAAACAGGAATCCTATCGACAGAGGTTAGCTAGGAAATGGGCTAAAAGTGAATTTCGCAAGACAAAAGTGACGGCCATTTTGAAAATAGGCAAGCTTTTGAACCAGGAGTCATCGGGCGGTTTTCTGTATTGATGTTGAACAGAAATAACTTAAAACAGGAATCCTATCGACAGAGGTTTTAAAACGTGCCACTATTGTTGACGGACAGACGGATGTACAGACGGACGTACAGACGGACGGATGGACAGACAGACAAGTGAGTGATTGCAAAAGCTCACCATGTGAGCTAATAATAATAACAATACCCTTAACAATATTCCAATTTGTAAAAGGTGCTTATGTATTTTCATGAAGGTGAAAGCCAATTTTCAAATTGTCAAGTGGCTACTTTTATGCTTTGGAGATCAGTGTTAAGCTATCTCAATTTTGGAATGGATAGATAAAATACTAGTATACATCATATTTCTGCTCAACAGTCTTTTTATTTAATACAAATATTGATGGACTTCTGGGTACAAGAGAAAGTTGTGTTATGACATTCATGATTATACCTGACAGTTTTACTGATGGCAGATTTTGGCAAGGAACAACAATACAAGGCATTAACATGGAAAATGTCACCACCTGCCATTTGTTACAGGTGCCCCACTGGCAACCGCCACAAGGGAAACACTGTCCAACAAAAATTGGAGACTATAACAATAGGTCATCATTTGTGGAAGTGACATAAAATACTATTTTGTTTAGAGGGATTTGTGCAACTCAATGGCATTTTTGCTTTTCTTGTTGAAAATACTTTTCTTGTTGAAACTACAGTAGAGGCTATATTTAGTCAACAAGTATGACTAAATGTACCTCTCAAACATGTGGACCTTTTGCATTTAACTTATTTTGCTGTTCTATAATAACTTTTATCTTCAACATATTCGTGTAATGTTAATTTGATACCATAAGGCAAGCTTTCAATCAACAATGTTTGATTAAGCACCCAGTGGACCTTTTATTGAAAGAATTTCTTCGCTAAAGAATACAGGTTTCTTTATAAGGAGAAACATTAATGAACAGGGCCCCAGTTTCATTTATCAGCTCAAGGACTTTAAAATGAGAAGATCTGGTGTCTTATATTCATAATACCACTGTGATATTTTACCAATTGAAATCTAAGGTAAAGGATAGTCCGATAGAAACATACAATAATACCTGTAAATATAAGACTGGGTCTAAGTTAAATGAATTCATATTGATTTCAAATTGTATTTTTATTCTATGATGGTTATAATCATTATATTCCAATAAAATGATATCCATGTTCACATATTTGCAAGACATCTACATTCACAGATTTGCTTGACATCCATGTTCACATGTTTGTTGGACATCCATGTTCATTTATTTGCTTGACATCCATGTTCACATATTTGCAGTATATGATTGCATGTGTATTTGCTTGACATCCATGTTCATACATTTGCTGTTAATGATTGCACATGTGTTTGCTTGACATCCATGTTCACATATTTGTTGCATATGATTGCACATGCATTTGCTTGACATCCATGTTCATATATTTGCTGTATATGACTGCACATGAATTTGCTTGACATCCATGTTTACATATTTGCTGTATATGATTGCACATGAATTTGCTTGACATCCATGTTTACACATTTGCTGTATTTGATTGCACATGAATTTGCTTGACATCCATATTCAAATATCTGCATGACATATCTGGTCACATATCTGCTGGGCGTGGAAGAATATGTCTAAATTGATTCAGTTCAGGTTTTGCCCCTTGGTGCTGAGTATCTTTCACATCAGCTGTCATATTGAAACCTGAAAGTATGTACAAAGTTTTTTCTGTAACTTTCGTTTGTTAAATATACAGACCACATGACTGTTATTTTAGATGTTTGAACACATATGATACTTCGATCGTTGTTATTTTAATGACTTTTATGACCAAACAGTTTAATGACATCATCGGGTCTTCCTAGATTTTACACCTGATAACATTTAATGGGAGGAGTGACTGTAATGCCATCTATGTTTTTAAATTCTAATCAATTTCTGTTGAATCATTGCCAGTTGAACAAAGTTTTTGAAAGGTGAACACATACAAGTGAATTGAGCTAAGAACTGATCAAGTATTTTAAAGATTTAGGACTAGAACATATTATATAGTTACAACCATAAACAATGAGTGATTCTGATGAACAATCTCAGGATGAAGGTGGTGTATCCAAAAAGGATGACGACAATTAATCAGAACATTCTAAAAATGATCTTTGAATAATGCTAGTTTTAAGTAATTCAAGTTCTAATTACTTTTTCATCAATATGTATCTAAATGGAAAGCCGCTTTCAGTTGAGGCATGTGCTTCTTACCTTGTGCAATAAGTGTATGAAGTGTAGTAGAGCGCAGAGAATTATTCGTATAAGATTTTGAAAGTCGTGTATCCTCTGATATAATCTTCATCATATTTCCAAGAGTGTTGTGACCAATAGGTTTACCATTGTACCAGACTGTGTCACCCATAGTTTGAAGATCAAGATCTCGCTGGAGCTGGTACTCTGAGGTCCTGAGTATTGGATACTGCCATAAGATGGTAGAGCTAGGGTTCAGTTTCTTGATGTAGTTCTCGTAAGAGGTTACTGGGCACAAAGGGTGACCTACAATGAATGTACACATCATAGGAGGTTACTGGTCACAAGGGGTCTAGTTGAATGTGCATATCAACGCATATTATAAGAGGTTGCTGGCTACAAGGGATGCTCTACAATGAATGTACAAGGTGACTGGAAAAAAGGAGACCACTGACATAGACAATATCTCCTAAACTAGACAAGTGACATCAATGAAATCTTGCACACTCCAGTACAGTTTTATGGAAATTTGTCCGTGAAACTTTCAATACAACCAGTCAACTTGATCAGGAGCTCTTATCATTTACATAACATGCTCCAATTTGCCACAATTGAGACCAAGGTAGAGCTGGATTCATATGGCAAAATACCCTTACATGTTCCGTTCTTGTAATGACATTACATTTAGCAGTGATTGCCTTTTTTAAGTCAGCATTTGTCTGGGGATTGTTTTGGTACACATTTTCATTCAAATAGTCCCACAAAAACAAATCAAGTGGATTCAAGATTGGGGTGTATGGAGATGAAGGGTCATCTGACCTACGGCTTATGACTCAGTGGCACTACTCAGTTAAAGTATCATCCTAAGGAAGTTTTGGGCAGCCCTTGGTTGCCATATGGGATTTAATTGTCAAGATGGCACTAAGTACTCCCTTTACCTAAAATGGCTTACTAGATTGGCTTAAAATCAACACTTTGGCAACAGCATCATAAACCATAGATCAGATGACCCTTCATCACCACTCAGCTTTTACTTGAATCCACCTGATTTCTTTTTGTGGGGCTTTTTGAAAGACAATGTATACCAAAACAATCCTCAGACAATTGCTGACCTAAAAAAGGCAATCACTGCTAAATGTAATGCCATTACAATGGTTAAATATGTAAGTTTATCTGCCATATGAATCCAGTTCTGCCTTGGTCTCAATTGCAGTAAATTGGAGCAATATAAATGATCACAGGTCCTTAAGCAGTTGACTGGTTGTATTGAAACTTCCAGGAACAAATATTTATAGAACTGATCTGGTGTGTGCAAAATTTCATCGATGTCACTTGTCTAGTTTAAGAGATATTGCCTACTTCAATGGTCTCCCTGTACATGATACAGGAGGTTACTGGCCACGAGGGATGGTCTAAAATGAATCTGCATACAATATGAGGTTACTGTTAAAAAGGGTGCTCTACAATGAATCTGCATACAATAGGTTATTGGTCACAAGGGGTGCTATATAATGAATGTACATGGCATAGGAGGTTACTGGTAACAAGGGGTGCTCTACAATGAATGTACAGGGCATAGAAGGTTATTGGTCACAAGGGGTGCTCTACAATGAATCTGCATACCATAGGAGGTTATTGGTCACAAGGGGTGCTCTATAATGAATGTACATGGCATAGAAGGTTATTGGTCACAAGGGGTGCTCTACAATGAATCTGCATACCATAGGAGGTTATTGGTCACAAGGGGTGCTATATAATGAATGTACATGGCATAGGAGGTTACTGGTAACAAGGGGTGCTCTACAATGAATCTGCATACCATAGGAGGTTATTGGTCACAAGGGGTGATCTACAATGAATGTACATGGCATAGGAGATTATTGGCCACAAGGGGTGCTCTACAATGAGTCTGCATACCATATTAGGTTATTGGTCACAAGGAGTGCTCTACAATGAATGTACATGGCATAGGATGTTATAGGTCACAAAGGGTGCTCTACAATGAATCTGCATACCATAGGAGGTTATTGGTCACAAGGGGTGCTCTATAATGAATCTGCATACCATATTAGGTTACTGGTCACAAGGGGTGCTCTACAATGAATGTACATGGCATAGGAGGTTATTGGTCACAAGGGGTGCCCTATAATGAATGTACATGGCATAGGAGGTAACTGGTCACAAGGGGTGCCCTATAATGAATCTGCATACCATATTAGGTTATTGGTCACAAGGGGTGCTCTACAATGAATGTACAGGGCATAGAAGGTTATTGGTCACAAGGGGTGCTCTACAATGAATCTGCATACCATATGAGGTTATTGGTCACAAGGGGTATTCTACAATGAAAGTACAGGGCATAGAAGGTTATTGGTCACAAGGGGTGCTCTCAGTGAATCTGCATACCATGTGAGGTTATTGGTCACAAGGGGTATTCTACAATGAATGTACATGGCGTAGGAGGTTAAAGGTCACAAGGGGTGCACTACAATGAATGTACGTGGCATAGGATGTTATAGGTCACAAGGGGTGCTCTACAATGAATCTGCATACCATATTAGGTTATTGGTCACAAAGAGTGCTCTACAATGAATGTACATGGCATAGGATGTTATAGGTCACAAGGGGTGCTCTACAATGAATCTGCATACCAAATGAGGTTATTGGTCATGAAGGGTGCTCTATAATGAATGTACATGGCATAGGAGGTTACTGGTCACAAAGGGTGCTCTACAATGAATCCGCATACCATATTAGGTTATTGGTCACAAGGGGTGCTCTACAATGAATGCACATGACATAGAAGGTTATTGGTCACAAGGGGTGCTCTACAATGAATGTACATGGCATAGGAGGTTATTGGTCAGAAGGGGTGCTCTACAATGAATGTACAGGGCATAGAAGGTTATTGGTCACAAGGGGTGCTCTACAATGAATGTACATGGCATAGGAGGTTATTGGTCACAAGGGGTGCTCTACAAAGAATGTACAGGGCATAGAAGGTTATTGGTCACAAGGGGCGCTCTACAATGAATGTACAAGGCATAGAAGGTTATTGGTCACAAGGGGTGCTCTATAATGAATGTACAGGGCATAGAAGGTTATTGGTCACAAGGGGTGCTCTACAATGAATCTGCATACCATATTAGGTTATTGGTCACTAGGGGCGCTCTACAATGAATGTACAAGGCATAGAAGGTTATTGGTCACAAGGGGTGCTCTAAAATGAATGTACATGGCATAGAAGGTTATTGGTCACAAGGGGTGCTCTACAATGAATCTGCATACCATATTAGGTTATTGGTCACTAGGGGTGCTCTACAATGAATGTACAAGGCATAGAAGGTTATTGGTCACAAGGGGTGCTCTAAAATGAATGTACATGGCATAGGAGGTTATTGGTCACAAGGGGTGCTCTACAATGAATGTACATATGGCAGAAGGTAACTAGACATAGGTGACTGACATACAGTAGATTTATGTGTACATTTCTTAATCAAGATAATCAGAATTATTATACACTGTACATGTATCTAAAAATACACTCGGTCAATACACATATGCATTCATATGCATGATTGTTTGAATTATGGTTCTAGTTCAGAAATCAGCAATGTTGATTTCAAAAGGAAAATTATATAAAAATGAAAAACATGTACCTTTAATCTCATACATTCTGCATTCACTTTGGGTGGGTCTATTAACACCACTCTTCTGATTGTTGGAAAAAGAATAAATGCTATCTGATGATTGCTCCACAAAACGAATTCCTTCAGAGTTCACAGATGTAACAAACGTTTCTTTGGTCATTGCTCTCAAATTCTCCCTACTTTTATGACAAAGATAGACCATGATGTCCACAAACACTTTATATTGCAATCCTTTTGGTGTTGTGAGATCAAGGTTTTTATAAAGCTTTTGTAAATCTTCATCTTCAATTACTGGAGTATGCTGTGTACCACCTTTGCCTAATTCAACAAGTTCATCTATCATATCTTTGAAAATTTTATTTGATGGTCTAAAAGCATCGCATGTGATCTCAATGTTCTTCTCTTCAAGTAAATATCTACCAATTCCCCATCTGAGCAGCTGGAAACTTTTCTTTTTGTATAAATCTCCATCTCTTTTACGCACCCTTACATAAAACTGTTGCAAAAATTCATCCATGTCCCTTGGGTCTGTTAGGTCACCTAAAGGTGTCACTCTGTGTTCTGTACAATATTCGGTCAATACACAGACTGTCTGTCTAATGTTCTTTTTTGTATTTGCACTCTTTTTATCCGCTGGTTCCTGTTTATAATCTCCATGGAGATTTGTTAACGTGGAGCTAGGCCCCATGTTAATATTGTCTGAAAATGATAGAAGTGAATCGTGGATCACTTGGTATAGAGGTATCCAATCAAGTCGTACAAATCATCAAATCAAGCATGTGATTGATTATTTCACTCCAATCGACAGAAAACACAAATCAACAATATATTTTATGGCAGCTTCCTCACATACATGTTCTCTTTTAATAATGTTAATCTGAACATGGACACAAACTTGTCAAAAGCATAAACGTTTTGAATGAAGATTTTGGACCAACCTGTAAATGCAATACAATATTGAGACCACATTACCCTGAAGAAAAGCTTTTCAAATGAATGATATACTGTAGTTTAAATCCATTTTGTATTATGTATTAATAAGTGAATACAGTTCTCAGGGCAGAACAACAATCATGCAATGTCACTCAAAAGTCAAAACCATATAGTTGTATTTGTTTTTGAAACCACTTTGGTGAATTGAAAAATAATTTGCAAAATATAATCTTCATCAAATGTTCTGTAAATTGTACTAATAAAATAGGCACCAATGTTGCAAAAGTGTCAAAAAACAACCCCAATTGATAACAAATACAGTGATATACATGCATTGCATTGTAGAAAATATTACAATGGTCATGCTCCAGTCTTATTTTCTGGAATGTCTTAATTATAAATAATGTTGATGATTTCCTGGTACATCCATGACTTAAAATTTTCTGGCATGTCTAGGATTTATTTTCTGCTGAAGTATACGTAAGAAATTTCCAGGCAAAGTATGATAGTTCTCTTACATGTTTCATAAGTAATTTCCTGACATGCATAAGTACCAATTTAACCTGACCATAATTCCTTCCCTTCAAATTCCATATTTTTCCCCTATTTGGCATATTAACATGACCAATATGACACCTGTTCTTAAGTAGGTAGATAACATTACCTGGAAGCCTTTTTTTCTTTGCATTCTTTGTTAGTTTTCTTTTCTTTGATCGTGTAGAGTAGGTGGAATCTGTATTTGCAGCCTCTTCTTCATATGCGTTATCACTAATAGGGTAAGTCAGCCCATCATCAATGTAGGAGTCTTCATGCTCTGAAATTAGTTGTAACTAACTTATGCCATGATTTTTCAGAAATTGCCCTGAAATAAATACTAAAATGATAGTTTATTTGGTGGTTATTTATAAGTTTGTCACACTCCATATATTAATAATATTCATAATATAAGTTAAACAAATTAACTCTTTAAGATATCATATTATATACTTTAAACATTTCATTTTTTCTGTCAGATGGACAGACAGATGGACGGACGGATGGAGGAGTATATCCCTATAGAACGTTGTTCGTTGGGATTAAAAGCACAACTGCATATACATGTACAGGCAAACATTCTTTGTTCAGATTTATAAAAGATTCTGAGCTTACAGTGTGGCAAATAAAGCATTTCTGTAGCTGGACATTGTTTTAGTTGAGCATAGTTATTATTATATCTGTGGGCAGAGAAACACTCCAGGGAATTTTTTCAGACTCATCATTCACAGTGATCTCCCCAGGATTTTTTCTCAGGTGGGTGCAAAATTCTCATTTTCGAAATTCAGACCAAAATTGGTCAAAATATGCCAATTTTTAATGATTTTTCTCATTTTCAAGTGGGTGCAAATGGATTTTCAGGTGAGTGCAAGCCTATTTTCAAAATCTCAGGTGGGTGCTGCACCCACTTGCTTTAATGCTGGGGAGATCACTGATTCATCCAGTATTGATGCCTTATTTTCCACAAAAATTTCAATGTAGAGTACTGTATTATACCTTTCACAAGTTCCTGTTTAACATTAACCACACAGCCTGGTTCTCCTAAATCATCACCCTCCTGTATTCCAGTTTCAGAGGATGGAGGAGGGTAGTAACAATCCAGGGGCTCTGTGTTATCATCAGAGGGGTAAAACTGCTGAGAGTCAATTGTTTCATCATGTCCTACTTCTTGCTTAACATTAACATCACAACTTGATATATTCATAGTATCACCAAGTACCTCAGTAGCACTGTCATTGTTTAATTTTGGACTTCTTAATCGCTGTTTAAGTTTAGTCTGATCTGATGATTTGTTCTGAAAGAGACTTGAATCACAATCAAGTAGGAAATCATTCATGTCTAGTTTGATAGCCAGTCTCATTACTTGTTGTATATCGGCACTTGGAATGTTAACTGTCTGACCATACATATAATCCAGTATGTATCTGAGGATATGTGGAAGAATATCTTGCTCGGTGTCCAACTCTGCACAGTTCACCATCACCATGTGGTCTACTAGGTAAGTAACTTGGGCAGCCACAACAGGGCTGTACTGGCACACAATAGCCTTATGGCCTAACAACTCAGAGCCATCTTTTAAGAGAAAGCGAACATCAGCAAGTTTTGTGTCATTCCTCAGCTGACGGAGTTTTGTACAAAGATAAGAATTGTCTACAGTGTACATTGTTTTTCCTTGGTTTGTGGCTGCTTCTTGCTTTTGAAACAAACTAAGACTGTCCAGTTTATGTTCTGCATCAATATTCATTGTATTGTATGTTTTATCTGGGTTTGAACTCATTGTGCAGATTGATTACTGGATCTGCATACTATTGGATGTTTGCTTTGGATCTAGTCTTTTACCTGGAAAAATAGAAATAATTGAAAAATAGTGAATGTTTGGGGTAGATTCTGCCAAAAACTGTATTTAGACTAAAGCACACCCTATGCACTGTGCTATATAAGAAAACTATCATTGCAGAAGTACTTAGGTGTACGCGGGTGCAGACTTGACGGTCCTTTTTGAATTTGGGATAGTTCATAAACTAAGGCATAATATGAAATTGCCAAATGCGCAAATGTGTGACAAATATGCAAATTGCGGGACAGTTGGACGGCCTGGGTGCATTTTAAATTTTTATAATTCGACATAAACTGAGATTTAATAATCTTTAAAATTGAACCCTTCAAAGACTCCCGGGGGGTTCACTATATATAAACCTTGACGGCGATCCTCGGTGCATGTGGGGTACCTTTTTCAACGTTTGGTATGGCAATGGACCCATATTTTAGGATTTGGTATGGGAATGCCCGGAAATTTCTGACTTCTCGGTCTGAGGTATGGCAATGGTCGGACTTTTGCTCTTCTGGTATGAGAATGGTCGTTGTAGATACGTTACCTAACATTCGTGGTATGGCATTGGTCCAGTAGTTGCAAATTTGAAGTTGTTTTGGATCGTTTCCCGAAGAATCTTCTTTTCCAGGGCCTTCTTCAACTTTTGAATTTTAGCCCTTTTCCCGGGAAATGAGGACCAATCATAGGCTTTGATGTAGTCTCGCGAGATTTTTCGTGATTTCAATACAAAACTTGCCGCCAAGAAAAATGGACGCTCGATTCGAAAAGTGGTTGATTTCCAAATAGTAGCTAATATTTCAAAATTTGCCATATTTGCCAAATTAAAGCAGTACAGTAAGTCTAGTCAACTATCTAAGGTTAAATCTCATTTTTATTATCTAGTATCATGCATTCTTAGACTGATGTAGTGACTAGAAATTGGGCCAAAGATAAGAGTAAGATGTTAAAAATAAAATATATTTATATAACTGAATCCGAACATTTTATGTGATGTATCGCTATGAGTAAAAGTGTGTGTCGTGTTCAGTATGGCATTTGTCCTTGATTTGAGGTATGGCGATTGGTCCTGTATTTGCACATTTGTATGACATTGATCCTATATTTCATTTACTTTGAATTAAGGTATGGCATTGGTCCCATATTTGGACATTTGGTATGGCATTGGTCTTACATTTTGACATTTGGTATGGCATTGGTCCCATAATTGGGCATTTGGTATGGCATTGGCCCGGGGGCATTGGTCCTATATTTGGACATTTGGTATGGCATTGGTCCTATATTTGGACATTTGGTATGGCCTTTGGGCGTTATTTTGGTTGGTATGGGAACATATTGAAATTTGACTGATTGGTATGGGAACATATTGATATTTGAGACTTCAGCCTAGGACCCCCGTCGAGTTTTAGATACAGTGAACCCCCCGGGCAAAGACTGTATCATGTCCCACGTACGTGAGTAGATGGTATGAGGTAGGAGGTTTTTTACGGGCATAACTTGGCCTTTTTTAGGAAAAGTATCAAAAAGGGAATAAAATTTTGAAGTTGGGCCCAAATTTTGGTTTTAGTGGTCCAGAATTTTTTTGTGTAGAAGATTTTTTCCTGACTTTGATACGCCAATACTGACAGAGTAACTTCGATTTTATTTTTCACAGTAGATCTCATACAGCTTGGATCTAGATCTAGTTTAAGTAATCTGAGCCATGATCATTCAATCTACTGAACCGACTGTATAGGCTAACTATTTTTTAGATGTAGACCTTCTTAGATAGTGTTTCTGTAATTGTCTTTACTAAGATTAGTTTACTTGTTTTTCAAAAGATGGCAGACCAAAAACTCAAAATTTCCAGAATTTTCTTTTCTTAGATTATATTCAATCAGTTGATCATCATACATACCGTTGTTGCTACATAATAAATCCTTATCACACTTGTTCTCGGAAAAAAGCACTGCTTATAATTTTGCATAGGCTACTCGAACGTCAATTTCTCTGAAAGTTTGAATTTACAATCAACACTAATTATACGGAAAGAAAAACAATGACTACTCGTTAGAAGGTCAAACACTTGTTTCCTTAAATCTAGATTAGAACCTCGTTTTATCGATTCAAAATTGAATCTGTTTGATAAAAGGTACTATTTTTCACGATTTTTCATAATAATATTTTCATTTTCTAACAATATCAGTTCAAACGAGCCCTTATAAAATTTATGCTAATGAGATCAAAAAATTTCTAACGAGGCGCCATTGGTACCCGTTCTATGACCCTGGAAAGAGCCTTTGTTCTTGTTGCACAAAAAACATGAAATTAGACATATAAGGTCGATTTTAAAAATAAAAGGATATCGCCTAAATGTAGCTTAATATCAGGGGAACATATAGGACGATAAAGGTAAGATTATTTTTTCTTATTTTTATGAATAATCCACGATTAAAATCAGGAATTTTCAGGCCCTGGATCTAAGGGCTGATCCGCCATTGTGACGACGCATGCTCTGCACGAAAAGACATTTCCAAATAAATTAATTTATTATGGCATGTTTAGTAATCAATATTCCGTTTCATGTATTTCTTTTGATGTTTCATGTAGGCTAACTTAGCTACTCTGATGATTATAGACTCATATTTGAAGTATTTTCTTTGTTCTCTGACCAGACATTGACTTTCTTTGTTTCAGAATGGACACACCCACTCTTCCACCAGATGGGCAACCTGGGGTATCTCCTGATGTCCCTCGTTCAACTGCAATACCAATATCACAACATATGCAACACGCTCAACCAGCTATAACAGGGCCACCTCTCCCACCAGTGTCACACTTTTCTGATCAGATCTCGCATGGTCGACATTACCAGCCAAGCTTGCCTCCCTCCACTTATAATAATAGTTCAGAACCAGTGGCTTATGCTCCTGGTACTGATTCAACCTCATATAGAAGCAGTGTCACCAGTGATTCTTACAGACCTAGTCCAGATCATGATTCTTATAGACCTAGTCCAGATGTGTCAACCTACAGGGGTCCACCCCCACCAGGACAATCTTACAGGCCCAGCCCTGACCCATACAGGCCTGGAGACCATCAGTCATACAGACCTCCTGGCACTGTAGATCCCAGTAATGATTATCGATCGAGGATTGAAGACCAGTATAGAACTGAAAATGATAGATTTAGACCAAGACCCGATGCAGAGCAATATAGACATGGTGCAGATAATGAACAATTCAGAGCTAATGTTGAGCAATTCAGAGCAAGTACAGATGCTGTCATGTTTAGACCTCCTAATGGTGATGCTGGTAGCTATCGACCTGGTTCCGAGCCTACTTATTCAGCAACACCTGATCTGCAGAGCCAGACATTCAGGCCTGATGTGCAATCTCGACCAGCAGCCTCGGATAACAATGTCCCTCAAAACATCCCTCAGACAGTTGGCTTTGATGATCCTCTTTACAGAGCAGGGAATAAACCAGCAGAAAGTACTACACCACCGCCCACACAACCTGAAGAGAATACAGAATCTGAGCCAGCTCTGGTGAAATCACAACCTCCCTCACCAGTAAATGCAGACCTTGCTGATGTAATTAACAACACAATCGGGGAACCACTCACTGTGCGTAATCGTACAACAAAGTCTAAACTTCAAAACCTGCGTAAAAGTCAACTGTTTGCTGATGTTGTCTTTATGTTTCGTGGAGGAAAGGAAATCTGGGCTCACAAGGCTTTAGTATGTGAATACAGCAGCTACGTGTTACAGCTTTGTAGCACAATGCGCACATTTGATGCCCAACAGACACAATCTTGTGTCATGGTAGACATTGAGAAAATTGACTCAAGCATTGAAATCAAAGAGGACATCCTGAATATGGCTCTTGATTTCATATATGGCGAACCATTAAAAGTACTTCCCACAGACATGGATGACCTGGTGTGGCTCTCTCAGAAACTACACATGCCTGACCTCCATGCTGCCTTGCTAGACACTATTAAGGCAAATCCTGATTATAAAGATCCCAAACGAATACCAGTAAAAACAGAAATGATCAGTAATGATGATGACAGTGCAACAGACATTGATGAAGTATCACCGAAGAACTCATCATTGATTACATTTGGGACTCAGACAATTGAAACTGCGATCTTGGGAACAACAAAAGGGAGATCAAAACGCAAGAAAACAATACCAAAGAGACATGTGCCAGGGCCAGGTAGACCCAAGAGGAATGCTAAGTCAAAGTTTATACGCAAAGTCAAGCCACCACCAGTTCCTGTCAATGAAGAGGGTGTTCCAATAGATGAGGAGGGTAATGTTATATTGGATGAGAATGGCCAACCTTTACCACCAATTCCTCCACAAGAAGAAAAACCAGAAGGTAAGTCATTATTTTTGACAATTTGAAGTAGAAGTCTGGTAACAAGTTTTTGCTTTTGACTTTAGTGTATGATATGTTTTTCTACATGATATATTACTGTTCACTTCATCTTTTCCTTATATATATGCGATTTTATACTTAATTCTCTGAATATTTGATGCTGTTTTTTATTCAATTATTTGGTCTTATAGAAGTAGAAGAAGAGGTGCCTACATTTGATGAAGAAATGGAAACTCTTGATGCTGAACTTGGAGTCCCTGCTACCCCAGAGCCAGACCCTGAAGATGATCCTGACTTTAGTGCAAGTGGCTATATTAGGAGATCAAAGAGAAAGACGAGGGCTCGTATCACTGGTTCTGGGGTCTTCTCAACCAGACGTAAATATAGTGAGTATCCTTCTGTTATTATTGTTTGTCAGTAGTTAATTATTTTTCCTATGATTGAAGTTTGGTATAGTGAAACCCTTAGCTGTCTATCTGTCAGCTGGAGCATAAGTCAGATACTAGTTGACAGATTAAAGATTTTCTATTAAGTAAAAAAATCGAAATATTCCTACAAAATACTTTTTTGTCAAAATTGCTGTCACTTCAAAATTTGTGTGAAGTTTTTCATTTCAAGTTAAATTAATGAGTATTATTGCATGATGTACAATATTTTTGTGATTCTTTTATTGCAGTTAAAAAAGATCCTAACAGACCAAAAGAGCCAAGGATTCGAAAACGAAGTAAGTTTCACTGGTATTTGTTTTCACCATTCTTCATGTTTAAGAAATAATACAATTCGAAATGTTGATTCTAGAACTGCCAGAATGTCCTAGAAACAACAAGTAAAGAATCTTGGATTGCATCACTGATGGAAAATCCTTAAATAGAGCGAAGAAGCCTATCTTAACTCATACATACATACATATGTTTCCTTTAATATATCTGTGGTTGTTTTCAGATCGTAAGCCAAAGGAGAAAAGGGAAGGGGAACCAAAGAGTCGCAGGAAGAACAAATGCAATAAGTGTATGTTACAACATGCTACGGTTGAAGATCTTTACAATCATAAGATCCAGGTTCACCACCTGTTTGGATGCGAGCTCTGCAAGCGTTGCTTTGATGCAGAGGATATGCTGAAGATACATCAATTGACTCATTCAGGTGAGAATCTTTTGCCTTATTTAGGATCTATATGCCAGCACCATTGTACCATCTTTTATGTCTTTCAATTAGTGTATCACTTTTTTAATGGCCGTTATGATTCAGACTCATTTCTCCTTCAAGGATTCACATCACATATTGTCATTTTGAAATCTCAATATGTAATTCTTCTGTGAAACATGACTGTATTGGGACTTTATTTCATTACTTCAGATTATGTGAGATTTGTTGAGTAGATGTAACATTCATTATTAGTCGAATTAGTGGTTGGAAATGTTTAATTTGAAAATCATTTTTAAAGATAGAATACACATCATGCCTAACCTGTGTTAGTCTACATTGGCTGATTTCTCTACCAGGTTTTGATATCTTTTTTGTTCTATTTTTGTTAGTCTTGATCATGAATGTGACATTTTGCAGAATGTCTTTTCCTGTTGGTCTGATAAATTGGAGACTTTTGTCGATCATATTATCATATTTTCATCATGTTGTTTCTTCATTATTGTTAGTTAAGTTAAAGTATCATCCACAATAGGAACTGGCAAATAGATCCACGAGAGTATGTGTCCATGTTAACCCCCGCATTTCACAGCACAGAAGCAAATTAGCATTTTATCAATGAAAATCAATATGAAATCACAAGTAGCAGCATTTGAAAAACAGAATATGCAAGTTCAGATATATGTTGTTACAATTAAATTCCTTTGTAATTAACTAAGAACTTCACCTGTATTGTGAGTTCGTGGCATATCTTGCATCTTTTAGTTGAATATAAATTCTTATTGTTGAAAATTAATTATGAAACAATTGATTACTAATTGTTCACTTAGCCTATTCTTTTACTGATGTTTTATTAAAGACTTTTTATCATGGACACATAGTCTTTTTAATCTATATAGTTTTAGTGTAAGGTGTTTGTGTCTGATTTTATAGCAATAGAAAGGTCTCCTGGACTTAGCTCATTGAAGCCAATGTTGTTCCGACTCATGCTTTAATACATTACTGACCAATTAAATCGACCCAAAAATTACAACTTATTGTTTGCTCCATTTAAAGCATTTATTTCATAAGTTCTCAATTCACCCTCTCTTGCTATCACTATTCCAGTGCAAAAAATGTCTTTTAGCATAAGTTGAACAACATTCTTCATCTTAAGAAAACTCAAATCTAACATGTTGAATTTGTTATAATCTATTCTGTGTAATGTGAGGTTGTCAACAAAGCTGTGTTGACTTAATTCACACAAAGATGTACATTAAGGATGAAAGCAAAAATAACCTTCAAATATGTTCATCTTTGGAATGATTTACATCAGCCCAATACTTTTTGGGGGTTGTATTTTGTTTATTGTGGCATTTAACAGTAGAAGAGATGAATAGATTTGGAAGGATATTTTCTTGAAACTGCACAATTCATCTAGAATGAATTTGTTCAATATTCTAAAAAAATTTGAGTGTTGTGCGTGGTGATTTTCAGGCCATTTTTAATTTTAGGTCATTCTTTTCAGGGTAGTAAACATATAGAAGTTAATTGCATTTTTAGAGTTAATAATAAGGCACAAATGATGCTTGTTGCATTAGCGAGGGTCCAGCTGGTCAACAAAGGACGTGAACAATTTCCCTTTTCAGGTTGATGATTTTGCCTTTCAGCTATTTGACATGTTCAGTTTACCCATGCATTATAAACCCTGGTTTATTTGAAGAATAGCCTATTGTCGCTTGGTAATGCTTGTGTTCAAGGATGTTGAATGTAGTAAAGGTTTCACAGGGTCATGATAGTTTGAAGTTGCCAACATGTTTGTGTATACGTATTTGTATATAATGGGGTTTACTTGTCTATGTAGGATACACACATCTCCAAGATTATTTCAAGCTTGACTAATACAGTCTCATGATTGGGCTTCAAAATATTAAAACCCTTGGGGCCAATTTTGGAAAAGTTGAGCTTGAATAATCTGGAGTGTGTGTACTTGCAGGGAAGAATCCATATATGAAAATTACTGATGAGGGGGAAGTGTCTTACCATTGTGATGAGTGCAAGATGAGGACTCCTGATTTGTTACAATTGATGCGGCATCTACGTGTAATTCACCGTCGCGATAAAGCCCGTCCTCTCAACTGTTCAGAGTGTGATTATAAACCTACTGGTATGTCGGAATATGGACGCCATATGTACTGTCATTTTGGTGAAAAACATAACAAGTGCCAAATTTGTAATGCATCGTTCAAAACACGCAATCAGCTAGCCAATCACTCTCTCACACATACAGACCAAAGGAATTATGTATGTTCAGTATGTGGGAAAGCATTCAGGAAGGGGGCTCATATGAGAAATCATGAATTAACTCATGTTACTGACAATGAGAAAACCTACAAATGTAATATATGCAGCAAGGCCTATGCAAGCGAAGCTCATTTAACCCAGCATAAACGAGAACATAACCGTGCCTTCCATTGTGACATATGCGGGAAGAGATTTGGTAGATCTGAACACCTGAAGGGGCATTTATTGAGACATAGTGGTATTAAACCTTTCCATTGTGAATTCTGTGGAAAGGGATATGCTGATGTTCGAGATTACCGTCGTCATGTTCAGCTTAACCATACATCTGGTTCTGACGATGCACAATCCTTACAAAGCAAAGTTAGAGGAGCTCATAGCTGCCCTGATTGTGGCAAACGATATGCTGATAAACGTACAATGAAAAAACATATTAAGACAAGCCATAGTCAACCTGCCATGCCAGATATCAATTTGAAGGCAGAATCAGCTGCTTTAGAAAAAATCAATATGAAGGGTGAATCAGTAACTTTAGAGATGCAATCTGTTAATAGCAACAGCTACCCAACTCTTGTCAATGAACATATTGTGCCTATGACAGTGCCAGATCCCCGCCAAGGATATTTCCATACTGTGCCAACAATACAAACCGTACCTCCAATGACTCTACCATTGACCCTGGCTGACCAGGGAATACAATATCAGTTTATAGACCCTACCTCATTAGGTATACAATGTCGATTCTGTGGGATAATGTTCACTAAAGAAGACGACTATCATACTCATTTACATCAGACACATTCATTTGCTCCTACTACTGTAGATAGAGTTATCAGCTCTTCAGGGTATTAATATCAACATAAACCCCTTTTTATTATTTAATTTTTACAAATTATCAGCATTATTATTTTTTTGCTTGTCATGGATCTAAGCTAAGTGTTGTACTGCTTGTCCTCATGAGCTCAGTTTATTATAAGTGTTCAACTACTTGCCATTTACTATTTAGATGTTTGAAGAATAAGTTATTGCCGAAGTTGTTCTGATTTTGTTGATGCTAATTTTTATAGTTATAAAGTACAGTAGTTAGTTTGTAAACAAGGAATAATATCACGGGGGTAAAGCAGACCCGATGATGCAATGAGCTTGCTCGGCGGATTGACTGTGTAACGGGTCTTAATGTATAAGTGTACTCAGCGTAAGGTTCAAACAACGCTGATCCTCAAAGCATCTGCTCATGGTATATTCGTGTTTTAACACCCGTGAATATGTACTTGTATATTAATCAAATGCAATATTTTAAACATTTAGCCATGTCAATTTGAGACAACAGTGCCAAGTAAATTATTGGTCAAGTTATGAAACGATAGTTCTAGTTCTGAATGATTAGCCAAAGATCATATATTCATTATATAGTTATGCTTCATTGGGACTCAACCATTTTGGTAATTGTTCCCTAAATGTTGGTGCTTTAATACAGTATTATTAGTTATACTTATATAAACATAGTATAAAAAGTATTTTAGAATAGATAAATAAAAACAATCAATTATCTTCAGTTAATTTCAGCTTGAAGCAAAAGATTCAAAATATTTGATTTTGCAAAATAGACATTAAACTACATGCATACACTTCCTTAAGTTCTCCTTTTGTGATGTCATGGTTACCATGATTATAACACAGTGAGGAATTTCGTAACCACGAGCCTTCCCTTATCAGTTTTAACAGGAATTAGCTTAGTTTTTCTCAACTCAACATATATCTGTGCTACTATTTCTGCTGCTTCCACATAGTGTAATGGTGGCCTGTGTGTACTTGCAGGGCACAATCGCTATGTAACATACACCAGCACCAATGAACCAGTATATCATTGTGATCTCTGTGATAACACATACCTAAACAGCCACAAACTCATGCAACATTTAAGGCAGGAACATGGCAGAGATGATCTGCGCCCTCTGCAATGTGCTGAATGTGATTACTGCCCAAGGAGTATATATGAATACAACAAACATATGTGGTGCCACAAAGGAGAGAAAGATCATAGGTGTGCTACTTGTGGCTCAGAGTTCAAACTCCAGGAACAGTTAGACTCGCATATGTTGACTCATACTGATAAAAGAAAATATGTATGTGAAACTTGTGGGAAAGCATTTAGAAAATTATGCACATTACGTGATCATGTCACGACTCATGTTAAGGAAAGTGATAAGAAATTTAAATGTAAAACCTGTGGAAAGGCTTATGGAAATGAAAACCTGTTATATATTCATGAAAAGGAACATAAACTTCTAAACCATTGTCATATTTGTGGTAAGAGATTTGGTCGTCTTACTCACCTTAAGGACCATCTAAAACGACATAGTGGTGTGAAACCATTTAAGTGTGAGATTTGCGCTAAATGTTACGCAGATGTAAGAGATCTTCGTAAACACATTAAATCAGTTCATGCTCACAAACCAGATGACATTAACACTCAAATCTTAACATTTGGAAGTATGCTAAACATCTAATAAACACTTTCTCACAAATCAAATCATCCTTCTTCAAAGGACTTATTGATGCTTAAAATACTATATACCCTTGCGGCAAGGGTGAAATCAAATTATTATTTAACTTTGTAATTATATATTCAGCTTATTTGAAAATGATTTGAAGATATTGAAGTAAATAAAAATATAAAAATGACGTAGGTGCTTTAGTAATCAGTTTGCTCTTAGTATGTAGGTAAGTCTCTTAATATGTAGGTAAATAGGGAAGGTGGATGCAAACCAGATATGGCCAATGGAAGTTATATTATAAAATGTTTTGCATTAGTTTAAAAATTATTACATTACCAGTGTTATAACAATAACAATCCCTTGCCTTTATAATAAATTGTATCAATGATGCAAAACACTTTTCAATTCCAATGGCCTAATCTGGGCTTGTTTATGTTTGCAGGCGTGCATCCTTACATTAAATACAATGAATCGGGAGACAGAATAATCGAATGCTGTGAGTGTGGCGAAACATTTGAGTTGACTGCCCATCTTCTTAATCACCTCAGGGTGGACCATGATCGTGATGATGATAAAGCAGTACATTGCAAAGAAGATGGTTGTGATTATAAATGTGCAGGATTCTATACATTTGGTTTCCACCTTGGGTCTCATTTCGAGCAGATATTTCGAGTAAACTGTCAAGAGTGTGGAGCTAGTATGAAAAGCACGCATAGCCTCAAGCTGCACATAAAGCATGTACATAGTGAAGTAAGGGATCACATGTGTACTGTATGTGGTAAAGCCTTCAAGAGAGGGAACCAACTAAAGGAGCACTTCCAGGTTCACATGGAAGACATAGAGAAGACCTTTAATTGTAGAACATGTGATAAGAAATATGGAAGTCGATATAAACTTCTCCGTCATGAAAGAACACATAACAAACCATATCATTGTGAGATATGTGGACAAAGTTTTGCACGTATGGAACATATGACCAATCACAAAGCCACTCACAATAAAGCATTTAAGTGTGAAAAATGTGACAAATTGTTTTCTCTCCCTGATCAGTTAAAGAAACATCTTGAGGCACATGAAAAATACTTCAAGTGTGAAAAATGTGGCCAAGAATTTAACACTGCAAGTAAATTTAGCAAACATTTATTGCTACATGAGAAACATCCTGATAAGGTAGATTCAGAAAAATATAAAAAATATGGATGTTCTAGGTGTGAAAAGAGATTTGCAAGTAACAAATTATTAAGACGTCATATTGCAAGGCATAATGACGCCACTTATCACTGTGAAATATGTAAGAGAATGTTCACATGTATGGAGTATTTAAACCGACATAATAAGAGAACACACAATATAACCAAGCTACTACAATGTGAAATGTGTGATCTAACTTTCTCACAAGCCATTCGGTTAGCTCAACACATGAAAAAACAACATTCCCTTGAAAGTAATGAAATCGTGAAGGAGATAGAAGTATCAGATATGTTTACATGTTCAGTATGTAATGCAAAGTTTAGTTGTAGAAAAGACTTGCAAGAACATATAAGTGCTCATATTCCTGTTGATAACACTCCAATGATGGGTCACTATGGGTTCCCTCCAAGAGCCCATATGGGGCACATAGCTCAAGTTCACCCTAGTGGGACTGGGATATATACTCTACTGGTTGATTCAGGATCAACAACTACATCCAAAAACATAACACCACAATATTAATCACAACTGATCATGTTGAACACAATGGACATATTTTAGATTGTACAGTATTATATTTTTTAGTTTTGCACAAATAAAAATGCACATTTTCATATTATACAAACTCAATTTCTTTGTTTACTTCTTAGATTATCGCAAACTTATCTTAAATTTGAGCTTTAAAATCAATTTTTGGCCTGAAAATATGAAAAAAGGAATCCATTGTTTGTTAAAGAAATGAAATTAAGAATCTAGTTGCCTGATATTCATTCTTCAGTTCCTAGCTAATTAACCAGAGTATTTATTCTACTGGCCCTACCTTAACTCAAGTTCTGAAACAATTATTATTATGTGGATCTCATATGATTGTTATTGATTAGATAAACAATATTTCTCTATATTGCTTCTGATAGGAGAAATATATTTTAAAAGCAAGTGCTGAGTCAAATAAGACTAATGCAACATACTGGTATACTGTAAAACCGCATTACATTGTATTATCAGTCATGTAGCCTACTAATGGTAGTTTTATATATTAAACTCACAGATGTCATTTTGGCAATGTCATTATAAACAAAGTTGTCATCTAGGTATATATGCTGTGTTAGATGACTTAAGACATGAGTTTATTTTCTGATATCTAACACAGTATATTTTCTTTTATAGGTATGGTGCCATTTGTGATCTATTCTGGTGATGGTACCGAAATGCAATACAAATGCGATATATGTCAGGAGACATTTAACAGCTCACCTAAACTATATGAACATCGTGAAAAAATACACAATATTAAGGATTTTAAGTGCCCTTATTGTGATCTAGATAAACCAAATCTACATGAATTTGTCAAGCATATCTATAAAAGTCATTTCCACCAAGGCGAAGGAATTCACAAGTGCCCTATATGTGGTAGAGGATTTAAATACAAGTCGGCAATACCTAACCATGTTTTAACACATACCAAAGAGAAACCACACATGTGTTCAACATGTGGCAAAAGTTTCACATTGCTCTCTACTTTGAAACACCATGAGGAGGTTCATATGAGTGAGGGTGAGAAGGCCTATAGGTGTTCACAGTGCGGTAAATGTTATGGCTGTGAAAAGCGACTGAAAGAACATTCTAAAAGTCACTATAAACCTCACCAATGTTCACTTTGTGGTTTCCGATTCTCAAGACAACATCATTTAAACAGACACATGAAAACTCAGCATTCAGACCTGAAAAAAGAACTGAAGATCAAATCTGATAAACCAGATTCTAAAAATCATGACACACCATTTATTGAAAATAGTGGTGAAGAGCCACAAACAAGTTTAATGCAACCCATTCCCCCTATGTTAAGCTTTAGGGGGGTCAGACAACCTGGAGAAATAGCCTGCTCTTCTTTGGGAAGAAACCCTGAGGGAGGGGAATATACAGAAACGGAACAGCCAGTATTTCACTTCCAAAGTGACACTCAGTCTAATAGCAATATATCACGTCTTGGAAGTTTTTTATATTAACTTGCCAAAATGTAATTGAGTGGCAAATTGAGAGACTGAATTGACATTCTGTTTTATTATGAATTTGCATGCAATATTATAGAATATGCTTCTATTTACTATTGTACTTATACCAATGCAAAAATGAGAAACCTTCTATCAAGTATATTTTAAACAGAAAGATCTGAAGGTGGTCTATTATAAGATTTTATAAATTCAAAGTGCTCTCACATTTTAATTTTCAAATGATTTGGTGCAAGTGTTAACTAATTAATGTGCAGTATTTCAGTTTTATAAAAAAATAAATCAACATTTAAATCAAAATGTTTACTTTGTTGTCTGATAAGAGTCTATTGACTCAATATATTTATAGCATGCGCGGGTATTTAGTATATTTCCTAATTATTGCAGTTCTTCACGAGTAATTTGCTTGTCTATAATATATATTAACTGGTTACTAGGGAAATGAAGTTAGAATTTTGCTGAAGCAATCAAAATTGATGAAAATGTTAAGAGTTGAATTAATATTCAGTTGCTGCAGGGGACATTATATATTTTGCATGTAACCCTTACAATGTGCATGGATGCACTTTGACTTAAGTACAAGTATTAAGAATACTGAAAGAATATCATCAGAAAGAACTTTCCTCCTATATACAAGACTTGGAACCTTTTTGTGTGGGTGGTACTTAATTAAGTTCATTCTCTTTTCCAGGTTTGAATCCCTATATGAAGTATAGTAAAGACACTGATAATGAGGATGGACTCACTTTCCATTGTGATAAATGTTCGAAAGTTTACCTCAAACCTAACCAATTAAGTAAACATCGTCTTGAGGAACATATGTTAAGGCGCCTTATCTGTTCTATATGTAAAGCTACATCTAAAAACCATTACTACTTTGGCCAGCATCTCTACTTTGTGCATTATTATGAAGGAAAGGGGTACCATGGATGTAAGATATGTGGAACTCATTTAAGGCACAAGTCTGCTTTAGAAAAGCACATGTTGATCCATAAGCAAGAGAAACCACATATGTGTAGTAAATGTGGTAGGAACTTCACATTAGCAGGGACTCTGAAGCAACACGAAGAGACACATATGACAGAGGCAGATAAAACTCTCACATGTCATATTTGTGGTAAAAAGTATGGACTTAAGAGAAGCTATCAGCTTCATGTGAGTAGTCATAAAAAGATTCACCAGTGCGCACATTGTGGCTTGAGGTTTGCACGTAGGGAGCATATGAAGCGCCATATACAGACACAGCATTCAAGTGAAGAAATTGCAGCCATCGCTAGAGAAAAAGCAAGAATTCATTCTCGTAATCGTAAATCTAAAGATAAAAGTGTCTCTAAAATGGGAGAATCTAAATTATGTACCGGGCCTTCAAATGACAATCTCTCATTGTCCAGTAATGAATTAGTTCAAAGTAAATCCAGGCCTAATATAAGTGCTGTAAAGCCCGATTCAATTGCAATGAAGCCTGAATTGAGCATCATACCACCTGATTCAACTGTAACAAGTCTAGAATTCCATCATATCAGGCCACATCTGATTGAAGCGAAGCCTGGTGTAGATTTGGATGGTGCTAGAGGTCACAATCCTCAAGAATATGCAATTGAAACAATGAACTGGACCACCACCTTTGCAGCAAATGACAATGGAAATCCCAGATATAGTAAACTCTAAATATCGGGACACTCAAAACAGTAATCTAAGTGTTTAGCCTTGCACATTCAAATGTTCAACTAGATTAAGGAAATGTATGTTCATTTGTTTTATAATATATTACAACACTGATTATATAAACACTTATGATATGTGCTTAATTGTTTGAGAGTTCTTGTGCTTTAGCAATACATTTCTATTCTGAGTGAGAAATAAATTAAGGAGAAAAACAATGTCTTCACTATTATTTGTTGAGCTTCTCTCACTTAATGAAAAACTATTTGTGGAAATTAAGTTCATAGATTTTACTTGTGAAACCCTTCGTAGCTGAGTGCAGGGAATTAATCTTTCAAGTAAAAACAATGCTATATTAAAACTCAGTGATGTTTGTTCATTTCCATTAATCATTTAAATCGTTGCATTTGATTGAAAACTATATTTATTCTGGGGAGCTCTATCAGTACAAAACTGGTCTTCCTTAGAGGTATTGCATTTGTATTATCCATATTAGAAAGTATATATTCACAAGGGTAGCATGATTATTCATGTTAATCCTTTTATTTTCAGGTTTGAATCGCTATGAAAGCACTGAGGGTGATAAAACTGTGTTTCACTGCGAAGCATGTCCTGAAACCTTCCAAAAGCTTCATGAGTTATATACTCACAGGACACAGGCTCATAATCTTATAAGATATAAATGTGAAGTTTGCAATAAGTCACTCCTGAGAAGTCATTGTCACTTCTCCTATCACCTCTACTACTCTCATTATTTTGCCACTGCAGGTGTTGATTGTGCGATATGTGGAGAACATGTACTTCACAAGCAGCGTCTTTCACACCATATGTTAGCTCATCATAATGAAGCTTATAAGAATAGAGAAGTTGTTAAAAAGCCTAGGAGAAAATTCTTATGCACTAAATGTGGACACGCTTTAGGCTCTAGACATGACCTCCTGGTTCATAATAATAACGTCCATACCAGTAGCTCAGATAAAACAATACCATGTCATGCTTGTGATAAGAAATTTGGGAATGAAGCAAGCTTAAAACAACACATGGTGCTTCATGAGCCAAAAAGATTTCAATGTGTCGATTGTGGGATGCTATTTGCCCGTTCATATCATTTAAAACGTCATAGAGACACCCAGCACTCTACCCCTGATATTGTTGAAAAGCAGCGCACAAAAGCACGCAAACATTGTCGCGATGATGCAGAAAGAAAACGACAAGCCAAACTAAAAAGAACAAATGATGCAGAAAGGAAATGACAAGTCAAACTAATAAAAAGAACAAAGAACGGAGAGCTTGATGACTTGTACAATAAGTGGACTATGGACAAGTAACTAGGAACTAGAGCATCTCCTGAAATAGTATTGATTCATTTTTATCAGCTGATTTGAAAACAAACCGTAATAAAAGAATGTATACTATCATGTATATTATTATTACTTGTAGTAGACAAACTCAGAGAACATTATTAGTGTTAACTGACTGATTCCAGACATTCTCATTGTCATTCTGTATATTTAGTGAGGTTAAAAACATTCTGCATGATAAGGAACAATTTCTTATAAACTGTAGATATCAATTTGGTTCGACTTAACTGGATACCTTACTCCTCAAAGTTATTAATTTCAGAAGTACATTATATCGTATTGGTCTTAGTTGAAAATAAATTGCCTTGATTGATCAGATTATGAAATAGCTTGTTCATTGAGATGGAGATTTGAAGTTTGACTGTTAACTGCCCTGGTTCATCTGGTTGCTCTACCCGACTGATGTCTCCTGTCTGATTGATGGAACCAGGGTGCAGTTAGCAGGTTAGTTAGTAACGCAATAGTTTACTTAATTGCTTATCTTACATTAGAGGTTTGATAATGTTCTCTCATTTGATAATTTATACAAATTCTTAAATGGTGGAATCTCAGTTCGCAGCTTATTATTGAACCTCCAGTGTATGGCATGCATGTAAATCAAAAATTATCAGATAAATTATATTTCAACTTTCAGTAGTTAAATTAACATCACACATCTACTTTACTGATTTCTCTAAAGGTTTCTCTGGAGTTGATACATTTGATCATGTAAAGTCAAACAAATTGTGCAAAGTCAAAGTGCTGTTATGCTCAATTTTCCAACTTTTCATGATTTAAGCACACATATAAAGCATGTTTATGAGACACTAGTATTTAATATTAAATTTTCTATTTTCAGGTTTGAATCCTTATGTAACAGATGATGGAGAAACAGTGATATACCACTGCGACAAATGTCCAGATACGTTCTATGACTGTAAAAAATTGACCAAACATAGGCGAGATGTTCATGGATTGGTCAAGTTGATCTGTAATATGTGTGACGCAGCTTTAATCAACATGCATTTTCATTATGCGAAACATCTGTATTACACACATTATTTTGACGGCAAGGGATATCATGAATGTCAAGTTTGTGGAAAGTTCTTGAGCTGTGAAGAAGCTTTGCAGAAACATTTAAAGATTCACGACACCCGTGAACGTCACATGTGTGCCACTTGTGGTCAGAGGTTTACACTTGCCTCTAATCTAAAAACTCATGAAATTTCACATATGAACACTCCCCATATTGCAAGAAATCATATGGATGAATCAAAGAAGACACATCAATGTGTCCATTGTGGTTTAAAATTCTCCCGTGATGCACATGTGAAACGCCACATCCTAACACAGCATTCCAGTGCAGCAGTAGTGGAAGCAGCAAGGGAAGTTGCTCGTAAACATTTCCGCGATCATCGAAGTAGGAAAAGAAGTCCAAAAAGTGAATCAGATATTGGTGCTATTGAAGGAGAGACCCCCCAGCAGGCCAAAGCCAGAAGGAAGGCTGCTAAGAAGGCTGCTTCTGCAGAAGCTGCAGCAATGCAAGATCAATCTCAGTCAGTCCCAATGGATCAGGTCCAGGCTTCAACACATGCTCCTCATTTACTCTCCCAAGGCCCTCCTTTGCCACCTCTACCAACCCAAGTACCCCTACAAAGGCCAGTACCACCACCCATGCATTCAGTTCCTCAGATGCCTCCAACATCAATGCATCATGTGCAGAGAAATGGGCCACCCATACCAATGTCTATGTCTCAGATGCCTGTACCCACACATTCTCATTCACAACTAGGTGCTCCCCATAATTTATCACAGATCTCTGTACCTATGCACACTCAGAGACCTGGACCAGCACACGCTCATAGTTCTGCAGTGCATGTAAATATGGAACAGTACTATGGAACACCTTCTGCACCCAGGGATATATTCAACTACTTTAAGTTATGATCATAAGAGGTGATAACCAAATTCAATTTTTCTAAAACTGGGCCAATCAAACCAGCATAGATTCTTCACTCAGTCCATATGTTTGGATGGTTCAAGATAAATCAAAACAACACTACCAAACATAAAAGAATGAGTTACTGTTATGCAAATGATTGCCCCAAAACTGTTATTAGGTGACATTAAAATTAATCAAAGAAACTAGAAATATCAAAATTGATGGGAAAACTCTCCAGATAGTCTCCAAACCTTTTGTAAAGTGCATATGCAAGCTATTGAAATTGTGCTTATCAGAAAATGCTGCTTGCCATAAACTGCATTTGAAACTGACAAAAGTAAAATGCATTCTTAAAGCTGTAGTATGAAAAACACCAAATGGTACATCTAACACATTTTAATAAATAAAATAGTGTTCTTTTTATTTGCAGGATTGAACCGATACATAACAAGCAAGGATGGTATTACAATGACCTATCACTGTGATAAATGTAGTGAGGTTTTCGACCAAGCTAAAGGCTTGTCCACTCATAGGAAGAAAATGCATGGGCTTGTTGACTTTATCTGTAATATATGTGAGGCAACATCTAAAACACATCACTATTTTGCGGAACATATGTATTTTGTGCATTACTATGATGGCAAAGGGTATCATAAATGTGATGTGTGTGGAACATCATTGCGTCATAAGTCAGCATTAGCAAAGCATATGTTGATACATAAGCAAGAGAAACCTCATATGTGTTCTACATGTGGCAGGGCTTTTACACAGTCCAGTACACTGAAGACACATGAAGAGATTCATATGACTGATGCAGAAAAAACACTTGTATGTGCAATATGTAATAAAAAATTTGGACGTCGGACTACTTTTAAATTACATGTTAAAGGACATAGTAAATCTCATCAGTGTGCTTATTGTGGCCTAAGATTCTCACGTCAAGGACACATGAAGCGTCATATTCAGACACAGCATTCTAGCGAGGAAATTGCAGCTGCCGCCAGAGAAAAGGCGAGAATACACTCACAAAATCGTAAAACAAAGCGCCATAAAAAGACAGCAATTTGTGAATCACAAGCCTCAAATATCTTAAAGGATGTGAAACATTTAGAGTCTCAAGAGCAAAGCTATGTTAGTAATGAACAAGTGCAACAGCATTTTATGCCAGGAGTAAAACCAAATGAATCAGCACAACAAACTTGTGTACCTGAACCAGATGAACAATCCAGACAAGATGTCTATGTATCCAATACACCACATTTGGATAGTTTAACCCCAGTGTACCATAATAATGCTCTTCCACAGGGGTTAGACCTTAGTGTTACTAGGGAACAATATGTTCAAGGGCAACTCCGACCTTTAGCTTACACCAACATGGAGCAAATCAGCTGGCCTGTGTTCCCCCAAAATGATTGAAAAGAGGAGATTGTTGTATTTTTTTTTATTTGTAACATTTTGGTTTTTAGAATGATTGAAACTGTACATAATGTAGAGATATTTACGATTTAGATCTACATTCAGTACATACTTTATTCTATAACTTAACTAGTTTGATTTGAGGGTTAGAACATTTTACCATGTTAAGAATATTTTAAATAGTTATTTATACACATTCATACTTGTTCAATGCCATACCAGTTTGTTTACCTTCTATTGAATTTAATCTTATTGACATTTTAAGAAACTTAATTGTCATAGTTTTATTGAGTACCAATCATAACTTGTACATGCTTGGTAGATTAAGATGTAATTATTACATACTTTGATATCATGTTCTACAAAAACCAAGAACCGAAATGAAATATATTTTATACAGTCTGTGTTGTCTATGATCTAACTTATGATGGCTTTTAAGCTTTTTATAGGGTTCTTGAACTATCTTTAAATATTAATTTTAAAATCTACAGGTTACTCTACAGGTTACTTTATACATACATCAAATATTGCCAGAAATTAACCCAAATATTGCATTGTAGTCGTCATTTACTATCAGTTTTTTTCATTCTTATCAGAACCAAAGTAAATGCTAATGTTCAACCCAACTGTTTATATATACATAAATTAATATATACATATATATAGCTAGAATTAATTGATTGAGACTGGTTATATTTAAGGTTCTTGTGTTTGTTACATAGTCAGGTCTTTACAATGAAGAAATGAAATGAAAAGTATGTTATCCTTTACTAATGTTGAGTACAGTAGAAATATGATAGTATGACAAATTTTTATTCATGTTTACTATTCAAAGGAGTTACAAAAATTACAGCTGATTTTTTGTATTCGCTTTTTCAAACCATACTTCAAAAGTTGGGTAGCTTGTTACCTTTTTATACAGGTAATTTACTGATGTAGGGTAGAGAATATGTGTAGCATTAGCAATTAGCATGCTTTGATAATTAAAAACAATAAATGTAGTATACAAATAAACCTTTTTTATTATTTATTTATTTAATTATCTGTAGGTGAATATAAGCGATGTAGTGGCAGATTCATGGGTACAAATGTGCATCAATCCTAAAATCACACTAAATGCACAAAATGGTGTGGAATTCCTCATATAATCCTAAGCATACAATGTATTAAGTGCAGCATCTTAAAGCTTTATCTATATCTGACGTATGCTGTTTTTAGTAGTGGGGGCTATGTTGGTACGATCAGACTAGTGTCCTAAATTTAGCAAAAACAGTGATTCATATCCTAATAAGGCTCATCTAGAGCCATCTGGTTCACACTTTCAGGAATTGGTCTAATACATTGACCCAAGAAACATATGGATGAATGAAGCATGTTTTGGGTCTTTGCATCAGACTGTTTCAAAAATGAAATGCAGGTTCAAAAACATAGTACATATATGATAGCAATTCAAAGTTAATCGCTACTCTACCTGTCATTATTTGAGTGATGAATATACCAGTCTAATACATAACCCCAAGAAAATACATTTCATAACTTACAGTATTCACTTCATATATCTAGTCTAGTCTAATGGAATTAGTAAAGGCCATCTTTTTAAATAAAGATTCCAAATATAGACCCCCTTAACATGGATCGCTCTAACAAGAGAAAGAATAGGGTTTCGCTGAAAATTCACATCTTCGATAATATGCTCAATTACCAGTGACTGATTTTTTGTCCTTGGCATATTGAAATGGTTTTGCTATTTAGAAACCTTTTGCTGAGACACCAGCTGACCACAAATTGGAATTACAACTGATGGCACCATAAATATAGACACACTGTACTAATTATTATGTTTATGTAGTTTACATATGATGAATGGATACATTGGCCAGTGTCATAAATAAATGTGAACATATTGAAGTTTATTGCTTTTTCATTAGCCAATGTATATGTGAGGTTACCTGTGAGTAAGCATGTGACCCCTTAGAAATAGAATGAAGACAGGAGACATCTGATAAAGTTGGAAATGTAATGTATCCAATTTTATCTTATATTGACACAAACACAAATTGTTTACATTTCATTCCAATCGATCCTGTTCTTTGTAACTTCATTTTGCTAATTTAAATTTTCCAATCTTTGTTGTGAAATCTCAAAAGTCCTCTCATGTTTTACATTCACAGTAAAATTATTCCAAAGCATGCTTATTCACAAGTATTATTTCTATTTTCAGGGTTGAATCCATATGTTACGGATGATGGGGATACGGTGACATACCACTGCGACAAATGCCCTGAAACGTTCGACGATCCTAAAAAATTAACCAAACATAGGCATGATGTTCATGGATTAGTGAAGTTGATCTGTAATATGTGTGACGCTTCATTAATCAACATGCATTTTCATTATGCCAAACATTTATATTATACACATTATTTTGATGGCAAAGGATGTTATGAGTGCTCTGTTTGTGGAAAGTTCTTAAGCTGTGAAGAATCCCTACAGAAACATTTGAAAATTCATGATACACGAGAACTTCATACGTGCAATACATGTGGTCAGAGGTTTACCCTCGCAGCCAATCTCAAAACCCACGAGAATTCACACATGAACACACCCCATGTGGCCAGAAATCGGCTTGACGATTCAAAGAAGACGCATCAATGTGTCCATTGTGGCTTGCGATTCTCTCGTGATGCACATGTGAAACGTCACATCCTCACGCAGCATTCCAGTGCAGCAGTTGTGGAAGCAACAAGAGAAGTTGCCCGGAAACATATTAGGGATCATCGAACCAGAAAAGGATGTGTTCCTAAGCGTGGTCCTGGTTTTATGCCTAAAATAGAGGGAGAAACAGCAGCCCAAGCAAGAGCAAGGAGAAAAGCAAATAAGAAGATAGCCCAGGCTGCAGCTGCTGCAATGAGGGAAGCACGACAAGCTAATGCCCAAGCGCAGGCACAGGCTGCTGCACAGGCTCAATCTCAGCCTATTGCACTGGATGGACAAAACCAGCAAAGCCAGCATGAGTCTATACCACAACATAATTCACACAGTTCACTCTCTCAAGGCCCTCCTTTGCCACCTCTACCAACCCAAGTACCCCTGCAAAGGCCAGTACCACCACCCATGCATTCAATCCCCCAGATGCCCTCAACATCAATGCATCATGTGCAGAGAAATGGGCCACCCATACCAATGTCTATGTCTCAGATGTCTACACCTACATATTCTCATTCACAACTGGGTAGTCCTCCCATGCATTCTCAGATCTCTGTACCTATGCATACTCAGAGACCTGGACCAGCACACGCTCATAGTTCTACAGTGCATGTCAATATGGAACAGTACTATGGAGCACCTACGGCAACCAGGGATATATTCAACTACTTTAAGTTATAATATAAAAACAGTATGACTGATTGATTGATCACTGCTAGCTATTAATGCAGTTAACAATAAGATATCTTACATCTGGTGTAATGTGTTTACCCGCAGTTTAAAATAGTTTGGTCAAAGGCCAAGAGGTAAATTGCAACTGAACATAACAACATTGCATTTGAAAATCTTGTAGATTTGCAAATCAAGCATAAATTGTGATTCAGGCTGGAAAATAACTTCTGGATTAAACTAGTACTAGGTCTGCAAAATGATGATAAATCTCAAAAGCATGTTTTTTGGTTGATGTTTGTGAGATGTGTATATGTATTTCTGGCTAAATGGAAACCTCAGTTGAAAAAGTTGGGCAGCCTTTGAACATAAATAGATTATTTAATTTTTTGGGGAATTTCCTGACTGCTTTTTATTATCATTTTCTTTAGTCTTAATAGCTTGATTAATATGAGTTGATGATACCATTATATTGAAAATCATCATGTCATGTCCTCTCAATACATTTTATGACAAAGAGAAACATTTGTTGAATCTAATACATGAACTGTTCTTCTTCTGCAATGCGATATACACAAGGTTTTCATATGACATTTCTGTCATATATTTATATTTTTTTCTGATTATATCAAAGATGGGAAAGATTGTGTATTGCTACAAGTTTTTTTTTACATTTTACTGTTGTGGTTTTATAGATATGAAATAAAAAGCAGTGTCATGGTGACCCTACATGTTCAGGAATTGAATTTAACCTCCAACAATAAACAATATATGCACCTAGACTTATTATGTTTAAGATTACCAAATTTTTGTATACTGTAGTTTCTTGAGTGAGATTCAAAGCAGGTTAAGTACCTGTGAGGCATTGGGCAAATGTGGGGCTTGATATGCATTTGAGCTTGTCCATATTGGTAGTCATAATAAGCTGGTCAAATATGAAATAAAACCAATACATCGTTGTCTGGAACAAAAACAATTATTAATTCTTTTGGCATCAATTGTTCGAAATGATTATATCATAATAGTGTACATTTCTCATAACTTAGTAGAATTAGTACATGTAATAAAGTATATTAGGAGTGAATTGCATGTAAAAAAAAGTATAGCCTGTAACTTAAAGAAGCATATTAATGTAAAAATTAGTATTTTAGTGATATTGTTCATTGTGATATCATATCACATTCTGTAATGAACAACTTGCAAAAATGACACTGACAGTGTGGAAATTACTATGGAACAATAAGTTTAATTACAGTAGATACAGCCAAAAACAAGTGTAAATTAATGAAAAATGTATTCATTCTATAGGTGTAGGTTTATACATACAAGTACATATTATATATGAGATGTTTGTACTTAATTTAGTGATGAAGTGAATAAAATTATCATCAGTTTCTTTTTCATGCTAGGGAATAATTTATTTAGACTCCTTCTGTGAGTACATGTTTCAAAATGGTCTACCCTTTGATATTCTCATTTTGAATTTAGGTATTTGGATAAATTGTGTAAAGTATATTTATTCTTCATAGTTAGTATTTATGCTTTGAAAGAACATAAGAATGTTCTTTGTAATTCTTCAGAATCTTGAAAGTTTGAGAATTTTTAAAATAGGATAGATAGATACTTAATTGTTATTGCTAAAGTAGGTTAGAAGTTAGATGTGTGTGTAGATTTAGTATGACTTGATGATATCTATAGGCAAATAAATAAATTAGTAGAAATACTTAAAATACACTGTTTATTGTTAATTCAGAGATAGAAAAGACTACATAAACCAGTAAAACTGGTGTTTGTTCTTCTAAAAAGTGATGGGAAGTGTTTGACTTCAATAAACAATTGGTCACTGGACTCTGAAAAGTGTTCTGCTTACGGAGATATTCCAATTTAGAGGTCTTACTCTATACTAATGTTAACTTGTTAATAAATAGATTTCCACATGTGCTGATCCAGCTTGTTTAAATCTCATGATAACTGAAATATTTTCTGAGGTCAATAGAGAGTACAAAAACATGTGGATTAACACATGATTGAGCATGTTAGGAACTAACAACATCTGACATATACTTCTTGTTTGTTTGATTGTAAATCATTGTTTTGTTATCTTTACCTGGTTTGTTGCACAATAAAGAAATGATTGAACACAAATATGTACATTTAGAAACTCCAGTTAATAACATGGTATAGCATGTTAAAGGTGGCAGGGTAATCAATGGCAGATGATGGTACTTCTGTAACTCCTTTATAGTACAGTTACAAGTATCTCATCAATTACTTGCCTGAATGACAACAACTTGGCTTATTACAACAATGCAAACATCTAAAGATGCACAAGAAAAGCAAACAATACTGATACTAAAAATTGATGATTATACTATAAAAACCTACCTAATCCAAGCCATTGATTATCATTGCAAAGCATTATAGTTACTCTGAATCCTGCTCTGCTTTACACCTATGTACATATTTGAATTCAACGATGTGCAGTTCAAGACAAACTGGATAAAGTATAGTCTAAAACAATGATTAACTCTATGTACTTTTTATTGCAGAGCACCACCAGTTCATCGAGTACTTGCCATCTGGTAGTAAAAGATGGACATGTGACCAAGAGAACTGCGATGCCATCTTCAGGATGCCAAAAGAATTACTTGAACACTTGCTGTTGGAACATGGGCTTGATAAACCCCTTAAATGTCGCACTTGTGGTCGCATTAGCTCAAATATGGATAACTTTGGTCGACATCTCTATTCCCATTTTGGAAATCAATTAACTCATGAGTGTCAAATGTGTAATAAAAAGTTTCGTGAAGTTTTGTTGCTTAGGCGACACATCAGAACTCACACTGGTGAGAAACCACATATGTGTACACAATGTGGACGTAGATTTTTGAAGCTTGCCCATCTAAAAGAGCATGAAGCGACACATCTTAAGAGCCATGAGCGGCCATATAAATGTGACAAATGTGCCAGGGCTTTCCCATCACGTGACAAGTATAAAAGACACATGAAAACCCATGAAAGGCTCTATCAGTGTCCAATTTGTGGGAAAAGGTTTGGGCGGTCGCAACACTTGAAAAGCCATGCAATGATCCATACTGGAGAAAAGCCATATCATTGCAATGTCTGTGGAATAGGCTATACAGATATTAGAGGATTTAAAAAACACCAGGAAAAACACAAATGTGATGAGAAATCCATACCTGTGAATTCAACTGACAATAATGCAGTCAAATCTGAGGATTTCAAACAGCAAATTATGTTGGATAAAACCAAACCAAATATATTACATGTTAGTGATGCAGTCCCTGTTGCCATGGATGCCTTCCGAAAATTTAATGATCCAACAATTTTTATCCCAGCTGCGCAACCCAGTACCCAAAATAGTTCAGGCAGTTTCAATCTCCAGGGCATAGACTACAGCATCATACACCATTCATATGATGTTCAATAAGTGGATATAATTTCATGACATTAAAAGTGACTTTATTTGACTATTAGTTTATTCTTCAGTGTGTTTTAACTCAAATAAATTAATTGCTATGTTCAGTAAGCTTTCTAGCTCATGTATGTGCATTAGAATTATATTGATTTTACCAATTGTAATGATATATATCCAGAACTGAATTTGTAATAAAATATTGATTGAACATAATGCTTTTTTCATGAGTCAAATGGAATCTAGTAAAAGTGGAAGTGTGATCCAGCTGGTGTGACGCTGTAATAATGGGCAGGGTTATGGTGATATTCTGGTTAATATGTATTGTAATGTTACCATTTGTGCTTTTAATAAAGGAGAATAATTTGATATTTGAAAAATACATAGTATACAACAAATAAAAATAGTTCATAACATAATTTTGAAATCTAAATATGCAAAATGTTAGTTAATACTAAACCGTTATCAGGTCCATTTGATTTAAATCTGGATGACAAAACATTATAATAAAAACCAATTAATTATAATTATAATAGAAATACGATGTTGTAGATATTGCTATTAGTTAATATTTCACATCCATACATGAAACGGAGTCCTACATTTTATCACACTACTAGGAAGCTCAATGCACTCCCAACATTGTCAGTATAATGACTTATAAGGCAAAACAGCAACAACAAGCAGAAAGATGGAAAATTCTTAAATAGTAAGAAACTACTGCATGTATTGACTGTCAACATATTTTTACAGTTTATTGCCATTTTATTTATTGTTGTGTACCTAATAATTGTTTATCATCCATAAATTGATGTTTTTCAATGCAGTTTTATTATTGAGTACTAATAGTATTAATTTTCTATTTTCAGGTTTGAATCCTTACGTTACAAATGATGGACAAACTGTAACTTACCACTGCGACAAATGCCCGGAGACTTTCCTTGATCCTAAAAAATTGACCAAACATAGGAGAGATGTTCATGGATTATATAAGTTGATATGTAATATGTGTGATGCATCTTTAATGAACATGCATTTTCATTATGCGAAACATTTATACTATACACATTATTTCGATGGGAAGGGATGTTTTGAGTGTAAGACCTGTGGCAAGTTCTTAAGTTGTGAAGAATCTCTGCAGAGGCATATGTTAATACATGATACTCGGGAAATTATACAGTGTCATGATTGTGGCCAGAAGTTTACAATGGCTGCGAATCTGAAAATACATCAAGAGCTGCATAAGGACAATCCGAACCACCAGGCTAGAAATCGTTTAGACGAGTCCAAGAAGACTCACCAGTGTGTACATTGCGGAGTGCGTTTTGCCCGTGACGCCCATGTGAAACGTCACATCCTCACACAGCATTCAAATGCACATGTTGTAGAAGCTACAAGAGAGGAGGGAAGAAAACGTATTCGTGCACATAGAGATAAGAAGGGGATAATTCCCAAACGTGGTCCTGGATTTATGCCAAAGATAGAGGGTGAGACGTCTGCTCAAGGAAGGGCTAGGCGAAAGGCAAATAAGAAGATCGCACAGGCAGCCGAAGCTGCAATGAGAGAGGCGCGAGAAAAATTTGGTGCTCTAGCAGCTCAGCAGCAACAAAAACAAAAACAGCATGAACCAGCACAATATGATCCCATCCCAGCACACTCATCACACTCTCTACCTTCTCCTTTACCCACCCAGGTACCATTACAAGGACCAATGGCACCCCCCATGCATCAACTCCAACCTCAGATGGCTCCTGCATCAATGCCTCAGCCATCACATTCTCATTCATATTCACACACACAGCTAGGTGGTCTCCCCCAACCAGGTGGTCTTCCTCCACCAAATCCCATGCATAACCAGATATCTGTGCCCATGCACTCTCAGAGACCAGGACCACCTCATGCCCACAGTTCATCTATGCCACAAATGCATGTCAATATGGAACAGTACTATGGAGGAGGTTCAGCACCTAGGGACATATTTAACTACTTCAAGTTATGATCAACTTGTCTGTTTAAAAGAAGGAAACAGTTGGTCAAATGTACCAGAATGGAACAGTAATTAATATCAAATTTATGAAATACAGCACCAAGGGTAGATCAATTGTTCTTTGTACAATATTTTGGGTGATGCGTGTAAATCAGAAAATATGTTGCCAAGAGTTCAACAACTGATGATGTTACCTCATTGCCTTGTCCTGTGTCATAATCCCAAGATTTATATCTAGATGCAAACACTTCCTGCCTCTCAAATACCAGTTAAGTCTATATGATACCAGTAACATGTTGTGGGAATGTCTTTCTTAAAATCAAAAAATAATTCAGCATCGGCCAGTGTGAAGTTTTGCGTCCACACATCATGGTGAACTGTCAATCATCAGTTGAATGTTCAGTGTTCTCAAAGAATAACTATTAATTCATAATAACAGTGAATTTCAAAACCTATTGTACATAAGATGGATTGTCAGTCTCTGGTTTTGATATTTCATTTTTGTCACTTTTAAAGGGATAGAATGTGTACATATTTGCAGTAGGTTTAGCAGTAGTATCTGTGTGTTAGTGTTACAGTGAACTATAACAACTTAGATTTAGAGGTAGAAAAAGAAGTTTGTGTTTATTGTTGCAATTATTTAAAATGATACAAAAATGTAAATGGGACTCCTGTAGTGTTTTTTGACTCATTTGTAAAAAGGATACAGGTGAGGAGAGTATACAGTACTTACTTATAAAATATATTATTAATAATATGAGATGCGGGATTGCTTGCAACTCTTGTAATATAGAATCTAACTGGAGATGGCTTTCATCATTTTCCAAAGATTTCATTAGAAAACTGAACATATTTTGGTAGTTTATGTAGTCAGTCAAATAACTAATGATCATGTACAGTACATGTATTCTGAAGAAGAGAATAAAATAAGACCTTGAATCATGAAAGAATGATGCAAAAAGATTTTTGAAATAATTTGATAAAATGTGTATATTGTGCATAGCATAACAATACTGTTTAGAAACATTTAAATTGTCGATTGATTATAATTACATGATGGTCTTTATTATTGCATATACGACTATTGGCTTTCAATGAATGGCGTAATTGTTTTTTGGCTCACACAGTGAGCCTATGGGATTGACCAGGCGTCCGTCCGTCCGTCCGTCCGTTGGTCCGTCCGTCCGTCCGTCAACATTGGCTGCACAAATTAAAACTGCTATTCGGATTGAGTCATATCCACATTCATTTTATGCATATCCATAATGCCTATTTGACCTATCATCGCCATTTCCCAAGTTTGCCCGGTTTCCGAGAAATTGCGGATTTTGACGTCAAAAAGTCAACTTTTCTGTAAATACTAGACACTTTGTTGAAGTGGAACTTTCAAATTACTTTTAGTAGTTGGTGTATATGCAACTTATGTCCTCTGAAGATTTCAAAGCTCTTGGAATTACGGTTTTTGGTGTTTACTCTATAAAATTTGAAAAAAAGTAGGACTTGGTCATTTTCAGGAAACTTTCTCATGGCAATGGCAATGGCAGGTTTTGTGATTGACAAGATTCTTAAAGTTTGCCTTATACTTGATCATTTCCTGCAATAAATTACATCATTAATAGATTTAAGCATTCCCTACATATTTCTCAATATATGTCAGCATCAAATTTTTACCGTTTTTGAAATATTTGACTTCAAAAAACAGTAAAAATAAGTTATTTTTCAACTTGCTTCAATTTGACCAAATTTCTTTTTGAAAATCATCTACAAGTTGCCAGGAGTTCAAATCTGACATTAGTTTTAGGATTTGACCTTTACTTGACCTTCAGTGACCATCGAAAGGTAAAAAAAAGTTGTTTTTCAAATTGATTTTTGGATGTAAATTTTGGTCAGCTTAATCACAAAAGACCTTACTGAGCTCTGAATAAGTAAAATTTTCAAGGTCAAAGGTCATCAAACTAGGTCACATAACTATGCTATCTAAGTTTCTCAAAGTTCGAGACTACAAATCCAAATCAATATTTTTGTTTGAAAGTCAGGATATAAATTCCTCTGAAGGTTCCAAACTGTGTGAGCATAGGACTGTGGGTCCTTCATTATATTATTTGCATTGTATTGTTACCATGATATTATTTGCATTGTATTGTTACCATGAACATCAGCTGTCTGCAAAATTAAAGTTGATGATTACCATCGCTATAACAACCATGCATAGCTGTGAGTTCTGTTATAGCTGATTGTTATTGTCTTCTTTCATTGGAATGTCGGCTTGAGATTAATTTTGATTCATATTGATGAAAAATGTCAAAACTATGTGATGGTATATCTTCCGTTTCATTTCTGGGATGTGTAGTTGTTATTTTGATATGTTTCATGTTTATGTTAACTCAAAATGTTAACATAAATGTGAAACATATGTGATTAATTTTGTTCTCATGATTTTGTAGTTTTAATGAACATATTCCAAGGGAAATGATTCTGTGGCAATTATATTCGGAAATGATCTTTAATTCTCCCTTGCATATAGACTAATAGTTTCACAGTGACTGTGGATTGTCCAATGTCCTTGTAAAAGGTCTCTATGCAAGGGAAGATTTTGAGCAGTAACTGTATTTTCATTTTATTATATTAGATCTTGTATTGTGTTTGTGCGTGTAAACCATATTTTATTCAGCAATGTACAAAAGTAGTAGTGATAATAGTAATATAAAAATGTAATAAGCTGTAATGGTATATGCTCAGTAGTATCACATTGTTCCTGGATTCTGTCACTTATCACAAGGCCACAGAGCAACTTGAAAAAAACAAGCTTGAATTTACAGAATATTTTCTTGTCCTTTGTGATTACCTGCTGGCTTCATTTATACACCTTATAATAATCCCCTGATAGTGATGCTTTCATTTCCCGTTGTACTGTTCTTATTTTATCAACCCATTTTTATTACTCTTCATCAATGTGAAAAACTATTGAACAGTTACCCTAATAGTTTAAAGAAGAATATGTGTGTTAACCAACACTATTTCATAGGTGTAGTTATAGACAGTTTCTGTGCTGTTTAGGGGTAGATTATTTCTGTATAAATATATAGATGTGTATAAATATGTTTAAAACAATTACATTTGTGGTTGCATTTTAGTTGCAAGTTGGACTTTAAAATCTTCTTCTCAAAATTGTCCAACTCTTGATTTTTGTTGGCATATAAATGATATAATCATCTTCATATTTACTGACAAAGGGTGTTTCACCTTCGATAAGGGGGCTTTACTCATAACGGGTAAACATGGCTTTAAAAAGAATCAAGTTACCTACACCTGGTTCAGTCATTTCTGTGATTTCTTGAGTATATAACCTATCTTAATCATTTTAAAAATGATTGAAATCAACACTTTAGAATTATTGAAGCAAAAATGTTTGTAGAATTGCATGCTTTGATTTATGATGTAATAAATGTAGTATGATTTCAGATATAAACAACTTGTTGTGTTTTCAAATTGACAGCTTGCATACAGAATAATGCACCATATGTGTATGATGCAGACCCTGTGTTGATTGATCTATCACATTAATTCAAATTGCCAACATATCTAGAAAATGTACACATTTCAAATAGTGGAAGAATGTTTGTTACTTCATATTGATCACATAGGCATCAAGAAAACACATTTTCAGTTATGCTAAAGGAACAATGGGGGAAAGACATGTGGACAAATCAAACATAAAACCCGATTGGACCATCTTGAAGACTTCTTGGGACCAATAAAGTTAAGTAAAAATATGCAACATATTATTAAATTGACAAAGGTAATAATCCAATAATGGGGATATAAAAGATAATCACACCTGTAAACTCTTCTTCAGTATCAAGTTTATACCAAATTCTAGCTTCTAGATAGTCAAGGACATACTGAAATCAGAATACATAGTTAGGTATGGTTTCTGAGTACATTACCATTACCACAAGTTCCAAGTTAGGCTATATAACTGTATAACATTTACACCTGGATCAAGATTAGGGAGAATTCATTTTTCGTTGCTATTGAGAACCTCACTTTTGTTTTTATCTCTACTGTGTTTCACTTGTGCTTCCTGTTGTATTGTTGTTGTGCTGTGTTTTTACATTGAGATAAAGTTTTTTTGAATCACAGCTATTTACAGGTATAATTTTGTTCTTTTCAGGTTTGAATCCTTACGTTACGAATGATGGGCAAACTGTAACTTACCACTGCGACAAATGCCCGGAGACTTTCCTTGATCCTAAAAAATTGACCAAACATAGGAGAGATGTTCACGGATTATATAAGTTGATATGTAATATGTGTGATGCATCTTTAATGAACATGCACTTTCATTATGCGAAACATTTATACTATACACATTATTTCGATGGGAAGGGATGTTTTGAGTGTCATATCTGTGGAAAGTTCCTTAGTTGTGAAGAAGCCCTTCAGAGACACATGCTTATTCATGAAACTAGAGAAATTCATCAGTGTAAAACTTGTGGTCAGAAGTTTACAATGGCTGCTAATCTAAAAATTCACCTTGAGCTCCATGGGGACAAACCACATGTTGCTAGAAATCGTTTAGATGATTCAAAGAAGGTTCACCAGTGTGTTCATTGTGGATTGAAGTTTGCCCGTGATGCCCATGTGAAGCGTCACGTTCTAACTCAACATTCAAGTGCAGAAGTTGTGGAAGCAGTCAGGGAGGAAGGGAGAAAGCGTTTAACAAATAATAGAACAAAAAATGTATTCACTAAACGTTACTTTCCTGGTTATATTCCAAAGCCAGAGGGAGAGACCTCCACTCAAGGAAGGGCTAGAAGAAAGGCCAATAAGAAGATGGCTGAAGCAGCAAGAGCTGCAATGCAAGAAATTAAAGAAGCTAATGCTCGTTCAGAAGCATATAAGCAAAGCCAATTGGAAAAGCAACAGAAAAGCAATTCTACTGCCCAACAACTTCCTGCCCAACAACCTCAGTCCCTTCCTTCTCCTCTACCTACCCAGGTGCCTTTACAAAGACCAATGGCACCCCCCATGCATCAACTCCAACCTCAGATGGCTCCTGCATCAATGCCTCAGCCATCACATTCTCATTCATATTCACATACACAGCTAGGTGGTCTCCCCCAACCAGGTGGTCTTCCTCCACCAAATCCCATGCATAACCAGATATCTGTCCCCATGCACTCTCAGAGACCTGGACCACCTCATGCCCACAGTTCATCAATGCCACAAATGCATGTCAATATGGAACAGTACTATGGAGGACCTTCAGCAACTAGGGACTTGTATAACTACTTCAAATTGTGATCAGTTATTAATATGATGAACAACTTGGATAGCAGAAGGAAGTGTTAAACATTATTTCGCAAAGACAAAATGATGTTAATGGAAAAAGTTTACATAATTTGTTGTTGCCTGAATGCAACAATATGATTGGATATTTGAAATTTCTTAAGTTAAACTCTGATCCTAAAGTTTAATAACATATCTACCTTTACTGTGAATACCAAAATATGAAGTGCAAATTACAAGACAGTGTGTGTCTCTTATAATTCATAAAAGAATGTTCAACTAATGATACAATTTATAGATTGTTCCAAGTTTTTGAATTTTAAGATAAGAGCTATAAAGATTCAAAGGCCTTATAATGTTTTAGTATAGTCATATCATAGAAGGTGTTCTTAATCCAGAATACAAGTGATCATGATCTGAAACTTAACAACATGTGTCCAATGAGTTTCAAAAATGATCATGTAACTGAACAAGTATTCTGTGTATATCTTTTAAATCTTTATAGCTCTTATTTTTATTGTAGCTAGTTTGCATGTAAATGATATATATTTACTAGTATATACTAGTATGTACCTTGTATGTACCATGTATAAAATAACAGTAAGTAACAGAACATCAAAGTTATGAAGAAATGATATTTTTCTTTGGAGCATTTTTGTCTAGTAATGTTTACTCATTTTTTAATTGTAACCACTAATTTATACTATCAGTAGACTATGAAACAAACATTTTCTGCATACTTAGAAAGTTGCATTTTTACTCTCTGATATTTATTAGTTACACTTCCATTTAAAGTTTGGCAAATGATATGTGTACACACTGTAATTTATATGGTATCTTTTGATGTTATTCAGAAACATGCATTAATGAATTATAGCATATATATAGCAAAAATTGATGTGTTGTTTTGTTGTGAAGCAGATATTTTCCATCTTTAAGACAGCACACACAATGTTAAAAGTGCTCAGCTGTCTTCTCTTGGAAAACTCTGGCTAATATTAATTCATTAGATGTCAGGCATATGTCTAGGTTCTCTACTGAAAGCTTTGCAACTCGTACATGTATACTATACTCATAATTTTATTCATTTGATGATATCCTTCCTATTGAGAAAGAACTGTTGATCATTTGATGCTGATATTGTGTGGCAAAATATTGTCTGCAGTGCTTACTTATTAAGAAACCTTATATCTAATTGAGCTCAGGATATTCCTAGGTTGAAACTGGATGCATCACATAATTCTAGGTGTATTCATGTTCTACCAAGTTACTCACATAAACTAGAAAGTAGGTACCTTACCCAGGTACTTATTACATGCTAAAATTGCTGTTTTTAAACTTGTTAGGGTAATGTAACATCTCTTCAAGACTTGATTTAGTTTTTCTGAGGAGATTTGATAATCTTGCATGTTTTAGGTATGTTATGGTAAAATTAAGGAAGTTGGTATGATATGATGTTTAATGCATGTTTTACATAGTTGCACTGTTTATATCATCATGTTCTGGTATATTAACTTTTTATTTTATTTTCAGGTTTGAACCCTTATGTTACGGATGATGGGAAAACAACGCTGTACCACTGTGACAAATGCCCAGAGACATGTTTCGACTCTTTAAAACTGAACAGACATAGGAGAGATGCTCATGGATTGAACAAGTTGATTTGTAACATGTGTGATGCAGCTTTATCGAATACACACTATCAATTATTTTCAAAGCATTTGTATTACACACATTACTTTGATGGTAAGGGTTGCTTTGAGTGTGACATATGTGGAAAGTTCCATAGCAATGAAGAAGCCCTGAAGCGGCATAAGGTAATCCATGAAACACGGACATTTCATCAGTGTAAAGTTTGTGGTCAGACATTTACAATGTTGGCTAATCTCAAAATTCATCAAGAGCTATATGGAGACAAGCCCCATGTTGCTAGAAACCGTTTGGATCAAACGAAGAAGACACATCAATGTGTGCACTGTGGATTGAAGTTTGCCCGTGATGCCCATGTGAAACGTCACATTCTAACACAGCATTCAAATGCAGAAGTTGTAGAAGCAGTTAGGGAGGAAGGAAGAAAGCGCATCAATGTGCAGAGAAAGAGTCTGTTCACCAAACGTCACTTTCCTGGTTATATGCCTAAACCAGAGGGAGAGACCTCATCCCAAGGAAGAGCAAGAAGGAGGGCTAATAAGAAGATAAAACTTGCTCAGAAAGCTGCAATAGCAGAAGCAAGAGAGGCTAATGCTCGTTCATTGGCATACAAACAAAGCCAGCTTGAAAAGCAAAAGAAAAGCAATCCACCACCTGTCCAACAACCTCCAGCTCCTGCTCCTCATGTTCAACAAAATCAACAACCCCAGTCTCTACCTTCTCCTTTACCCACTCAGGTACCAATACAAAGACCCATTCCACCGCCCATGCACCAAATTCATTCTCAGATGCCTCCTGCATCCATGCCTCTTCCTCCTGCATCTATGCCTCCACCAACACATTCTCATTCATATTCCCATACACAGCTAGGTGGTCTCCCCCAACCAAGTGGCCTCCCGCCACCTAACCCAATGCATAACCAGATATCTATTCCCATGCATTCTCAGAGACCTGAACCACCTCATGCCCACAGTTCATCTATGCCACAAATGCATGTCAATATGGAACAGTACTATGGAGGAGGTTCAGCACCTAGGGACATATTTAACTACTTCAAGTTATGATCATCCAAACTGTGAAACCAGCATTATAACATCTCTTAGGGCCAATTAATATTATGGCATAAGAGCTCTATAATCTACAGATGAAACCAAATAATACATTAAACCAAACGATATTGACAGAGGACCTCTGTTCTCTTGCTTTACCTGAACATATCAAGATAGCATTATAATAGTGTTGCAGTCAAGGAGCTTTCCCATAATTATAATTGTCATTTTATATAAAGCTAGAGAACATTTTGATGTTAAGTGGAGAGGAGATGAACATTTTGAACAAGTAAACATTTTGTCATGTTTAATAAAATGTATTTTATACATCAAGTTCGGAAATACTTACACATATACATTTTATATACAATATATATGATACGACTTGCATCGAAAACTGAGACTGGCTTTTCATCTTCTGAACTTATCAGGATTGTAGATGCACATTTAGTTTAATAGGATTTAGATGTAGTATACTGTATTGTGTTTGTAGTGTATCATATTTGGAAGTGTTTTGTGAAGAAGGAATGGACAATTTTCAAGTAGAGTTTTTGAACAGAAGTTGTTTTTAGTTAGTTCAATATAGAAACATTGACATCGATTTCATTGAAAAAAGGATGATGAATTGTGAAAATATATGTTTGTTTATCTAGATTATATACATATTCTAGTATTTATACATGTACAGTAAAATTAAACATCCTCATGGACAGTAAACCAAAACTATATATGTAAGAAACACCTGTCTGCAAGGAATGGTGTCTATCAGTGTATAGAGTATTCCTGGCACTTCGATTTTACGGTCAAGTGTCAATACATCCCATTGCCACTGCAGAACTGGCAATTTTATTGTATTATGTTTTTAATAAAATGAGGGAATAAACAGAAGTAAAGAAATATCATATTTAACCAATAGGGTACAATATATTAGTAAGTAGCATGTAATATATATTTTACCAGTTGTAAAAGTGTAACAAATTATTGTCATAAAATATAATGTTGTGGCTCGTGTCGTCTAGTGGCAGTAACATAAAATGTTAGTTTGATTTCTATTTCTTTTATTGTTCATTGGTTAATATAACTTTACATGTCCTAAGTAATTTCCTGGTTGTAACCGACTGATTATACTCTAAAACTCAACAACTGAATCTTACTCTGCAAAATCACACTGTCTCTAATCAACTCTAAAATCAACTTCACTGAGGCTACACAATTCTTATTTATATACAGCCTGTTTTTGGCAAAGAGCCAGGTTGGCAAATAGCCAACTGGCACCAGGCCAACTGGGCATAAAGCCAACTGGCACTGGGCCAAATGGATAAATAATCGAATATACAATAAAAACATGGGTTCAAAGCAAGGGGAGACCTCCGACCACTCCAGGAAACCCACTAGCTCAAAGTACTTATCTTTATTACAGTTGGTTTCCTAGAGGTGTGAAGTGACATGGATGGTCTTATGTAAAGTTACAATTAAATTGAATGATTAATCCCCAAGAGCAAATATGCATTTCAGTGATAACCCTGTCCCTATTTCTGAGTCAGTTTTAACCCCCTTCCTTTCCTTGACCATCTTTGTTACATTCTCCCCCTACTTTGTAATTATTTGTCCCAAATAAAATAAGGTATATAATGCAGTATACTTGCTGTTATAAATATACTTATGTACTTAAAAATAAACAACAGTGGATCAATTGACCAAACTATACCACTAAATGCAAACTTAAATTCCCAACATTATAATATAATTATTCAATACCATTGACTGACCTTGAGCATCCTAATTAATTAAAAAAGTTTGTTTTTTTCTTCTTTTGAAACTTCTCAAAATGCTTTTGCTAGAATGCCTGTCTAATACTAAGCATAGAAACCACACTATCATCCAAGCACCCAATTACATTTAACCAAAGCTGCATTTGGCAATCAGACATTTAGGCAAATAAATCCTACAGACACAACTGGATCACCTTGTCAACCCATACTATATGCAATCCATATTGCGTTAACAACAAATTTTGAGTGACTCAACAAAAAGCTGTAGGAATAGTCATAAAAATATATCATAAATAGTGTATAGCTTGGAAATAGTCAAAATGCTTCTATCAGTCAAACCTATGACTGCTTACACTGTTCTAACCCATATCAATTTAAAGGCTCTCAAAACTTTTAAACATAAATACCAAGGCTCTATTGACCATATTCATAAAAACTACTGGCTTTTCCAGCCGTCACACATAAATCGAAGGATCCCTTGACCCTAATAGTAATACACTTAAAAGCAACAGGCTCTCTTGGCCTTATCTACTTAAACTACAGGCTCTCTTGGCCTTATCTACTAAAAACAAAGGCTCTCTTGGCCTCATATACTCTAGGCTCTCTTGGCCTCATATACTCAAGGGTCACTTAGCCTATATTCATAATATCATCATAGTTTACAAACAGCCTTTACATTACATGGAAAGAATAATGAATCTTTGTCTTTCAATATCACTACATTCAAGATTGCAACAAGAAGCCACTTGACAGAACTTTAACCAAGCTATACTTATCTAAAATATGAGATAAAGGTAAAAAGACACAGTCTCTTCCAACAAGTCCAAAATTCATCCTCATGTGACACATCAATGATTATAATTTGTAGGAAAAATGACATCACCTCCAGCATTTTTGCCAAAACATAACACTCCATAGATGTCTCCTTTTATAACAGCCTTGCAGTATTCCTCCATAATGTGCTTAAACTTGTCTATTATAATCCAATGATCCGTGATTCGAATATTTTAATCATAATTCCTGATGGAAGTGACATTTGTTGACACATTTGTTGAACAGTTATCCATTCCAACAATATTTAAACAAAATAAATATGACCCATTTATCCCTATTCTGGCTGGGTACTATCCAAATGATCTTGATTTAATCCAAATCTCACAGCAAATATAAATCCAGCATCAAATCATACAATATTTTGTACCATCATACTATATAATACATATTCATATTTTGTTGTCCTAATGTTGACTGGGTACCATCCACAGAAACTTGAGATAATCCAACTATTCACTGTAAGTTAAATAAATAAATCCAAATTCTCTTCTACTTGAACACGTGTAGATCAGGTGATGATTAAGTCCTGAGGTACAACAAATTATCAAGGAAAATGTAATGAAATGTATGATCCGCATAGATGAAAGGGTTTGAGCATCCAGTATAAGTCAGGGGATAATACACTTACAGCAAAGCCACAAATAAATATAAATATTAATTTAAATTGTAATGTTTGACTACTTGAGTGATTAAAAGTGACGGTCATAAACAGCAATAGATTGAACATCCATATTTGCTTTGGTATGGCCATAAAACAATCTAGTCCTTAAAGGTGCTATCAATTGCTAATCATATCACTTGTGTTAGCCCATAACTTTCCAGTTTATGACCTAATTGTTTATCAAATATCTGGGGTAAAAGTCATAAAAATGTTCTGAAATCAAACTGATGATTGAGATGTATGAAACACTGTTTGATTAGTACTAATTATCCTTTGTTCCGTATCACTTTATCCACACTTAACATATCACATAATAAACAGTTTATGGCTGATAGAAACCACACGATGTATCATTTTACGATTTGTGTCAAAGTCAAGCAGATACTTGATATCCAATATGTACAGTTTGATAGTAGTCATAATTATCCTCTATATTCTATTCTGTGTTTCCTGTCACAAATGACAATTTATGACACATTATTGAACAGTTATCCATTTCAACAATATTAAAACACTATAATTAATGGCCTCTTCGTCTTAATACCATCCAAATACACTCAGTAGATCCAAATAACAAAAACCACAAAATCTCTGCAATAGTAATATTGACGTTATCCTTCTACACACATTGTCACATAATGAAAAATCTCTAACAACAACAACAAGGTCCAATGTTCAGCCCATGGCGAATCATAACTAAAAATTAGAAGTAGCCTCAGAAGTTACAAAAGTCATACATTGTCAGTTCAAATATAATCCAATATCTACAGTCCAATCGTTTCAACATTCATCCAACATCCGTTTTTCTCACATCCATTGTTGGGTTCTTTGTTTTTCGCATTATGCCACCCTCTGGCCATACGGGACTCCAGGGTCTCTACTGGTGAAGACCAACACTCATAGGTTATGGGAATAACATCTCCCATATAGTTTGCTCCCTTTTTAAGTTTTAGTCTTGTGACATGGTTGGTAGTGGACCAAGCTTTGTGAACAAGCCGTTTTACATGCTTATTCTTGCTTAGCTGGGCCGAAGGCTTGTTGCGTTTTTCCTTGTAGACTCGTAGACGTGGTTTGTTAACTCTTACTCGATTCTTCACTTCAAACGACTTCAGTGTTTTCTTTGCCATTATGGCTAATCCCCTCTGTGTTGCATATAATGTGTCCACAGGGGTAGTTTGCACTTGTGCCTGCATTACATGGTTTTCTTCTGATATAACATCATATTTCTCTGTGTCACTGTTTTCCAACAGAACCACCCCTGCCTTCTCTGTGTCGGACCTTTCTACTGTAGAGTTGTCGGAGTCTGCATTTATTGCATTGTGAGTTTCCAGCAAGTTTTGAGAGGGGCTCACATTCAATGTCTCATCTTCACTGCTCATCTTGGCATCATGGCGAGTAAAAGCAGATTCAAATTTAGGTGAGGATGGAACGGCTTTACCCCCTGCATTACCACTGTTATTTTGTAAAGTGGCATTCAGTTCTATTCTGAGTCTACGTACTTCTTGGTCATACTCCTTTATCTCCATACCAATTTGTTTGCTCTTCTGGAAATGCTCATTACACTTTCTTATTTTCTGATTGTTCATCTTCAGCCTGTTGATTTCCTCGGCCATACTGTTATACCTAATCCTCTGCTGTTTAGGAAATTCGTACAATTCTTCAAATAGGTCATTTGCTTCCTTCAATTCTTTGGTTTCATTTTCAGTTAATACTTTTATTTTAGTTCCTAATTCGGTAATCCTAGTATTGATAACCGAGTCCTCCATTTCTTGAGTTGTGTTCACTTTCTAACAGAAGGCTCCCAGATTCGTTTTTAAGAAAATATATCTATAAAATCCTGGCAACGGCACCAATGTAACAAATTATTGTCATAAAATATAATGTTGTGGCTCGTGTCGTCTAGTGGCAGTAACATAAAATGTTAGTTTGATTTCTATTTCTTTTATTGTTCATTGGTTAATATAACTTTACATGTCCTAAGTAATTTCCTGGTTGTAACCGACTGATTATACTCTAAAACTCAACAACTGAATCTTACTCTGCAAAATCACACTGTCTCTAGTCAGTTTAGCATTGTAGACAAATATTTGATTTTTCCTAGTATTTTGACTAGATTTTGTTAGTGTTCTCTATGTTAATGATTAACTTTATAAAAGGAACAAACTATTAAGAGCTTTCTCTGTTTTATAACTTACGGTAGATCTTTAGTTTGGATGATGTACCAAAAACATCATTGTAAAAAAGTACAGTAACACCTGTCTGTTTCGAACACCACTAGGACCAGCCACGTGTTCAGATTAGCAGCTGTTCACATTTCAAGGTTTCTAAAGTCTGAGTCAGTGGGAGATAATATATTTGGAACACAGAAAAAAGTGTTCACATTGAGAGGTGTTTTAATTCGAGAGATGTTCAGATATACAGGTTTCAGTGTAGAAATATTCATTGTTTTATTCCGTAGATTTAGTGTACACATATCTTTGTTTTGTTATATGAGGGGTAGACTTATCTAAGTGAAGCAGAATAGGTTTGCAAGTTTCAAAATTTTAGCAGCATAGTGGTTCTTTTTAAAATTATTTGATCAATTATTTTTGTATGACTTTCAAATTCATTTTGCAATCTCTCTATACAGAAAGGTGTCATTTTAACCATGTGTATCATGAATGAATAATGGTCCACTCCTCATATTTTCAATTGGAATGTGTATTAATGTTCATATGTCTTTTAGTTTCAATTATGTAAATTGCTAAATGAATAACTCAAATGTAAAATATTTTATATTATTTCCTTTGGTTTCTGTAAGGTGCTTAAAGAGATTCATGTAATTATTAATAAGGCCATAAGAAGTCGATTCTTTGTTTTGTGTCCTGGCAAAATCCAAATCATGCAAGGGTACAAGGAAAACAAACACAAACTCAAGAAAAAACACAAACTTGTTTGCTGAGAAATGTATACATTTTATGGGCATAAAAAGGGATGACATACCAATTTGCAGTGATAACAAACCCATATCTATACATTTTATACAATATATTTAAATATAGCTATTATTCAAGGGTAAAATAAGAAAATGCACAATGTATGTCAAAGTAATCAATAACACTGTCAATTTTGACGCACATCAAATTATCTACCATTTCGTCTGATTCCGATTGAACGAAATGTGATGGAACTTTCAGACTCTTGTGTTTGTTTTTTCTGATTTACTCAAAATCGTGCAAGCAAGGGGACGCAAAACAAAGAATCTACTTCTTATGGCCTAATGTAGAACTCGCTTCAAAAGTTTGATTGAATTTTTATTAAGAATCTGAATGAAATAAAAATTTATAATGAATTTCTAAGAATCTTTGAAATAAAAGTATGGTGAGGAATATAACAACTGAAAAATGAATAAAAAATGTATTTAGCATAGTAGAAGTGTGAAATAAACTTAGTAAACTTCAACTGTAATGGTTCTGTTAATTGTTTTATTTGAACATTCGTCCAATGTTTATCCAATTTATTTTATATTGTACTGAATTGATAAGACTATGCAGACTTAAAATCCTGTTAACATTTATGAGAAATGGGAGGTTGACTTTAAGAGATGGAGACATTGATTTGGTTAAGGTAGTGCAAGTACGTACATGTACTGTAGATTAAATAACCTGACTTATTAACTTTGGCTTGACTTAAAAATCATTCCACTAGATCCTCCATAAACAAAAATAATATTTGTTACCTTTTCAATTTCAAATTGAACTAATGTTAATATACAAACGTTTGACTAATTGGAAAGTATGGAGAAATCAGTTGAATATGTAGTAAGAAGTAAAGTCTGAGATTCTGAATGCTGACATTATAACTCATTTGACCTATTTTAAGGGCTCTTCAACCACATTGTGACCAGTAATGTAAGATCGGGCAACCTTAAACTATAGATCCAACAATATGACCAGTTAATAAGTTTATGGGATTTTTGAAATGTTTAAATCCAAAGTTGCTTATTGATGGATGTTATGAAGTTGATGTTGACATATGACTCCATTATTATTAGCATTTAGGGAGCCTACTCAGCCATACACAGAATTGTAAGATAAGGCGATAATGCACATAATTTTCTAAAAAAATCTGTACTATGGGTACTTCTCTTTTAGACATTTAACATATGTGTTCTGGGTTATTTGTTCAGTTGTTAGATGGAAACTCTTTTTTGTTCATGTGATAAATGTAAGGATAGCAATCTTGAATTCTGTTGGCTGTATCATGTTATTTATGAGTATGATTCCAGGAGGATTACTTATGAATCTACTTCAAATATAGTTGTTAAATGCAGTTCATTTTAAGTGTTGTTCACCCTTTGCCTTGTTTAAGGTGTTTCTGCTTTTAACATTGTAGGCGTAGTTGTTGAATGGCAAATACCAAGCCCCTAAATGGTCAATTTGTAAAGTATGTTTAAAATGATGACATCATTTATGTTGAGGTTACTGAGGTATTTATAAAACTTATTTTATTTATTTTCAGGCATGAATCCTTATGTTACGGATGATGGGAAAACAACGCTGTACCACTGTGACAAGTGCCCAGAGACATTTTTCGACTCTTTGAAAATGAACAGACATAGGAAAAATGTTCATGGGTTGGTGAAATTAATATGTAACATGTGTGATGCAGCTTTATCAAACACACATTATCAATTATTTGCAAAGCATCTATATTACACACATTACTTTGATGGTAAGGGATGCTTCGAGTGTAACATTTGTGGAAAGTTCCACAGCAATGAAGAAGCCCTTAAGAGACATCTGGTTATTCATGAAACGCGGACATTTCACCAGTGTAAAATTTGTGGCCAGACATTTACAATGTTGGCTAATCTAAAAATCCATCAGGAACTTTATGGGGACAAACCACATGTTGCTAGAAAGCGTACCGATAACCTGAAGAAGTCACACCAGTGTGTTCATTGTGGATTGAAGTTTGCCCGTGATGCCCATGTGAAGCGTCACATTCTTACCCAGCATTCAAATGCAGAAGTTGTCGAAGCAGTCAGACAGGAAGAAAGAAAGCGTATAAATGTACATAGAGACAAAAGAGCAGTTTTCTCTAAACGTCACTTTCCTGGTTATATGCCAAAACCAGAGGGAGAGACCTCATCTCAAGGAAGAGCAAGAAGAAAGGCAAATAAGAAGATAAAAATGGCTGCTAAAGCTGCAATAGAAGAAGCACGAGAGGCTAATGCTCGTTCATTGGCATACAAGCAAAACTTATTGGAAAAACAACGAAAGAACAATCCTCCACCCTCTTCTGCCCATCAACCTCCTGCCCAGCCACCTCACCAACCTCAGTCTCTACCCTCTCCTTTGCCTACCCAGGTGCCTTTACAAAGACCAATGCCACCACCCATGCACCAGCTGCCTCATGATATGCCTCCAGTATCCATGCCTATCCCACCAGCGTCCATGCCTCCACCTACACATTCTCACTCCCATCCATATTCACATTCGCAACCAGGTGGTCTCCCACCACCAAATCCCATGCATAACCAGATATCAATTCCCATGCATTCTCAGAGACCTGGACCAGCACATGCCCACTCTCAAAGTTCTGGGATGCATGTCAATATGGAACAATATTATGGAGGAGGTTCAGCTACCAGGGACATATTCAACTACTTCAAGTTATGAAAACTGTAGGCTTCATGTTGAAGCAAAATGATATTCATGTGCCACAATAATTGATTTATCCATCCTTAAATTGAATGTCAAGAAATTATGTGATGCATTGGTAATATTTGTTTGGCAGTATTTAAGGAAGGATATTATTTACAAGGGAAAATCTTGCAGCTTAAATGTGGATGAGATAATTATTGAGATAAACCATAGATCTAAAATCACAAACTGATTTTGATTAAATTTATGTATTGTTATTACGTATTGTATTGTTGTTAAGTGATTAGTAGGATTTTATGTCTCTCGCATCTTCCAAATTGTTTTTGAGAGTATTCAGTATTTACTAGAGAAAATATTGAAAAGTGTATCTCGAAGACATACTGCTATTGATGTTAAACAGTGGATCTTGAAGCAACGCTATAGTGCACAGTGTCATGAAAACAATTTTCAAAACCAAAAGTTGAATTGGTAATACGATTTTTAATGATAAAGGATAATTGTAATTTCACATTTATTTTATTGAACTTTATAACATTTTTATGTGTGATGTAACTAGTAACTTGTGTAGCTTGTTATGTAGGCAAATGTCTGTTGTGGCTGTCTAATCGTTGGTTAGGTTATTATCAAATTGCTCTGCCCATTCCGATTGTTCAGTGATATACCATATTATAAAAGTAACAATGAAACAGTTTGCAGTCTGCGGTGGACCATTTGAAACCAGTTTGAAACCATTAACATTGTCAATGAGTATTCTGATTGATTATAAAGAATGGGGGAGTTTGAAATATATATGTGTTTATATATTATAATGTATGTGTGCATGCAAATTATATTTAACCATTAGGGTACAATATATTAGAACATATTTAATCTCTCATAGTTGTAGTCAGGGAAGGAAACTAAACATCCTGAACTTCCTCCGAATATAGAACTACACAAAGCATTAATATGCAAAATGTCATCTACCATTTGTTACAGATGCCAACCACCAAACATCAACCATCGAACACCAACCACTGAACACAACCACCATTCACAATAAGGTTTTAGACTAAAACAATATATGTAACCACTTGTGGTTGTGACATGATTTTAACCTATGTTAGATGTATATTTGGGGGATGTTTCAATGATATGAATCTTGCATCAAGTCTCTGGATCTCAACCTCACAGCCCTTTCTATTTCACCACATTGCAGAGGTGAAGGTTGTAGGAGGGTCACAAGAGCTTGATTCCAGATAACAAACAATTCTTAAACAAAAGTAGGTGTATATTCTGTAGGTGTAGTTTTTACATATCATTACTTTGTCATCTGAGGAGTGGATGTTACATGAGGAGTAGATGATAAATTAAAGTTAAAAAGTGTCAAGATTTTCACTGATTAACCATATTATTGCTTTATTGAAATTTCTGATTCTGATGTCAAAAGGAAAGATGTCCACCCTTATGAAATTAGTATTCATCTTTTAGTATTCACATTCAACAAGATTGAATGAATAACTTAAACTTTGAAATTATTAAACGTTCATTCAATCTTATTAATCTTACATGTAAAGTATCAGTGGAACTAGTCCAATACTTCAAAAGTTTGATTGATTTAGAGCTTTTCAGAATGAAATTAGTGTGATTCAGCAATATAACTACTGAAAATGAATCAATAGAAATTGAATATTAAACTTGAAAGTGTTTAATAAATGTAGTATTACTTCAATTATAATTGTTGTGTTCATTGTTTAAATGAATGGGCCAATTAATTTCAAGAAGTTTGCAAAAAGAACATAATATACAATAATTGACCATGATGAGCAATGCTTTTCACATGGTAAACCGGGCTGAATGGATTATTTGATTTATTATCTTTGACCTATACCTATAGGTTTACTACTGACACTTGCTCCAAATGGTCTACAAGTAAACTCCAATCATCTCTTTGTTTCTTTGATACAAATATATCCAATCATCTCATTAGTGGTTTCCAAATGTTTGGATCAGTAAGCTGACTGTAGATGTTGCTGTGGATACAAAAGGGCCTCCAATTAATAAATGCAAAATGCAGCATATAATCACTTTATGACATATCAGAATGATATCTTTAAAAAGCAAGTTACGTACAACAATGCCAATATATATTGAATTTTTACATTAATTTTACCTATTGACATTGACCTTCCATGGCCTTTTTAACATAGTGACCTTGATTATTAAATAGTGACCTTGATCACAGCCTTTAATACAGATTTGCCATGTGTTGATTACTCTATGGCCTTGATATGATTTGATTACTCTATTACCTTAAAATGATTTAACTACTCTATGGCCTTTATATAATTTGATTACTCTATGACCTTGATATAATTTGATTACTGTGTGGCCTTGATATAATTTGATTACTCTATGACCTTGATATAATTTGATTACTCTATGACCTTGATATAATTTGATTACTGTGTGGCCTTGATATAATTTGATTGCCATATGACCTTGATATAATTTGATTACTCTATGGTCTTTATAATTTTTGTTTTTACTTTATGACCTTGATATAATTTGATATTTTGTATGACCTTGATATAATTTCATTATTCTATGGCCTGGATATAATTTGATTACTCTTTGGCCTTGATATAATTTGATTACTCTATGGCCTTGGTATAATTTGATTTACTCTATGGTCTTTATAAAAAAAATTACTGTATGACCTTGATTTAATTTGATTACTCTATGGCCCTGATATAATTTGATTACTTTATGGCCTTTATAAAAAAAATTTACTGTATGACCTTGATATAATTTGATTACTTTATGGCCTTGATATAATTTGGTTTCTCTTGGGCAGTGCCTGTTCCACAAAACCAAATTTTGTAACCAAGACACTGATATATTACTTATACATGTTATAGTAAGACATGCTTTGATAAACATTTAAAATGTCAAATGTTGTATTAAATTGACAGTTATATAACGTACATCTTTCTCACAATAATGTGGCTTTATTTTTTTTATTTTTAAATTGTAATTATTATGTTGCCTTAATATTAATTGTTTGAGATTGTTTTTCAGTCAGAGATGTTCTTAAGCACATACAATTAATGCCGCTTTATACATACACGTATGTCTAACATTTGTCAATGTTTTTATTTTATTTTTTTTAATTCCACCAATGCTAACACTTGTGGAAGAACAGTTAATTTCAATAGGAGGACGGAACAAATGATGATTTCAGTAGTGAAGAATATTTTGATATTTTGAAAATATTGAAAATTAAAGTGAAAGGCAACATAATCCACAAGTGTTGGCATTTAGACATAATCCCCAATGTTGTTTGTTTTTCCCATTCTTGTTGGTGTCCAAATATATACAAATATACAATATGGAAATGAATGCTTTGTATAACAATTGCCATTTCTCTTTGAATTGTCATTTTAGCTGCCATTCTTGTAATCATATGAACAGTCTAGTTGTTTATTTGACTAAATATACATATACATATACATCATCACATCATCATCACTTCATATTTATGCAAAAAACATAAAACGGTTTTGTTTGTATTTTCAGGTTTGAATCCTTATGTTACGGATGATGGGAAAACAACGATGTATCATTGTGACAAGTGCCCAGAGACATTTTTTGACTCTTTAAAACTGAACAGACATAGGAAAAATGTTCATGGATTGCTCAAGTTGGTCTGTAACATGTGTGACGCATCTTTATCAAACACACACTATCAATTATATGCAAAGCATTTATATTACACACATTACTTTGATGGTAAGGGTTGCTTTGAGTGTGACATATGTGGAAAGTTCCATAGCAATGAAGAAGCCCTGAAGCGGCATAAGGTAATCCATGAAACACGGACATTTCACCAGTGTAAAATTTGTGGTCAGACATTTACGATGTTGGCCAATCTCAAAATTCATGAGGAGCTATATGGAAACAATCCACATGTTGCTAGAAAGCGTATGGATGACACAAAGAAAACCCACCAGTGCGTTCATTGTGGATTAAGGTTTGCCCGGGATGCCCATGTGAAACGGCATATTCTAACTCAGCATTCAAATGCAGAAGTTGTCGAAGCAGTCAGACAGGAAGAAAGAAAGCGTATAAATGGACACAAAAATAAAAGACTTTTCACAAAACGTTACTTTCCTGGTTATATGCCAAAACCAGAGGGAGAGACATCATCTCAAGGAAGAGCCAGAAGAAGGGCTAATAAAAAAATAAAACTTGCTTCTAAAGCTGCAATAGAAGAAGCACGTGAGGCTAATGCTCGTTCATTGGCATACAAAAAAAGTCAGCTGGAAAAGCAACAAAAAAATAACCCACCTCCTGTCCAACAACCTCCTGCCCAACAACCTCCTGTTCAACAACTTCAACAGCCTCAACACCCTCAGTCTCTACCTTCTCCTTTGCCTACTCAGGTTCCTTTACAAAGACCAATGCCACCACCCATGCATCAACTGCCTCCAGAGATGGCCCAAGCATCAATGCCTCCACACACGCATTCTCATTCGCATCCTCATTCACATTCTCAACCTGGTGGTCTACCTCCCCCAAACCCCATGCATAACCAGATCTCAATTCCCATGCACTCTCAGAGACCAGGACCACCTCATGCCCACAGTTCATCTATGCCACAAATGCATGTCAATATGGAACAGTACTATGGAGGAGGTTCAGCACCTAGAGACATATTTAACTACTTCAAGTTATAACCATGCAATGTCAGAATCAGGTAAGCTTTTTATATTAAACTAACATATTCTTTACAAGAAGCAAAATATTTCTCAGATATAATCAGAAAACATTAACACCAACATCATTACCATTATAAATGAAATTTCACTAACTTGCTAGCATTCACGAATTCAACTTTCGACTGACGCTTGATGATTTGATTGCTATTTTATGGCCAACTCATTTTGATATGAAAAGCACCTGCTGCGCATCTTTATAACTGATAGCTATTAAGTCTAACCCAATCGCTGACCTACATGACTAACAGTGACAACTGGTCTGTTCATTATTTCCAACAAGCGGCTTTATGATTTTGTTGCAGTGGCACAAAAAGTCACATGAACACTGTTAGTTAACTAGTGGTTTGATCATTATTTAAACCTCAAAATGATGATTTTAATTCATGCAGATAAACAATGATTATATGTGTAACCGTCAGTCGGCAGTTGATATCATGGAATGCTTGCTTAATTTGCCTGAGATTGTTATAGTACTGCAAACCTTAAAATCAAGTGCTATTTTTATTTTCAGGGTTAGTTGATATATATTTACAATGGAAAATGAAGATGATGACTTAGACCCTATCTCTGTGGACATGTAGTGAAAGAGGAGATGCCTTGGAGGAACAGTCAACTTGAGAACTCATCAGTATGTGCCACAAGAACTGGTATATATGACAATAAGAACTAATGTAGAGAAGAACTAGTTGATAGTAGCAGTATTTCAAAGAAGACTATTCTTAAATTTAATTGTAAGAACCTTGGTAGGTATAGGATACATCTTTTTGTATGCTTATGTTTGGTTTTGGATACAGCGTTTATCCAGAGGGAGAGATAAACCCTGTATCCAAACTCGACCAGTGCATAACCCTTATTATTATATGTACCATGAAAACAGTGTCATAGCAGAAATGGCATTTTTGTTGTTTTATTATAATCATATGAAAAGCAAGGGTTATACTATAAATGTTAAAGCCTTTAATAAGGAGAACTAAACTTAATTTATTTTTTATTTTCTTAATATTTTTGCATTTTATGTATGATATTATTTTTAGTAAAAAAACTGGCTTTAAACTGCTTTTAAGTGGTCTAAAATACTGTTCAATAGAAGGCTCTCTGGTGTAATTTGTGAATGTCTCTTGTGGAGATATATATTTGAGTGTTTTGCTCTGATATAATCTCTAATCTCTGTTGTCTTTAATTATTTAAATAGTCCAAGTGGATGTTAAGCATTTTCTAACAAAAACAACAACAACAAAACATTAATTATTATTTGTAACAATGAAATGACAATATAGAATAGTTCATTCTATGTGGGAACAAATATACCACTTTTTGAATTATGAGTAGTTTTTATGTTTTAAATTAAGATTGGCCAACTGAGATCATGTGAATATGGCGATATTTTGTAAAAGATAAGTTCAAAGATAAGTTCAATATAAAACCATTGGCAGTTTATTTTTGATAATTCTGCTTAACAAGAATGATTAAGTTGTAAAATACAATTGTGATTGTATCTGTTTATTATAATGTATGTGTGCATTATATGTGGAAATTATATTTAACCAATAGGGTACAAAATATTAGTAAGTAGCATGTAGACCATATTTAACCATATACGATAGTATGCAGTATACAGTTTATAGTACACAGTAATATATTTACACATTCTAATTATTTTGATAGCAGTTCTGAATAGAATTGTATTGTGTTAAGATTTTATTGGTTGTGCAAGCACCCTTGTTTTTTGCAGTGTACTATATACTGTTTCATAAAATATATAATATATAACTACAGTGTATTATTGTTTCTAGCATTCATGTTCACAAGTCTTATATACCTGCCATTGATTATCGTAATATGTTTTACAATGTATGGAATTTGGTATGAACTGAATGCTGTAAACACAACAAACTCGTCCAAAATTCCCTCCAAATATACAGCTACATAAAGCATTGTAGATCTGTCATTTGGAGGTTGTATATTAAGTATAAAAAAGAAAAATATATGTGTTATATTCCAATGGTGTAGTTTAAATGCATATAAATGTTTTGTGTTAAATATGAGTGAATAGCCATTTCCCAAGAGTTGCATGGTAAATTATGAAATAAATGTTCTATATTTATTAACTTGTTCAGGAAACGTTCAAAGTTGAGCAAAGTTCTTTAAGCCTGATTTATCAGCACTTGGGATGGAAATTGTCAACTTCTTATGTAATCATTTAAAATGTATTGTGTTTACATTAAGTCATTATTGTCTTTTAGTTTCACAGTAAATTATTTAATGAGTAAAGTCTATGACAGTTATCGTTTTTCAAAGACCGTTTGTATCTCCACTCTCTGTTTTACAAAACATTACACAGTATCAATTTCAGCATATTTAGTTAAGATTCAAAGAGGAAACTGATGTAGTTGATATATATTTTCTTATATATGTATAATACACAGCATTTCCTGCTTTTTTAGGCAAGTGAACAGAGACATAATGTCTTAATACATAGATATGTTCATATGCCTGTTCTATCTAATAATGAAACATTGACATTGAAATTATAGAGGGGAGATAAGGGGTCTTTTAATACTAGTAATAAATGAAATGAACTTGTCTATAGATTATGATAGTATGCTTGATTTTATTATCAATAAAAGAATGTAGTATGACACAAATTAAAATTGTTCTGTTAAAACGTTCTATTCACTCTCCCACCTTTCTTAAAGGTAGTTGCTCTAACATCTTGCTAACCCGATTGATATGATTACATTTAATTTTACTAACTCAATCTCCCGTATGACTGTTTTAGAATGGATAAACACCAATTTGACCATGAACTTACCATATTTGGAGCTCAAATAGATCAGTTTACTTCGTGGTTTATCTCTGGGCCTGTCGAAAAGTGGTCTTCTTCACTAGGTCACTTGATCAATCAGAAAAAATGGCGGCCACAAAAGTGAATTAATGAAAAATCATAGATCTATTTCTTATATATTTGACCATTATGCATCGTTCTCGATGCCTCCGTCTGACAGGGGACCTAAAAATATGTACCCATTTTCACCGACACATGATCCAAATCCAGTTATTTTTAGAAATTCGAAAAAATGTGCATAACAACCAGATATTCAGGAAAGACTGATTTCCGGCCTCATTGATGTTGTAAACTGTTTTATTACTTCAATAAATAATTGTAAATACAATACAATATATTTTCCGTCGACTGGCATTACAATAGTCAATAAATAAATTGAAAATGAAGATATTTTAATGAATTAACGTGCATGGTATATTACCTCATAATAATGCGGAAAATATGAAAAGGCCCGTTTGGAAAAAGTTACGTCCAGAAAGCCAAGGGTAAGACTTCCTGAAAACAAACCACGTACCCTTTGTTTCATTAAAAACTTTTCATAAGTGATCAAGACGAGTCTCTTGATCGATTAGAATGATTATTGCCGAATATGTTCGGTGATGAGATGTTAGACCAACTACCTTTAATGCTTTAAACCAAATGGTGAAATAGAATACGAGTACATCTGATAACAAGGACACAAACGTGTACAACAATTGTCACTACCATTGGGTGATCTTATATGTTTCATCCTGAATATCCAACACTTATCAGCTGAAGAGACAAGATTTTAGGACAAAATTAACAAACAAAATGGCCACCTTAACATTTACCCAGAATGGCCAAAAGCTATTAGTTCGAGATTTTCATTCCTGAAAATGTTAATCGATCTGTCAAACAGTTAGCCTGAAAATGCAAAGGAAAGACTTTACTATCTAAAAAATTGAATTGAGATATTTGAGCAAATGTAGAAGATTCTCAATGCAGAAATGTCCAAATTCATTGTAATAAAAAAAGGCAGTTCATTTTTCAAAGATAATGTAGGATAATGTAAAACGGACATGTTTTTCAAAACTCTCAACCCTCTGTCATTGTTGCCCATTTGAAAAGTGAAAAATGTATTAAAGATGGTTGAAAATCCAAGTAGGTACTATCCATAACACATATGGGCATCACAGAAATATTAGCAATTGAAACTCTATTCCATTACTTGGTCTTGTAATTCTTGATCAGTAACACATAGAACTGCTATAAAGATGCTATACACCCTTTGCTCCATATGCTCACCACATAACATCTGGTTACAATTACAAAAGGGTGTAGGGACATTTATCACAGCTTTTTATAGAACGCATTTGAATTCTCATTGATTTAGCCTACTTGATTAGGCTCTGCCCTGGTTCAGAGGGCTCTCTCATTCTTCCTACCTACACAAATTCTTGCCTTGATTCTATTGTCCATTGTGCTTTACTGTGCCTCAATCATAAATTGTGAAATACAAATGGTTTTTAGATTTGCAAAACGGTGATTTTGACTGTCTTTTCCTCAAGATCTTACTCAAAATATAACGGACCTAATGCAAGCCACTAAGTGAAGATAAGCTTTAAAATGGTACTACATTTATTTGTGAAGTGAGAATTTGTATGTAAAGCTGGTTTTGAGGTGATACTATTAACTTGATGGAAGCTTCCAATCTATTCGTTCAAGACAATGATTAAACAATGAAACATGTTTTACACAAATAACATTCCTTGATATTTATTGAACAGTATTTACAGAATAAAACACATACAGGATGTCAATAAAGATTTTTACCCATGATCTTTTACAATCATGACACATGCAAATAAATTCTCTCATTGGCTGATCGTATAACACGTGATCAGATAGGCCAATCAGCTGTCAAGAGACAACACACCTGTACCAAACAACTGAATGGTTTTGAGGCATAATATGGAACTGATTTAATTTGTACTAGAACAAAACAAAAACAAAACCTTCACCAAAACACATTAAATTATGAATAAAGTCAGTAAAACATATCGGTACATGCATTTCATAGTTTTTGATTTTTAATTCATATACATCTTGGTGAGTAAAAGATCACATCTTTGGAACACAAAATACAAACACAATCTCATAAAAAAGCATTAAGTTTTTTGGCAAATATTTAAATTGACAATGGTATATAGCTTTGCTACAGTTTTCAGACAATACCAGCATTGAATTTAGATTATTGCACGGAAATTTGCCATTTCCAAAAAGGCTTTTATTTTAAAATACACTTAACAAACTTGATTCCTATATAGCGTTTTCATGAATCATTGCTATCGTTTAGAAGATTCACAATTTTGGCAGAATACATTCTACAGATTTGAGCATATTGTGAAAAACAACAACGCAAATTACAACGTGTAATTCATCATATAACAAATAATAAGTTAGAAAACAAAATGAATACTGATTCATGCAACATACTGTGCGAGATTTCATATTATATTATTATTATGTCTTGAAAATGAAACCAACTTAGGATAATGTCAATGTAGTTTTGGTGGAAGCAAAAGATGTATGACATTTCTCTTTTCCAGACAAGGGACTGGCGTCTAATGAAGATGTATTATTTATACAATACAGGAGAAAGTTATTAAGTTTTTACCATTGAAAAAAGCAATTAGAGCAATTTGAAGGAAATAAAATAAAACAATATAATGTGATACAATACAAGACAAATAAATACAAAACTATAATAATAGATAATATCAATTAAAATACTATAATCTGAATCTGAGAAAACAAAATGACATAATATATGAGAAACTTATTATACATTTCCGAAGAATCTGCCTCCAAAACTCTATTGACATTATCTTGAAGTTATTCTATCCTCTATACACACATTCAAAGTGAACTATATCTTCATAATATACAAAATATCTTTCTGTACATACATTGCACTCATTCTATGAAGAATGTAAGAAAAATGTACAGTATTAGTAACATGTGATGTGATCTTAATAATTCATATACATTTAAGCGGTGGTGCTGATTAATTGTCATAAATAGGGGTAAACCTTTATATCTTTAAGGGGATCTTACCAGTTTAAACAGATTTTGTTTTTACTCTCCATTCACACAAAGCTCAAAGATTAGATCCCCTGAAAGATGTAAAGATCAGCAACAAAGCTGGAGGTAATTCATTGGAACACCTCACATAAACCTATACAAAGCTGGAGGTACTTCATTGGAACACCTCACATAAACCTATACAAAGCTGGAGGTACTTCATTGGAACACCTCACATAAACCTGTACAGAGCTGGAGGTGCTTCATTGGAACACCTCACATAAACCTATACAGAGCTGGAGGTACTTCATTGGAACACCTCACATAAACCTATACAGAGCTGGAGGTACTTCATTGGAACACCTCACATAAACCTAAACAGAGCTAGAGGTGCTTCATTGGAACACATCACATAAACCTATACAGAGCTGGAGGTACTTCATTGGAACACCTCACATAAACCTATACAAAGCTGGAGGTACTTCATTGGAACACCTCACATAAACCTATACAGAGCTGGAGGTACTTCATTGGAATACCTCACATAAACCTATACAGAGCTGGAGGTACTTCATTGGAACACCTCACATAAACCTATACAGAGCTGGAGGTACTTCATTGGAACACCTCACATAAACCTAAACAGAGCTAGCAAATTGAACATGTATACCATTTTATACTATTTTACATATAGAAGGCCTGTGATCTGATTGCACAATACTAAGCCTCCATGCTCTATTAACATTATAACATTTCTTGGAAGATTACATGCTTTATCTTCAATATCATCGATGTCAATGAAGGTTCAAATCACACTGGAAAGGACTGACTTTCACATCAGCCCTTAGCATGGAGTTTAATCATATCTATACATTATTATGAATTATATTCAGCTTATTTACATCCATCACTTACTACATTTTCCAATTAGCCTTTAGCTGTTTAGTACACCATGCTCATCATATCCATATGGTTTAAATTAGCCCATGCAGCATATTCCTTGTGAGGAATACTACATCTTTTAGAAATGTCCAGTTGCTAATAGCAGTAGAATGTACAATGTAAATAACATATATTTAATTAATAAATAGAGCTGTATACAAATCCCTGCCATATAGCTATATAGAATCTACTGTAGATATAAAACATTTAATTTTAAGAATTGAAAAATTGTAACAACACTGAATAAGAACAAATTCATACAAGAATATGTTGAAGACCTATTACACCTAAATAAAGCGCACCACCAATATTGAAATAGAAAAATGGCAATTCTATGAGAATCATGCCAGGATATCATTTAATAATTCAATATGATATCAAGCTTTATGGCAGCTACTTTTATATATACAAACAATTATTCTATCAGGACAGCACCCAAGATTTCTGGCACTTTTGTTGGATGAATAGAAAGTCAAATAAGCAAAAAGTGAATGGGGAAATAAGCAGACACTGTAAACTACTAAGCATAGTTATTGGGGTCAAAAGAAAGCTAGCAGTGTGGTTTGTGTTATCCATCTTTCTGTAGACCTAGTACCAATGCCACTAAGCAATGCTGGATGGGGTATTTGTGTTAATTGTTGTAATGCATAGAAAAATGGAATTTCACTGAAGTCATAAAATGGCAGATAGGCTCAAATCTGACTCTGAAACATACCAAGATTATCTAATCAGGCTATAAGTCATAATAAATCAGTAACTTTCACATTTCAATCAAACATTGGTCTAATCTTCTATAATATTTTGATTTGCGTGATATTACAACAAAATCATACATTTTGTTCAACATTTTCTTCTCATGTTCAGAGTCATTTTGCCATGCTATACAGACTTTCCTCAGTTTTTTGAGTGTAGAAAGCAGGCACAAAGAGGTAGTCATTAGGGGAAACAAACTCTGGGGAAAACCTAGCATTCATATAAAATAACATCAATTGAATTGCATAAAGGGATACATTTCTTCACTTGGTACCTTATTTTCAGTGACAGGCCTCATCCCCAGAATTCTATTCATGGAAGTTTCATGTATCTTGTTCCTAACAAACTTACACAATATATTGATGCCCATCTAATGGGTGTATAGCCTGAATATAGTTTAGTGACTATACAGGTTCACCATCAGTGTGGGTCATACATCACTTATATGTCAATGGAATATATAGGAAAGTGTAAGTATACATACATGTAGTTTAGCAAACCTGCTATTTTCAAATTATCGAATTAATTGATTCTCTACAGCATCTGTGTTGCACCTTGTTTTATCCCATATTTTATCTTATCTGTTATTTTATGTTTATAGCACTTTAGTTGACTTTCTTTAGGGAAGTCTTCGCTGCATGTTTGGCCCCTTCCTCCATTATCTGTGTAGACACTGGCTGTAGTCCCTGAAATCAGGTAAGAATTTATTATTCTGATTCTTCGTCTTACTATCACTGGCATATGTAATGACACATGGTTGATCTATTATGGGATGTATGTAGGCACGTCAATAGCTGCAAGGGGTTGTGCTTTCCCATGAAAAAAGGAAAATATAGCAGCCTCTCTATGGTCATTGAGAGATTCCCATTACATGTATTTATCTTGGGCAGCTTTGTTGGTGTAACATAGTTCCCTCAAATGGCATTTGGTTACAAATCTGGCTGCTCTTCTTTAGACCTGCTCTCTGTAATCAGTGCCTGGGGTGATTGCAAAATTCAAAATACCTCAATTAGACCATTCTAATACCCACCCATGTATCAATGAAAGAAGTCAAAAATCACTGGGGAATTTCATGTCTGGCAATTTTGCTTGTCAAGAATTGCTTAGTTGCAACACCAGAATGAAGTAACAGCATAATGTTTACACTGGAGAGCTTAATGTAAAGTATTACCACTCAAGCTTTGCTTCCGTGGATGATACAGTGTTGCCTTTCATGGAATATTTCCTGCATCACAAGCTTAAACGTGTGATAACTGAAAGTATCAGTCTTTGATGGATGCATACTTTTTTCACTGAGATGCTTATTATATATATAATCACTTCTGTGTGATAAAATGAAACTTTTGAAATATTATACAAACTTAAAAAAAACATACATAATATTGATATTGTTATTTCATTTAAGTTTTACAATTTTAGACACTTCATGCATTTATATAACAAAAGTCTTGCATCAAACCCTTGTTTTGCACAGCCAATGTCAATGTAACACTGACTAGACTATAGTAAAACAAGAATTCAAAATTAATGGGTTTATTGAAATTAATATGTTCTGCTTTGTTCCAACTGAATTTATTTTAAAACAACACTGCTACACTAGTGTGATGAGGAGATACTTTGTGTTAGAGAAATACAACATTCATGCATGTTAAATATCACAATTTACAATGACAGTTAATCTCATATGATTCAGTTGGTGATGTGATCATGTAAAAGAAGCAAACACTGAATACTGAATATTCCTCACCCTGGCCTCATTTATTTAATCAGTTTTCATCAGAGAAAGGCCAATTTTTTCAATGGGTTTCTGTTTGTATTTTTCAACAGAGCTAATAATGCAAATAATCTTAGAAAAATGAAAATTTTGAACAATTATGCGCTAATTAAGGTCAAAATATTGTTAATTTTACCTGTTATTTTTTCCAAAATGAAATTTTGTGCACTGCCACTAGTATGTGCATGCTGCGAGACCTTCAAAATACTTTTCATGACGAAACATGAATTTTGTCAAAAACTGAACAATAATCATTGTTTAATTGAAATTCAATAAGTTCGAATCCATATATTAATCTATATAAACCTACACAACCTATCCTACTTGTTCTGATATGGTATGGTATATAAACCCATGACCTATTTATATAATATAAAGACTTCCAATATAATTTCTAAAGCAACTATGCACTGTGAATGTACCAGCTTTATTCTAGCCATATTCACCTGTTCCTGACTACACAATCAGATATACAATGAAATTCATAATATTGCATTTGGCAATAGCATCTAGTAGCTATATTTCTAAGCCTTATATAAGCTTCAGTGAGGCAAAAATCAAATTTATGAATATTCTCATAAGATCTCCCCAAGTTAATATGGATTATTTTGTATTGATGGAATGAACTCAAATTAACTCTGTGTATAATATAAATGAACTAAAATGTAATACGAAAATATGCTTGCTAAAATGAAAAAGAAAAATATGAGGTTGAACAAAATGAATGGACAAAAATGATTTTCTCATGCAATTTGTAGACACATTTAAAGTGAACAAGCAAGCATTCTACATGTTTCTTATAACACAAAACAAGTGTATTAGTATACCTTGAACATTCTCTTCATCCGAAACTGTACAAATACAGGTGAAGTGAAAATGTGTTATTATGTCAATATGCAATAATCATTTATCAAGATATAGGAAAAAAATAATGTGAACTAACCACAAATATATTTCACCAAGGGTGTTAATTAATGGTGGCTTAATATAGATTTTAGTAATTTACCAAAGTATATAAGTTTTAACTCTTCTCATTTCTATATATAACAAAGAAATAAGTACATGAGCACTTCAAATATTATTACATGTACTTTGTTCACTTACCTTTTCCCAAATAATTTCAGCAAGTTGGTCGATGAATGCCCCAACCTCTCTAAAGTTGCCGCTATAGCGCACGTATGCCCAGGTGAGTAACAGTATCAGCATCACACCCATAACAAGATTCACAAGGTTAGCTAGGCTTTCCAGGCCTATGAAACCTAATAGACCAGCTAGCATATATGTTATCACTACAACTGCGAATAAAGTTGCGGGGGTTCTGGCCGCATGGAAAATGTTCTTGCTTTCATTATGCTTTACAAAGTTTTCATAAGAGTTATCAATTTCTTTTTCTAGTTTTTCATTAAATTGTGAGCTAAATTCATCACCACCCATTTTCTTTGTGGAGTTAAAAAGTCTAATAGCCTGGTCTTTAATTCTAGCATGTTCTCTTGCGAGATATTCCACAGCAATGAATGGTTGTTCCCCACCACAAATCTGCAAGACAATCATATCCAAATATTATGTGGACTATGACATGCAAAAATATATTATCAGTGAACTATTTATGTGTTCCATATTCAGATTAAAGGTAACATTGTATAGGCAATCTTACAATTTGGCATCAGTCATCTAAACATAGAATCAAATCTTACTAAAATAAACCTGAGATTTATATATTGCAAAAATGTATGAGGAAAACAATGACAAAACATCCTGATCTGGTTGCAATTATAAAGAGATAACCACTATTATATTATACTATATTGGTGCTATTTCCACAAATATTGACATTTGCCCAACAACTGATAATCATAACCTCATAATCTATCATTTGGTGTTCGTGAAAGTCAAATAATTGAAGAGGAAGCCTAGTCTTCACCATTCATGGATTTATCATCTGACACTCATCTGATATCTTGCAAGGCACTGATATCACTAGCAATAGAACAACTAAGTAATATTTGAATTTTGCTCCCTGTTGAGAAAACACATTGAGTATTGTTATGTGTATTATAAATACATATTCCTCAGGGGGTCATTAACAGATGCTACGTAAAGTTACAAATTCGTAAATCAATTGTTGTAACCATGGCTATAATGAGGTCACAGTTAAAGAACAATGGATTTTACGAATTCTTAACTTTACGAAGTATCTGTTAATGGCCCCCAGATAACTATCTGTAACTCAAGAGGCAACATCTCTAGCTAACATCTTCTGATCTTGGGTTGCAGTTAGGAGATTCAATGCTTTGCATTAGATGCTTGTTTTGTATATCAATAAATATATAATATACCACACAGAAGCGGCAGACAGAACAGTATCCTTGAAGAGTGTGAGGCCAAGTGCCATCCCAGAGGCCTGGAGACAATTAGGTTCACTCTGGGTCAACTGATATTTTAACATGAATATAAAAATAAAGTATCAACTGATCTGTAATCCAAGTTTTTCCTAGTGTGTCAAATGTGCTTAATACTTGCTTGAAAAGGAAGATGAAATATAGAATGGAATATGACGAGAATGTACCTTTTCCATTTCAGTACTGTAGAGGTCTCTTGAACTGGCCACTGCTGCAAGATTGTTAGCCTCTGCTGTGGCCTGTAGCATAGACTTGGGCTCAGGCAACTCATCCCCTTGATAGATTTTCACATAGGCCTAAACACAATATAATCTCATAAGCATGTGGCATTCTTATCAAGATCCCTCAGTAAAGTGAAAGTGAAAGTAACATCATATTGTATAGAATGACCTATCTGAAATATTTTTAAATTCTTATATATAAAAAAACTATCTGAAAGATAATGATATCCATTCAAATAAAAATCATAAAAGTTTTGTCAATTCTTCTATCTTTTGTATTATGCCAACTAATAATCTACCTTAAAGTATTCCACAAGCTCCTTGCCAGTAATTGGACCTCCGTTGATATTCTTCATGACTAGATTTTCTGGGGCAAGGAACAAAGGCACAAATCGGGCCAGGTACTCTTTAAAGTCTTGCTCTATGTCTACAATACATAAAGAAGCAAAAACTGGAAAACCTATTTGATCTGAACACCATTGCGATCAGCCTAAAGCATTCAGATTAGCAGGTGTTCACATTTCATTTGATGGTAGTCAACTTGGAGGATATAAAAATTGGCTATGATTCCTCCCCTCAAACGTTATATATGTGTGTGATAGAACAATTATATTTTAAATAAAAATAAAAAGTCAGTTTCTTTGTTCCTTTAAGAAAATGATGGAGACTGAAGAAATGATGTGGAGTTCTCTCCCACCTACAAAATATCTAATGTCCTGCCAAATATACGCTCATGGGCATTATTTTGAAAATACTTTCAATAAATTGCCTTGTTTTGAGGAAAGGTTCAATATTAAAATGCATGATTGCCTGTTGAACATAACTGTAATGCAAATTGGATGTATCAAATTTAAAGATAGCGTATTCAATTCATAAGGAGGATCAATTAACACTTTATTATGTATAAAACATGACGTAGGTTAGAATTAGACAATTATCTACACACACTGAGTTTCAAAAAACAAGATTATTCAATATTTAAATGTCAATTCATGTTGATCAGTTTCAACACTTATCTTTTTATTAAAATAATCACTTCCTCCTGCATAGAGGAAATAGTGAAGAAACGTGTCCAATATGGGCGTTTATTATATATAAACTCATATTCCCCATTCTCTAATTGGTCTATACCATACACATGACAAAAAATAAGAAGATGTATTCATCAGCCAAGCACTGTGACATCAGTAAAAAAAAGGAAGAAAAGGATAGAATACTAAGCATTTTACGCAGACAATGCAATTAAAGGTACAAAAGACCCTGAATTGAAGGTCGACTGAGACATACCCCAACAGGATGAGGTGAATTCAGTGTTGGGAATTTTCTATATAAAGTAATAATGAGTTCTAATCACTCTTGTTCTTGTAAGATATTCCCAATAAGAGAGTGGTGAACATAAAAGTGAATAAAAATAAAACAAATATTTCATACTATTTTCAGTGAATAACTGTTGCACTTTCAATGATACTTTGCAAGGTGTATTCCCCTGGCCCAAATTGCTAGAATCATTGAAAGATGAACAGGTATTCACTTCAATAGTATGAAATATTAACATAATATTGCCCAAGTCACACCAGAATAGCCAACGGTGAAGTCAGATACCGTTGTCACAAATTATTAAATAGTATGATAATCTGATCAAATTAGGTAAAAACTACTTCGAGCCTTATTGAAAAAAAACCTGGGGAGATCATCTATCCCTAGATACAGAATTTTTTTGAAATAGTACATCTGAGGGGTCTTATTTGAGGCTTTAACCTGAATTAATTACCTTTTAAACGTCCATCGAAATATGGATTAACGGCAACTTTAAGTCCCGGGTGAGGCATCAGGAAGCAACCAATCCGAGAGAAGCATGATTTGATGTGACGTCTGATTTGTTGTAACTCTTGGTGTTGTCTATCACTGATCTGAAAAGAAACAGTCAGTTTAATAGTTCAGTTTATTAGTTCCAACAGGTTCATTTGTACCAACAGTTTTCTTTCATCAATTTGCAAAAGTAAGGATTATTTAAAATGCTTTATTACTTGCAATTTTAGATACAGCACAAGATTTCAGTGTCAAATATGATGTTATTTCAATATTATGACCTAGACCTCTTAAATAATTATTAAAATTTTTGTAATTCTGATTTGCTAATTATAAAGTTGTGCTATTGTTTCCTGCTAAGAAATCACAGTAGGAGGTGAATCCAATGCAATGATTGTTGAATTTTTCATAATGCTGAGTTCCATGTTTATGTTTGGATGTCTTGAACTTACACATGTTCAATTTACAATACATTAATTGATCTTAAAAGGGAGACAATTAGTTTAAAAAGTTTTCCATTTGTAAGGTGTTCCTTTTTTCGAGATATTCTACTTTTACGGCAAGTTTCACTGTAATTTTGCAAAGCATTTTTTAAAACAATCCTTAATATGTTTTAAATGATTAAGATATAGTTTCACTGTAATTTTGCTTTTAAAAGCATGCCTTAATATGTTTTAAATGATTAAGATATAGTTTCACTATAATTTTGCTTTTAAAAGCATGCCTTAATATGTTTTAAATGATTAAGATATAGTTTCAGTACCTCCAGTCTTTTGTCAAGTAGAATGTTTCCTCCTTCTTCTCCATAATCGTGCTGGTATGGATACTGCCAATCTCGCACTAAGAACTCAAGTGTCTAAAACAAATCAAGAAGTGAGCTGAGCTATACTGCGAAACTGCAAAAGTTTTTTTATACAAAGCTCAATGAGGTATATAAATCTCATCAAGCTTAATATAAAGCTCAAGCTTATGAATAAAACTTATTGAGGTCCATGGTAAATCTCATGGACTGAGGTATATATTAAGCTCAATGAGGTATAAACAAGAAACATAGCTCACTGAGGTATATTATGAATCTTATTGAAAAGTGAAGGTCACATTGATAAATAGTGTGCTTAAATGAATGCATTATTGAAGAGACTTGTAATTGCTTATTATTTTCTACAGTGACATATTGAATATATTTGAGGTGGAAAGGAATATTGCTTGTTATCACCTCTAGAACAGTTCATACATAAAGTAATAAACACTATGTAGTTAATTATTCATCATAGTTTTCATACAAAACGATAGATGTATGGGTAATACAGTCCACACAACCATTTGAAAACTAAAGAAATGTTTCCAGGAAAATGAGTTTAAGTGATGCATTATGGCTATGCATATTGAGCAAATAAATTGTTACCTGGAAAGGCTTGGAGTTATTGTTATCTGCCATGGCAAGACGGCCATACTCTGTGAATAACTGTAAGTGTTGGAGATCATCTTCTTGAATGTTGGACATCAGGTTGTATACCTGTAATAATAAATGAACAAGAAGGCACTTAAAACCATGTTATTGCCTTATACATTATTGCTATAAGTGTATCAAAGTATCAATTCTTTTGGACACAGACAACCAAACGCCAGTCACAACAAAACAACAGTAGCACAGACAACCAAACGCCAGTCACAACAAAACAACAGTAGCACAGACAACCAAACGCCAGTCACAACAAAACAACAATAAGTCATTACTTCTTGGTAGTGGCACACAAATATGGAAATTCTCCATTATCAATGCTCATGAGATTGTGTAAACCAAAAGATTTTCAATATTGCCGTTTTTCCTGATTTTTGCATGCATGCAATTGTTTTGAGCTTGACTTTCAAATTAATCCTACCCCTTGTCTAAATTTATCTGTGCATACATATAATTGTAAATAAATGAAAGTACCATTTTGTATATACGTACGTTGTAATGGTGAATATAAATATTCCGTGTCATGCTTATTTTCTAAAACATTCAACAATCCTGACTTTATTTCAGACTAATCCTTTGAATCACAACATTGTGACAAAACATTTCAGTCAGTACACATTGTATTTTACAATAAGCATCAGCCTAATGAATAATACACATTGTATTTTACAATAAGCATCAGCCTAATGAATAATACACATTGTATTTTACAATAAGCATCAGCCTAATGAATAATACACATTGTATTTTACAATAAGCATCAGCCTAAAGAATAATAAACATTGTATTTTACAATAAACATCAGCCTAATGAATAATACACATTGTATTTTACAATAAGCATCAGCCTAATGAATTATACACATTGTATTTTACAATAAGCATCAGCCCAAAGAATAATACACATTGTATTTTACAATAAGCATTAGCCTAAAGAATAATACACATTATATGTTTAAGACTTGAAATCTTAAATCTTCAATAGCTTCTATATTTGATCATGTATCTTAATTCTTTTTTCCAAAAAACCCAACAAGACAACATACCGTATTATCTCTATTAAACGCACAGTGCGCTTAGCAAATTCCCGTGGGGGAGAGGTTTCAAGCAGCTAAATTCTAAAAAATTATGATGGTGGGCGATAATGGGTGAAAATTTACTACTATACCTTAAATCGATCAAATAGAGTAGATATGTGCGTTTATTAGAGAGAATATGCTATATGTTATGTTTTTACCTTGAATTGTGAGCTCCTAGACGACAAATTTAGTATATAAATACACTATTGTGTGTTATTTACACGAACACCTGAAGAAATTTCTTACGTTGCATGATGGGAAATCGTGACGTCATGAATCATGATGCATTATTTTAACGAACGGTGAAAATACTCTATTATCGCCCACAATGTTTTTTTTATTAGAGCTTCGTCAGATCTCAATATTATCTGGACAGGATTTTCTAACCTGGGACAAAAAGTCGGGTGTGCGTTTATTAGAGAGTGTGCGTTTAATAGAGATAATACGGTATGTACTAACTAACCTGTACAGAACTGAGCATGGTACTTAGAGCAAAAACAGTGGCACAGTCTTTAACAGTAGAGTTGCTATCAAATGCACCTTGAGTATCCATCAATAATACAACAACCTGAAACAAAGCGCATATTCATTTTCATACAAGAAATACCAGCAGTTAGAATATTCATTGCAATGACTGCCTTAATGTGTTCCATTTGGTGGACTCATATGGTGAAAAGCTAATTTCTCAAAAAGAAATAAAAAATGAAATTAAGCAACATTTCAGATGATTGGCAGTTTTCAATTATCTAAAAAATTTAATGGAAGAATGAATGGACAGTACAGAGAGACAGAAAGAGGGCAATATCTGAATACTGAATCTATAAGAATTTGGTTCCATGGAAGTCAATGGAGGATCCAATAAACAGGCCTGGGAAGAATTTGCAGTTTTAGGCAATCACTATTTAGAGAGATGTCTATATAGCTTAGGCATTAAAGAGTATGAGTAGGGGGTCAATATGAAATGTAATTATATTATATTCTGAGATGAAACTGAACAATCGACCCAATCCCATACCTATCTCCTGTGATTCACTATTATTGATGAAATAGACACATCTGTTAAGATATAAACATATTTTCACTGTCAACTGACAATCAATTCAAAACATATAATCTTATAGAATGAAATCATTCACCAAGAAAAGAGTGTAATCTTTCAATAGGCTGTCTATGACAGGTGACAGATGATCGTTCATCGCCTATGTTTTTTCAAACAAATATTGATCAAATCTGCATTCTGAAATCCTGAAGCTAAACAGCATGAACTCAGTAGATCAAAAAGTTCAAACCAAACTGGGTTAATATTGTTCTTACTTCTTCCCCATTAGGCAGTTTTACATCAAATGCTTCACTCCACAGTAAGATGCCTGTAGTATCTCTGTCTGCGCCACCCCGCCACGAGAACCCCTCCAAGGGGGAGTTGTCATCTCCTAGCCAATCAGGAGCCCCCTATTGTAAATAAACAAAATATTTTACTCAAATTTATTACGATGATATATATTTTATTTTGAGTGATATCATTTTCATCCATGACACTGTTCCACAACTAGTTACTTTGACGGAACGTCAATGTAACAAAATTGATGAACTTCCTGGATATGAGTTTTTTGTTTTCTCGATTTAAACTTACGTACAAGTCATGTTGCAGATTATCATTTGGCACAAAATTAGACATTTTAGTCTAGCTTTTAGAAATCTTCTCTGTTTTCAGGGTTCTCACTATGCTTTTAGACTCCGAAGATTCTCCTGAGTCTACTGTCTTTAGACCCTCTTCAGTGCTCTCCCCAGGATTTTTTTGTAGGGATGATTTTGTAAAAAAAAATTGCAACATTTTGGGATTTTGTTATTCTGAAAGTGCAACATTTTAATATTTTTTACTCCTAAAGTGCAACATTTTATTTGAGTGACCAGTATAACATAATAACATATATCTGATACACTGGCGGAACGGGGGGGTGGGGGGGGGGGGGCTGGGGCGAAGACGTGAATTAACGATCGGTCAACTAAAATAGCGAACATTCGCTTTTCTTCCATGTAAACCTATAATTGAAGCAAAGGAATATGCGTTCGATAAAACACTGCATAAGTGAAAATTTAAAAACAAACAAAACTTCGACTTTTCGGTAAGATTTTGTTATTTTAAATCTTTTGAGGCGGAGAAACAACGTGTAGGGTTTGTCAGTGGCGCAAGGAATAACCCTGAGGCGCATATCTTTGATTGCAATTGTTTGGAGGCGCAGCGCCTCAGTAAGTTCAATGTAGGGAGAGCACAGCTCTTGTTCCAGAGTCTAATAGATTTTCCGGAGTCTAAAGTACAAGTACATAAAAAAAATACATAAAACTGGATACTATAGGAATATCCTATGGCTTTGAAAAAATATCACTTATATCCATGAGTGGATATTGATATCTTCGCGAGTGAGCACAGCGAATGAGTGAAGATACTGATATCCATGAGTGGATATAAATGATATTTTTGAAAAACCATAGGATTGTCCGTTTATCCCATGGGGAATTATTATCCAGCGATCATTGAATAGTCAGATTAATTTCAACAAGATTTATTTCAACATTAATACTCAAAAAAATAAAATACTCACACAAAATATAACAAAAAATGTGAACAACATTTATAAACAAATCGGCCAAATATCCATGTTCATTAGCATCTATCTGCTCGATCTGTCTGAATTCGCCTCTAGACACAAGAAATTCTTGGACAATTTTCATATCTAACCTCGTCTTTTTCAACGTGTTTTTCATCCCTTTCATGAACTCGTCCACATCTTCATTTGCAAATCTACCTCCTTGATTGTTTACGTCCAGGTCTTCCTCGGAATGGATTATGTTGTTTTTTTCAAATAATATGTACGCCTTCCAATGGAAGTTCCATTTCGTCTTGACATTTTGATTGCAATAATCCAACGAACGTCATAAACCATAAAAACCAAAACCGTAACAAGGTGGTTTGTATTTAATGCGAACACCGTAAAAACTAGATTCAAAAAAATAAAAAAATATAAAAATATAAAGAATCGTTTTGCTGAATTAATAAAAAAATTGAAAAAATCAAAACCATCGAATATCACTTTTGAAACCATCGAATATCACTTTTAAAACCATCGAATATCACCTTTCAAAAAGTGATATTCTATGGTTTCAAAAGTGATATTTGATGGTTTGGTAATTGTTTGCTAAAATATGATATCTTCATCAACGTATCAATTATATCTTCATGTGATATTCGATCTATATCCTTGTAACCATGGGATAAAAACAAGGAATAGGAGGTCAGAAACCTTTTAGATATGCATATTGTGATTAAAATAGGAAAATAATCTCTTATAAGTAGTACTTTGAAAAGAATACTGATAGGATATCTCTGATCACACATGGGGGAGGAGTAGACGCGATACCACAAAAAATCTGGGGTCTAAAAATTTCCTGGTGAGAACCCTGCTTTTGAATTTGATTTTTAAATAACGCTGTTATTCAAGCATTTAGGCCATAGCTTTTGTTACATTGACGGAAGTCGTCAAAGTAACATACATTGGTAATATAGCGGACTTTTGCAAATGTAACAAAAGCGAGGGGCTAAATATATGAATTGCAACTTCATTTACAAAACAAATTCCAAATCGAAGAAACTTATTAAAACTCAACTATATTTTCTTCCTTTGTGCCCAATTATATTATTCAACTTGACATATTAGTAGACTTAAATCAAGAAAACAAAAAACTCGTAACCAGAAAGTTCATCCATTTTGTTACATTGATGTTCCGTCAAAGTAACTAGTTGTGGAACAGTGCATGAGCTGATGAGCGAGTGCAATGCTCTGTATTATTGGCCAATGTTGAGAACTTGCTTTTTAAACTTAGAATTTCACTGTGACATCCATTCAATGTTTCATTTATTTCATGTAAAAATAAAGATACATTATATGCATGGGTCACTTGAGTAAAGCTTCAGCAGACTGAAATAAAATATACATTTTTTCAGTGAAATTACCTTTGCATTGAGATATCGAAGGAAAAAGTCAAGCAGAAATGATTTCCCCTTCCTGAAAGCTCCTGCTACTGACACGACAACACATTTCTTGTCTTTCACATTATGGCGCAGGAGAATTGACTCTAAGGCAACTTCATCAAGTTCAAACTTATGTTCCCCTCCCTCAGCTTGTGCTATAAGGATCTGTACAGGCTCCCCCTTGAGAATCTTCCCAGTGGCAGACACTGTAACAGAATGAACAAATCATAATATCAATTTAATGCAAGTAGAGAAAAGTATAGGCAATTTAACAGATTGGAAGATGTAAACTGACAAAAGCATTACCACCAATATATTTTTGGGCTGTGCTATAGACTACAAAGTTTTCAATTTAACAAATAAATTTTTGGTGAGTCAGAGAGTACCTTTAATTTACAAAATAATATTTCTGGTGAGTTTTGTTGTTCCAATTATATTCGTTTTATGGCAGATAAATAAAGACTTTATTTTCCCCAGACAAAAACATTGTAACCAAGTATGTCAAAATACTGGCTGTATTCATTTATTGAATAAAATCAAAACCCCTCTGGAAAATGCAAAAATGAAATAACTCATTAGCAAAATTACTGTAAGACATGTTAATTTTGCAAACATGTTATATGCTGTTTAATTCTCAAGGAAATTACAATTATCGAATTTATCCAGTTCAAATATTAACCAAGATTCTGAAATAGTGAATTTATCATGAAGCAAAATATGTGTAAAGAAATTCAGAAGTCGTAAAATGGCATAAATGAATTAAACAATGGACATGTTTTACAGTACGAAATATAATATTAGAAATACGGCCCAGGACAAATCAATAATGCCACTATCATTACTTGTAGTGGAAGTGTCCCTGAAAATACAAGAATCCAGGCACTATAAATTGGTTCACATATCTATGTATCAATTCGATCTCTACCCTGGGCTCAATAGCTAGACTAGTATACTTCCCTCTAACTAGGATTGATATAACAAACAAATGAGAAAGCAACAGAGACCACACGTATATACTTATGACTGTTTAGATTCAGAAAACAATTGGGGAAAGACTGAATCTTATTGACTCTTATTTAAAGAGTTATATTTATTATGTAAAGAGTTATATTTATTATTTAAAGAGTTATATTTATTATGTAAAGAGTTATGTTTATTATGTAAAGAGTGAGTTGAAGCTGAAAAGGTAACCGATCTATTTTATGAAATGATCCTTAAAAAATGCCAAGTCAATAAAAATCCATCCAGTTTTCTTGGAAAAAAAAGATGAATCTAATAAATATTGCAAAATAGCACTCATTGTGTTGATCTTGAGCTTTACCTATGACCTTGACCCAGTTCATGTACATGTACATGTATATAAGCTAATCTAGGGTGCATTATTAGGACTTTTTCTGATTATTAAAAAGCCATTCCCAACATCTTAAAATACGTCATTGCATTTATAAGAGACCTTTGAAAATTACTACGATGTGGATTTGTTCCCAATTTGTACCCATCATCACACAACAATACGCCCACCCATTCCACAAAAATGTTCTCCACTTTTAATTTTGCTGAACAGATACAAACCAATTAGTGATGTCCCTCTCGGCTCATTTTTTCAAAACTTTCAGGCAATTTGTGAAAACGTCATTAAATGGACTGTATTCTCGTTGGCTTTTAATTTCGCGGGTAATTGCGTCATTTAAAAAGCTGCTTCTCTATTGGTTATATTTACTTTTCATTCATAAACCAGAACAACGGCAACGCCAAAGCGTAGCGAATCCAATCGAACAGCCATGGATGGCATTTTTACAAACAAAGTATATAGCTCAATGAGTTATAGTAAAATACGTTAAAATGGTGGCCATTTTGAAAAATGACCGCCTTCTACCAAAAGTGTCATTAGACAGTGTGCCATGCTTACAGTATTCACATACCAAATATGAACAAAATCACTTCACTACTTTTCGAGTTATAGTAAAATACGTTAAAATGGCAGCCATTTTTCCAAATTTTTTTCAAAATGGCCGCCTTCTACCAAAAGTGTCATAGGACAGAGTGTCATGCTTATAGTATTCACATACCAAATATGAACAAAATCGCTCCACTACTTTTCGAGTTATAGTAAAATACATTAAAATACATTTTTCAAAATGGCCGCCTTCTACCAAAAGTGTGATTAGACAGTGTGCCATGCTTATAGTATTCACATACCAAATATGAACAAAATCGCTTCACTACTTTTCGAGTTATAGTAAAATATGTTAAAATGGCGGCCATTTTTCCAAAATGGCCGCCTTCTACCAAAAGTGTCATAGGACAGTGTGTCAGGCTTATAGTATTCACATACCAAATATGAACAAAATCGCTCCACTACTTTTCGAGTTACAGCAAAAATCGTAAAATAACGAGTAAAGGCCGCCATTTTTCAAGATGGCTGCCATGTGCTTCTTTAATATCTACATTTCTAGCTTTATTAATGTCCTATATAATTTTTTACATCTAAAACATATTGCTATTACAGTTTTACATATTGCACCTAAATTACTGTAAATTCGGCACTAAAATGGCCGCCATTTTGAAATGAGCGGCCATTTTGAAAATCGGCTTTCGAGCAGAACTTCTACCCCCATAGGGTATATGTGTACAAAATATGAACAAAATCGGGCCAACGGTATTTGAGTTATTGCCCGGACGGACGGACGGACGTACGTACGTACGTACGGACGGACGGATGGAGGCGTTCCCTATATCCCTCCGAACTTCGTTCGATGGGATAATTAATTGTAGCATGTGTAGTGGACTTTCCGCGAAGAATCTTATGACCATATATGGTGTCTCTAATTAAAATATTGGCATAAACAAAGTACTGCACGTGTATCCCTCAACATTCACGAGCATTAGTCTACTAACAAGGAAATCTGATGTTTAAAAATAGATTTTAAATGGTAGAAGGACTCGGGGTCGCGAATATTTGGCCAGATTTATTGCTCCAAGGGTAGGGAAATTGACACATTTATTTGGCCCTGGGGTAAGGAATAAGACAGGCTAAATTTTTTTGTCAAATTCCCCATCCTTGCCCGCGCGGGGAGGGGGGTCTCATGCAAACTTTTGAATGGTACATTAGAGGAAAGCAAGCAGAAAAAAGTTCAGCCCCCCTCTATGGGGTCTAAATGTTGACAAATTTGCTCAAATGTTTTGTGCTTGATTTCCTCTACCAGAGGACGAACTGGGAAAATTTCAAGGGAGTTTACATACTGTTGATGATATGCTGACTATCTTTTCTCCAAATGCAAGACTCCAGACACCATCCATTCTAGAAGGAAAGAACAGAGTACAGAGTGGATGATGCCTGGAGTCCTGATTTTGGAGGATGATGACTGTTTAATGATGTTCAACTTTAAAACCGTAACCTAATAATTATGTTATAGATATCTCATTGATTAAAACTTTTGGGAAATTCAGCCATGTTTCATTTGAGGTTATGCTCTAAAAATAAAGCAGCAGAAATGTATAAAGTACATATTGAAGAGACCACACATTTGTTGGCTAAACCACAAACAATTGAGACACTAAAAGGGGTAGTGTCCAAATATAAATAGTTGTATGAAAAGAAAGTTAATTTTGTTATGGTTGAACCCCCCCCCTCTTTCTTCCATTCTTCTAAAAACAAAAAATAAAATGTTGATTTACATACACTTATTTCCAGGGCCAAAATACTAATGAAATCCTCATTTCCCCCGAAATTTACTTTGTTCATCAATATCTAGTAACATTTGGACTCAATCCCTAAGTAATATAGTTCTTTTTCATTTTCTCAGAAATCTTATCATTTGATTTATTTATATGAGAGGTTAGTTTACAAAAAATGATGTCATTCTGACCGCCAGCTCACAGTTACAATTATGTTTTTTTGCCCATATTTTGACTGAGAATTTGAAATTTTGAAAACGCTTTAAGATCATAAAAATGAATTGAGACTAAGTTAAAAAAAATTCGTCACAATTTTACAGTATTCTTGCTTGCTTTCTAAAATATACAACTGTTCTGATTTTATTTTGTGAATATCCTTTGGTTTTAAGGTTGTCTTGCAAAAAGATTTCGAAAAGGGGTTTGTGTCCTTTTTCAATTCTCATTAATTGGGACATTTCTGCCCCTTAAACCGTCTATATTTGATTAAATATCTTATAGAAACTGAGAAACATTTTCTTCTAGAATGCTCTTGTAACAAAGATTTGAGAAAAACTATAATCAGACCCCCTATGGTTCATGATAATCAAGATTTACTGAAACATCTTCTTTCAAATAAAAATTGTGTAAAACTTACAGCAAAATTTATAATGTCAGCACTTGAAAAAAGACAAAAAATTGTATAAATAACACACTGTAATTATATGTATATGTATTTGTATAGTGCCTCATAAGCCTGATAAGGCTGGGTGCCGATTAAGGTGTGTGGCACTTAAATAAATAAATAATAATAATAATAATATCTTCATTCTTTTAATCAGAAAATAAAATTATAAGTTATAAACAAGTTTTGCTTTTTGAAAAAAGTTGCTTCTAGCATTTTACACTCTCTTTCCCTTGTTATTCCTTCAAAATATAACATTGACCTTAGCTGCCACAGTGCCATGTCTATTTTTTTACCCAGTAATCTGAAAACAATGTTAACATCTAAGGTACATGTAATATTATACTGCTTAATATTTGCATTAATTCAGTTGTTTATTGATTATGAATCTGACCATAAATCAATAGTTTGTTAAGTGCAAGTGTTTGTCACGTTTTCTAATTTTCTCAATCACCTATCTGGTCTTGTAAATGTACATCTAATATCTGCAATTATGGTGTTTATACAACGACCAATCTCATGGAAGGTGTTCTACTTTGGATAACACTTTTGATGAGACATACAGCAAGATGTGCATACTGGCAACTCAAACCTGGCAGACATACGAGTTACATCTATTGTATGAGGGGAATATATTGAAATTTTCTCCATCACTAAATTGGAGCAATTTTAGCACCTCATATGTTCTCTGAATGCTATAGCAATAAAGATGTCTGCAGCATAAGAAATTTTCAAACTAGAAAATGGTAACTCCACGGAGTAGCAAATCCCAACGAACACTATATAAATCATCAATCTGTACAGTCACAATGTAATATCTACTCTGACCATCTACTCTTACCTTTAATAAATATTTTAAATCATTGT